ACCAAATGCAAGACAGGATGAATTTGGTGATTTAATACAATCATTTGGACAGGTGCAGGTAAACAGAAACTAATCCAGGAAAAGCAAAACTGAAAAATCCAACAAGGCAATACAGGAAACAAAGTAACCATGGGCAAAACAATCAGCGACAAAACCATGATGAACTGAGACAGAAACAAGGACACAAACGAGACACAGGTGAAAATAATCAGGGTGGGACATATAAGACAAAGACAGGAAGTGAATTTAAACAAGACACAAGAGGAGGAGAATATAAAATAAAACAGGAAATAAAAAAACACTTCTCAGAACAGGACTCTGTGTTCCAGACACCTAGATGCATCAAACTCATACAGATGCACTCTTTAACATTTGTGAATATTCGCCTTCCGTGCACTTCCATTCCAAAAAACCTTTGCTTCTGGTGGCTAAGCAGATTCACATCTCACCTTTGCATGGAGTTCAACATTGGTGAACTTTGATAGGCAAAACCACAGCCTCGAACTAAGGTTAACAGCCAATCGATACTTCTACCTGCTCCATCACAGTTCTGTATTTGGCATAGTTGTATAGTAAATAGTGGACAAAGCTTCCAGGTCTGAATATTGAAGCCAGTGTAGAAGTCCTTTAAACCTGCATTCTTTCTAATGGCCAGCTGGAGGCGACTCCACTAACATGGTGTACTTCAGCCACTGACAGTATATATAATTGACAGTTTCCAGGTCTATGACGTGTGGTCAGTGCAGAAGTGTCTTGAACCTGCATTTTATATAAAGGCCAGCAGGGGGAACTCATTGGCTGCAATAACACAGATACCATGAAATCTTACAGAGAAATGAGCAGACTTTTCATTTGATTTATGAGCTCAGTAAACTGTTTCCTGATTAGTTTATGGTCTCAATCTGTAGTTCCAGTCTTCTTCCATACAGCATGATGTTCATTTAGTAAATGATGTTCCCATTTAGAGTAAAACAGACCATAAAGCAGGGTATGCTTTAGGGCGTGGCTACCTTATGATTGACAGGTCATTCTCATATGTATAAATATGAAGCAAGATTGAAAGCCAATGAGAGCAGCTCAACTCACAATACGTCACCTCAGCTGTCTCAGACGTCATCATGGCGACGAAACTCGAGCCTTCAAAATGGTACTTCACAAACTTACAAAGAGATACAGTGATTGGTAAGAGTGATGATATATGATATCTGTTGTTTTTTTTTTTTGTAGCTTTATTTTCACTGTGATTGAAATGTTCATACATTCATTTACAGTTAATCATGCCATACTGTGGTTTCCACAAAGAGTCCTGACAACAAGACAGTGCCTGACACACACTTCTGAACAGGAAAACTAACTGGCAGGCAGCCAAGGTTGTAGCCTAGACTTTAGAAACGTCAGTGAGCCCTAACTCATTTCATCTTTCTTCTATTTAAAAACCCCATTCAAAGCTGCAGTTGGCCATTTTTGTAAAAATATTATTTTGTCATACTTTATATAAATAAACATACTAAAACTTTCACTATATCATGACAGTAGTACATGAGACAGATAATATGTAAAACAATCAGGTTCCTCTGGCTCCTCCTAGTTCTCCTAATGGTATCCACTGGACCTGAACGAAAACAACCAATCAGAGCCAAGAAAGATATTTGATTGTTGAGTCTCATTCCATCAAATACAGATGCTTTGGGACCCTGGAAATGAGATTCAACAACCAACTATCTTCAAGCTTCCAACCCAAAGAGTCTTTCTATCTTTCTCAGCTTTGATTGGTTGTTTTCATTCAGGCCCGGTGGATTCTTGCAAATACCATTCGAAGCACTAGGAGGAGCCAGAGGAACCTGATTGTTTCACGGATTATGTGTCTCGTGTTCTACTGTCAGGATATAGTGAAAGTTTCAGCAAATATGACAAAAAGTATTTTTTCTAAAAATGACCTACTGCAGCTTTAATGAAGAACGATTTTGTCATGTTTGCTTAGAACAAAGACAATAGTTACAGTAGCATTCTTTTTAGACACATTTCACTCTTAAAGACCTCCATAATGGTACAGTAGCTACAGGCTGCAGGTGTGCCTTTAAAGGTTATATATAACAGATTTTAAAAAATGATTATAGCAGAAAACAGCTATTCTCTGTGTATAGATTAAGTGGAGTCATAATGTCTCACTCTGGTCTGCTCCGACTGAAACTGCTGTTTTCATCATCTACTTTAATGAATTTAGGATTTAGGATTTATTTTGACCAAAACTGAGCTGGTTATTGTTGAAACAGTGGAAAGACTAACAAAGATGGTTTTGTTTCTGTCCACTTTGAATTAAGTTATGATGTTACAATGATTAGTGGTAAAATTATCGTTTTTGTCCTTGGAGTCTGGTGGCGAGCGACAACGAAATTACTGCTTTTTTTAAATAAAGAAAAGGTCTTTGACATAACAACTGAGTCTGCCAGTGACAAAAACAAGCACTTTTAGTGGATGCACTTGATGAGTGTTTAGCTGACCTAAATTTGAATTAAGGGTTTATTTTGAACAAACAAGCATTGGTGATTTAGAAAGACTGCGGAAAGACTAACAGAGATGGTTTTGGGGAGATTTATTTTGTTTCTGTCCAGATTGAAGTGTGTTTTACGATTAACTGCTAGGTTAAATTACTGCTTTTGTCAATAAAGGTCTGGTCAGCTGATGGTGCTTTAGAGCAACATCTAGTGGCAAGTGAATTTCATAGGCTCAACAAATTCCTGTGCAATAACTATACAAATGTTAAATCCCATGATTATACATTAGAGGAGAGAGTCTCTGGTTAATGAATGAAGGATAAATCAGTCATCTCTAATGAATGAGAGCAGGCTAATATTAAACTCACTGAGCTCAGGTCAGGTTGCTAGAATGCTTCAGGGTTTGTGAGTGTATAATATGGGTGATTATGGCTGCTTTAGAAGTTTTGATGCCTGTTACCACTGCTCATTTATCTTGTTATCTTGCCATAGTGCTAATCCAGGAGGTGGACCTGATGTCATTCCCCCCAACCACTTCCTCCAGAACTTCCTACAGGATATTTCCACTCTGAGCTCCACACCTTGTCCCAAAGTGTCAGCCCACATGGTTTTATTCTCCCTCTCAATCTCATAAACATCGGCGAGTAGTGGACTTGATACATATCATCCATATCCATATGCAACTCACCAAGAAGCAACCTAAACATGAGCGACTAATGATCCTTACATTGGCATTGCTTATATGTTGCATTCAGGATATCTGTTTATTGATATTTTTTTATACTATATACACCTTTATATATATTTGCATTCTTTTCCTACTTTGTACTGCACAACAATTTCCCTCTGGATAAATAAAGTTCTATATTATCTTTAGTGTTGGGGAGTAACTGATCACATGTAATTGGGATTATGTAATCAGATTACAAAAAAATAAGTAACTATAATCAGCCCAGATTACATACAAATGTGTATTTACATTATAGTTACAATGTCAAGGATTACTTGATTACATTTTTGATTAAATCTTCAAAATATGGCAATTTGAAACACACATATGCCTACACAGCCTCTGGTTTGTATACAAATCAGGAAAACAGCCTCTGAATGGTCGGCAGACTTGATGCAAGGCAAGAAAGGTAGTTGATTGTTGAGTCTCATTCACAGGTTGTCAAATACCAAGCCCAAAGTGTCTTTCTATCTTTCTCAGCTCCAATTGGTTGGGGGTTTTTTTCAGATCGGGTGAATTTTTGCAAATGCTATTAGGAGCACTAGGAGGATCCAGAGGAACCTGATTGTTACACAGATTATCTGTCTCATGTTCTACTGTCAGGATATAGTGAAAGTTTCAGCAAATATGATAAAAAGTTATTTTTTAAAAAGTTACCTACTGCAGCTTTAATGTACATAAACAGGTAAATCAAATGTTAAATAGAACCACAATTATATCATTGTGATGTCTTCAGGGTGACTGTAATTTGGGCTTGGATATGAGAGGTTTTTAAGACATCAATGGATTTTATTGTCCCCAAAGGAGAAACTTTATGGAAGCAATACATTGTTGGAGTACTTCTTTAAGTTTTAATCTCAAGATATCAGACCTTAAGTATGAATGGACAATAGACAGAAGATCGACTGTTGTAATATTCTTTCATCAATTCATTCTATAATGGCTTAAAGTTTAAAATAGCATCAACTGAATAAAAGATTAGTTTTATGTTACATGTTGAATCTGCCTTCGTTCTAATAAATACAAAATGTGCACACACTATTAGTGAAGTGAATATATATTCAACATACTCCAACAGGGACCACCATCTTTGCCTTCCCATGCTTCTCTTTTTTATTTCTCTGACTATACTGACTTTAGTGTTCTTTGTATTGGAAGAATAAATGACCAATAACACTGATCCATATCACAATCACAACATACTGTACTGTGGGTGCAGCAGTGCTAACACTCGTGCTGATGTTCATGTCATGCCAGAAGTGAAGGGACAGGATGGCAACCTGTTGTTTATGTGTAAAACGTGTTCGGACATTTATATATATTTTTATCCTTATTATTTCAGGGTTCCCACTCTTTTTAAGAAATCATTTCCCAGGAGTTTTTCTTGACAATACAGGACAGCCTCATATAATTTCCCGGCAAGCCCAGTATTGACACATTTAACTCTTTTAGTGTTTGTAGGACACTTCCTGCTAGCTCGCTTCCAGGTGCTGATTTTTCCGCTGCAGTTTCTGCAAATTGGCAACACTTTCCAGCAGTTTTCCTCTAACTGTAACACTAATTTGTCCACAGCCCATATGAAATAGCTCAAGTAGAATTTATTTATTTTATTTATATATTTTAAATGTATCTTCTCACCTATGAGCCTATGAGTCTTGGGTGCTAAGGTATTACTAATAATGATATTACAGTAAAAATATTACTTTCCCCATTAACTAATTACTAATAAATTACAGTGATAATGTTACAGTTACCCCTCATTTTTTTTGTAGTTACTCATTGTAAATAGTTACAACCTTACTTTTGTCACCCTCCTGCTGATTTAAAATTCAACAATCTGATCACATCCATAGATTCATTTTTGTAATCGTGGACATCAGGAAGCAAGAAATTAGCTTGGAAGATGGAAACGCTTTCATTCAGCTGCTGGAAGTATTCCCATTATATTCCCATTTAACAGACAAAACTGGATTTTGGGTCTGAATTTTGGGGAGAAAGGACGCAATTACCATTTCTGTGGGGTGAAGCAGAAAGAAATAAAACAAATTACTGTTGGCAGGGAGTAATGGGTAAAGTAGTAATATTACTTTTGAAAAGAGTAACGAGTAATGAGTAATAAATACAAATTCTGGAGTAACAAGACCAACACTGTAGCCTATTAAAATAAGAAGTAGAGAGTCAAAGTGTCCATTGCACGTACAATTAACAACAACAATTGTACATTTCATTAACAGGCTGAATGCACATAGATATAACATAGATGTAGATACAGAGTTGATGGCGAAAAGATCGCTGCAGGTCAGTTCTGCTTCACGTCTGCTACCCCTACTCTGAAGTCAACAGTCGAGTTTCAAACATAAAATGCACCCAGGTTTATGTAAGCTATCTGAATCAGGGCCTAAAATACAATAAAACATTTTCCAAGATATTTGTTAATTTTAATCAATTTCCAGGTGTTTCCATGACTGGAAAACTAGTCTCCAAATTTCCTGGTTTTCCAGGACGTGTGGGAAGTGGGAACCCTGTGTTTGTATCACCTTAAACTGTTGCCAGCAGCGGATCTGTTGTCCCATTGTCCCCTGAGTTGATACATGAGCCATCGAGCTAAATAGGAGATAACTGAGTCCTAATTACAACGAGCAGCAGGAGTAGTTCTCCCAAATTGACATCCATATTTACCCTATGACTGACATGACATGACATGACACCGCAGTGTGTGCTGAGATCAGGGCTCTGAGGGCACAGCATCTATCGGCTCCACCTGGGGTTCAGTAGGGGGGGTGGAGATGTCCTCCACCTGCTCTGAATCTGGTTCAGTCACAACTACAGCCACCTGCTGATACACATAAAATGAGAACATGGCTTGCAGAAGATATCAGCATTTTAAATTGTAATTGTGTGTGGTGAATCAGCAAAACTAACTAATGAAGACACAGCTGAGGAATTAAGCTCACAGGGACTCAGTTAGTTAGGTACCTGAGATGGCTCAGCTACAGCTGGAACAGCCTGCACAGCTGGAACAGGTGGGGGGCGAGTCTGTGGATAGACAGGTCTGTGGCTGGGAGCCTGTGGGAGACGCGCACACACACACACACACACACACACACACACACACACACACACACACACACACACACACACACACACACACACACACACAGCTTTTATGTAGTAGTTTCCTCTCAGCCTTCTGCCAAACTACTGACAGTAATAGGACCAGCTTTTAATGTCTCAATTCAATTTGTACTTAAAATGCTAATGCAACTAAGGTGGATAAGGTGAGCACAAAGACTCAAAGGAGAGCTGGGAGCTGCCCAGTCCAGGGGCCCCTCAGCAGTGGTGAGGAGAGAGGGAGTACCTATGGAAACTCTTTATATTAAAGTACACATATCACCATTAACTAGTTGCTTATTAGCATGCATATTAGTAGCATACTGACTCTTTATTAGTCATTATAAAGAACATATTAATGCCTTATTCTGCATGACTATATTCTACTAGGTCATTAGTTTTCCCTGAAAAATCTCTGGATTATTGCTTATTGATAGTAAGTTAGGAAGTAGTTGTAGATGAATTATGATCTTAATATGCTTTGTTCAATGTGGGCCTATAAGGTGGTTGTACCACATGAATTCTCCCTTAATAACACTTAACAAATGTGGCCTGTTCTTATGTAACGAAACACAAACAACAAGTGTCAATAGTGTCCAAAGAACTGTAAATGGCTGATTCCGATATTCAGACAGCAGGGCAGCCGATGGCCGATATATAATGCATATCAAAATAAAGAAAAGTGATGTATAATTCTATTATTCCACACACATTACAATCTAATATACATGGTTATCTTAGCCTACAATCCATTATTAATTAATGAAATGGAAATTGACTAATAAATAGCCAATATGCTACTAATATGCATGCTAATAAGCAACTAGTTAATGGTGAATATGTACCCTAACCCTATGTACCCTAACTATTGCTAAGTTATCATTGTATTTCAATGATATACCACTTAATTTAACAGAGCAGGTGATTCACCACACCTTACCAACCACTCACCTCCCATCTCACCTAAGCACCTATGATTTATTACTACCTGTGTAATCCAGTTTACCACTTATTGAATGTACACTAATGTAATTGCTTTACTCCTGCATTATTTGAGCGCTTTTTAAGGTGACAGTACATCAAAACTGTATCTGTAGACTTGGAGTTTTCAAATAGCTCACCTGGGTTCCACCAGCAGCAAGGACACTGAGTCCGAACAGCATGGCAGTGATACAGATCAACAGCTCCAGCACCAGGAAGATCACCAGTGTGCCCAGGATCCCGTCAATCAACAGCTAGACAGACAAATCCAAGAGCACATACGGTGAGAAAACAGGGCCAGTATGAAACAACGTGTTTCTTGCTATGTTTCTCATTGGTGAAAGACATTTCTGTGTTCTACATGCACTCTACAAGAGATCTGACCACAGTATTAGTTGTAACAGTAGTCAATCACTTACTTTACACTTTTGCTCGATCAGCCCAGTGCATTTCCTGAAACAATGTTGCTGCAGTGGACAGTAAAAACAAAGAATCACAGAGACTGCTTTTTCATAACATGTAGTGTCAACTAGTCATACATCAGTGATGGCTCTGTGTATGCTTCATAGCCTGCCTCCTCTAATGCATGAAAACAAATCTCCATGTAAAAAGACTGGTTCAATCACAGAAAGGATTATTAAATATGTTTCTTATATTCCCCTAAAGATCGATAAAGTAGGTTAAGAATTTAGCTCCGTTTTTCTAGAATTATAGGGGGAAAATGTAGGCTATATACAAAAGCGGTACCATTTGCTTCCTTACATACAGTTTATATGAGGGTTGCTAAGAGTGTCCATCAACATGTATTAATGTATTATCCAATACATTGACAGGGACCACTGGGGAAGAAAGAGCAAAGGACTCTTAAATTGTTACAGAATTATGAACAGTTTTTTTCTCCTCAAATGCTTTGTGATTTACCACAAGACCGAATAGATTTCCAAGAAGACCAAAAAACGTATTCGTTTTAGACGTTTATGCTAACTTGGCCAGTTAGTAGCTACCTGTAGCTAACATGTTTGACAAAGACATTTTGTGAATACCCCCAGTGATTTTAAAGTTCACTATAACAATACAATTCCAGTTCTTAAAATGGTATAGTCACTTATTTTGCTTTAGTATCCAACATATAGGCTACCAACAAGTCCTTCAACTTTCTGTTTTAATTTTTAAACTCAACACAATTGACCCTTTTTGTTCCAATAACAGCTGATCAAAGCTCGGTCAACTTTCTCCTTTACTGTACTTAGATATGCTATGTGCTAGGCTAAAATACCACAATTGAATAGTTAAAAGATATATAGATATAGATAGATATAGATATATAACATGTATAATCACATCTTGTGTAAGATTGGTGTAAATTAGCTAGCTAGTTAGCTTGCTAATATTAGCTATTAGCTAATTGTTAGCTAACAATTGATGTATATGAGCTAATGTATTGCTCTCCAGCAAAACTTTAGCTTCAACATAGCCGAGCCTAGCACATAGGACATCTAAACATGGGAAAGGATAAAGTTGACCGAGGTTCTGATGCCTACTGAACTGTTATTGTACCACAGAGCAAAAAGGGGCGGGACTAAGTAATGGGTGCTATTGGACAACATATTACAAAATCAGGGAGTGCGCCTTTAAAACCATAATAATTAGTCCAGTCGACACATTCAAGTATGCTTTTTAAAGTCCAAACATATTGGATCATATGCAATTACTTTGGGAAAATTTAAAAACTATCACAGTTATTTGTAGTGTGCTACAATGTGACCATAGCCACTCAGCCATTTACTGTTGTAACTGTGGAAAAAAAATGTCATAGGTAGATTAAAACTGTGACAGTATAATGTGAGAGGGGACTGTATTTCTGTCCTGCAAACATTGTTTCAGTCTTGCACCAGGCAAGACTCATGTTCCAAAACAAACAATGTAGAAAGCAAATCCAAAATGGAATTTTCTGGCAGAAATGGTGTTTTGTTGTTTAGGCCAGCAATTTTGAATTACAACTATTCAAGTTCATCTTGAAGATGCCACAGAGCCAGAGGAACGTTCTACATTTTCACAGCAGAAAAGCAACAATACTAGCTGCTGATATGGCTATTCTGTTGTACCACACACATGTTTGAGATCATGAGAAAATGTCTGTGTAGGTTTTAAAGACAATACCACGGCATGTAGCTCCAGTCTGCGGCAGTGTTCACAGTGGTAAGAGTCCTGGCGGTAGGGGAGGTGTTTGGACATCAGACCCAGGGCAGCGGTGGCAAACGCAGCACTGATGAGATGCAGCACCAGGACACATTTCACCTAAAAACGACAACAGCAGTGCTCATGTACAGGAAGAGCAGTGGTGGTATTTGGTAACCAGACAAAAGTGGAGCTGATTGAAAAGAATGATCTGCTTGGGTTGCCACTCTACAGCCAGTATGTATGAAGTATGTATCTTTAGTTTAGGCCATTAGTATTTTGTTTAAGCCATTTAAGTTTTGAGTTAATTCAATCTCTGCGTGCAATACAATAACATTACCATACAAAATAACAACTAGCCTCAAATATGATCTTTGTTATTGAGATTGTCATTAACAATAATTGAAGAAGAAAATAACCAAAGCTATAAAGGTACTTAAAGCTGCAAGTAGGAAACTTTTATGAAAAAAACTTACCGCTGAAACTTTCACTATATCCTGACACTAGTACATGAGACAGACGTTCAGGCCCGGTGGATTCTTAAAAATCCCATTAGGAGCACTCGGAGGAGCCAGAGGAACCTGATTTTTTCACAGATTATCTGTCTCATGTTCTACTGTCAGGATATAGTGAAAGTTTCAGCAAATATGAAAAGTGTCACACACTTTACATTCTTTTATGTAATTTCTTAAAATATTCCTACAATAAATGATGGTGTTTGTTGTAACTACTAAACAGTGAGTTTATGACATTTTTATTGGATGGCATCAGTATAACATTTTAGGGACTTAGAGGACTTAGTCTGTGTGTCCTGTCCAGAGTCTCTCCAGATAAAGAGGAAGAGTAGGCGGAATATTCATAACACACCCACATCAATGAACACGCGGCTGCAGCATTATCAGCTGTTACCGTCAGTTTACCACTGTGAAACTAGAGGCCATCGTGTTATAGCCTGTTGTAGGGTGGATTGCTCCTTTAGATTACTGAATGAATCTAGCTTGATGATAACACAGAGCAACAGATAACACAAAGCAACAAAGAGTTCTGGTTTGATTGAGACTCACCCAAAAGAGAGTAGGCTTCCTCCCACTGTGGACCAACACTGAACCAGACAAGGTCACCTGGAGGGTTACGATACAACTTACTTATATGTAGCATTTGGAGGAAATGTAAGGAATATGTGAAGGCAGGGGCCTCCAACTGACCTGTATGACAACTATCAGGAAGAGGGCCACGTCTCCCGTAAAGTGGACTTCGTGGATCTGGAGCACAGAGGCACTCAGACAAAGAATCAGAGCCCCAATAACGATCTGGATCGCCTGAGGAGGGGTGGGGGAGGGAGGATAATAAGAGACAAATCTGTTGACAACGCTCAAAAAAGGAGGACATATTTAATATAGATTTATACTTTGGTAAATAAGAATCACAAAATCTAAAAAACCAAGCTAATATTTCCTCTCTGCTTTTATTTCTATGTTGGGCTCCTGGAACACAGTTATAATTACAGTATGCTATGTCCCATAAACAGTAGGGTTGGGCGAAAAGGATGAATATATCGGCCATTAGCAACTGGAATGCATTGCCAGTTGTTTTTTGGGGGCGGGATATCTTGGGAAATAAATTAAATTTTGCTCATTTAATTTTCCGCCTCCAAAGAACAAGTGAGAGCTGCTCCTGTTCAGAGAGACAGTACACACCCACTGAAAAACGAGTGAATTAAGGGTTTATTTTAGGGCTGCAACTAAAGATTAGTTTCACTATCGATTATTCCTTCGACCGTTTTCTCAATTAATCGATTAGTTGCCCAAGGTAACGTCCTCAAATGTCTTGTTTTGTCCACAGCCCAAAGATATTCAGTTTACTGTCACAGAGGACTAAAGGTAGCCGGTCGGAAATTTTAACACATCACCCAACCCTAATACAAGTCAGTTCCTACTTTGTCGCATGTAGAATGTGACTGTGAATCTCTGATAGACAGGTATGTTGTATGTGGTTTGGTTTCCAAACTCTGAATGAAACTCACCCCCAGAGTCTTGGGCTCCATCTTGAAGAGAGACTGCAGCTGACCCGGGGAGAGGTTCCCCACTGCAGGAACCGGGTCTTTGTCATTCAGAGACATTCTGCTGATGGAGAAACGAGAGTGTGTAGAAAAGGATGCAGTCAAAAAGAAAGAGTGGCCAAAGACTGGACAGGATGGTTAAAAGGTTAAGTTCTACTGGTCAACAGTTGGTGTCGCTGACATGCCAATAGATATAGAAATCTGCTGGCACAAGGCAGAGAAGAAGAACACTGCTAGCTAGAGAGGTGTAGACATTGCAAAAAATTGTCTTTGCAAGAAAGTTTTGATAAAAGAAACACATTCAGCACCTTTGTTAGGCCTAAATGATACACAAAAGCCTGGTAACGCTGGGGGAGAGTGTGCAAGGATTTAGGATGTAGGATTTAGTGGCATCTAGTGGTGTAGTAGCAGGTCCCCCTCCTAGTGCACCATGGCTGAATGAAAACAACCAATCAGAGCCTGAATTTTCAGTCTCATTCCCAGGACGTCAAATACAGACACTTTGGGACCCTGGGAATGAAACTCAACAAACCACTTTCTTCAAGGTTCCAACCCAAATCTTTCTCAGCTCTGATTGGTTGTTTTTGTTCAGGCCCGGTGGATTCTTGTAAATTCCATTAGGAGCACTAGGAGGAGCCAGACGAACCTGATTTTTACACAGATTTTCTGTCTCGTGTACTACTTTCAGAATATGGCGAAAATGTCAGCAATAATGACAAAAAACATATTTTCATAAAAGTTACCTACTGCAGCTTTAAGTGTCTGCCTGGCACGCCATTTTTAGTGGATGTAGCAACCACCAAATTCAAACTCAACCACTGCCTGGCCCCCCCACACTCATTAGTACTTACAGACTGGGCAGTAGGCTACAGCAGAATTTTCATCGATGTGTTGGCACTGACATTATTTCCTAAGTGATTATTGTTAGTCTCAAAAGGCATTACAATGTATAGATTTAGACTATAGTCTTCAAAACTTTGTGCATGTGTTGATATAAGTAAAGCAGATTTGGGAAGGCCCATCCACTGGAGCTTTTCAGGGGCCCAGCCATGGGTACTGGAGGTAGGGGTGCTGAGGGGGCTGCAGCACCCCCATAAATCTCACAAAATGAAAACCATTAGTTCATAAATGTTTAAACTTATAGTGACTTTCTCCTTTTTTACCGGGATTTACATACGCACTGGTATTAATGGCAGTAATGTGGTTTTACCTTATTTATTTATGTTTCATGTGCTAAAACAGTGGTTGGAGACGCCCACTAGATGTCGCCAAAGCTTCACAGGGGGTCACAATGCCCTCTTGGTTTTAAGGTGTGTAAGAAAACTTGAAAATGTGAACAGTAGGCCTTTATTTAAGAAATGTCTTTATTTCTGTATTTAGATTATTATTTAAGATCTGAACTTTGAAGACCTGAACACAAACTATATTCACAGAGCCTTCACTGTCTGATAAACAGCCTCAGTTAAAACAACCAAAGGGCTAATAGAACAATGGATAAGTGTCAGGGAAAAGAAAACTCTGAATTAGTCAATAAAAGAAGCCTGTTAAGTATGAATGATTGTTAAAAGATATAATCTCAAACTTCCTCCAGTGTGTTCACTGTTTGGGTTCATTGTACAGCTTACCAGTTGTTCTGTACTGTTATTGTTATGTATGAAAATGTTACTTTACTCAATGATGGAAAAGGGTTGGGTAGCACTGCACTGAAAATGTATTCAATTTCTATAAAATGTTGTTAATAACTATTCAATAGGATATAAATTGACATTCAAATGAATGTAAAACCATGACCATCATTCATTCAGCATTTAGTGAGATGTCATTATATATAGTGACTTCTCTCAGTAGCTACTCCCAACTCTGACTGAATTCCAGCATCCCTGGGCCCAGACTTATCTGAGGCAGGCCTGCATTATTCCCTGCATCAGCACTGAGCTCAGAGATCTGGTCTCATGCATCTGTGTCCAGGCCGAAGCCTGAAGGTTGAGCCTTGAGTCAGCAAAAGCAAAGACTTGTGCTACTTGTTAAGACAGAAACACACAGTGTGCTTCCATCAATCATAAATATTAATGTACTTGAAGAAGTCGACCTTTTAAATGACAGACTGTCTATGGACTGTGTATAGACAGAGGACAGCATTCAGTGTAGAGGATGAGCACCGAGCTGCACAGTGGTCTGCAGCTGATGGGACCGCAGTAGCACTTGGCACAGCTCCAGGAGCCGCCACAACACAACTCAGGCCGTTCCGTGCAGGACTCCTGGATCTTCTCTTTGAGGACACCCCCTTTAGCAGCCAACTGTCGCTGCTCCCCCCAAAACCGCACCCATACTAACAATAGTTCAGCTCTGGCGGCTCGCCTCCTCAGCGCTGTTTTCAATGACACTCCGTCCTGTCCCGGGTTACCTGTCCTAGCTCCTCTTGCGGGACAAAATGCGGTGAACAGATGATCTTACCTCCGCTGTGTTCCGGCAGCTCGCCGTGTGTCGTCCTCGGCTCGGTGGAGGTGCACAGTCCGGCTGGGTGTGCTGGGTGTGCTGGGTGTGCTGTGGGTGCTGTGGGTGCTCCGCAGGCTGCAGCAGCGTGTGTTCTGAGGGCTGGGTGGATTTCACTGCAGCACACTGATGCTGCGACTTGTTTCTAGACTTGCTGTGTGATGCAGTTCACATGCACGACTGCAGACAGGAGAGCCCGCAGCAGCCTGAGCTCCCATTACGTAAGACTGTACCTTTATGAACGTGTAAGGCAGCAAACTCTGAATTATGTCTGAAGGATGCTTTATTTAAACAAGTTTAGAGTGAGTGTGAAGGGACACTGGGAACTGGCAGGGCCGGCCCAAAAGTTTTTTGGGACCCCATATTTGGAATTTGCCCCTTTGGTGGCCCCCTAGTGGTGATGCATGGGTACTGAGTAGCCACATGACTTTTGCCTCCAACTGGTGGGGGCAGCATGAAAACTCTCAGAGGTGGGACCATTGACATATAAAAAGATAGATGTGAGTCTTCACTTCCTCCCACTGTACAAACATGAAGCCAAAATATCTTGTTAACATCTGAGGCCACTCAGAGCCAGAGTCTAACTGGTCGTTTTTCGGCCGACTCAAACACAAGCAGGGCTCAGCTGTCACTCATGAGGTGAAACTCCCTTTCTATAGCCTTAAGTAACTAATTCAACAGTTGAGCATACATCAGTGTGATAAAAAAATACCTAAATGACAGAAACCATCTTTAGGAAAAATGTATTCGACGTGTACTTTGAATAGTGAGTAATTCTTTTCAGGTGATTATACACTGATGAAAACATACCTATGAATATTATATTCCATTTCTGAGAATAGATCCTCCTCAGTGTTGCACACTGGACTTTTAAAAACCTGATACTTGTACCAAATGCTGAGAAAACAAAATGTATTCTATTTTCCAGACCCAGAGCTATAGACTAAAATGATTTTTATATTTTCCACTATGAATGGTCGGCCTTATGATTGAGAGAGTCACTAAATATAAATATCTCAGCATCCAGATTGATAAAACAACCTACATTTGAATTTCACATAGATCATTTGGGGAGACTCAGCAGAAAAGTTCTGAAACTTTTGGACCACCTCTGGACCATAATTCATTGCTGTATTTGGGCCAGACCTGTTTTGCTATAGCGTTACAGTGGAAATTCAACATAATAAAAGTAGAGCCAAAAATACTTCAGTGAAATGACCTTGAACTGTCCTCCTGCCTCCTCTGTGCTGCAATGCCTCCCACATTTCTACAGACGCTAAGAGACAAATATTCTGAAAACAAATTTAATCACATCAATCATGTCCTAATTATTGGAAAGATTAAATGTGTGTTACCACATATACGGTGGCCGTGAAGTGCAACGGCAACCGTAACAACATACACATTTATTGTGACTGTAAAATCTATGAAATACAATCTCCAGTATGAATAAGTCAAAAGAAGCTGAACTTGCTGTGCAGATGCTGTGGCACTCTTCATGAGACAGGTTATCCAATACAAGATACAACCTCAAAAATCTTAATATTAGAGTCTTCAGAAGCTGGTCAGATGTGTGTGTGAGCGCTCACGCTGCTTTGCATGGGTGTTATTTTGAGAATTCCCTGACAGGTACAAGTTATTAAATCAAGACTTAAGTTTAGGATTCAATGTGAAATACATTTTGGCCACAAGCTGGCGCCAAAAGACAAGCAGGTTTTCTGTGGTTATGCTGTGCAGCCACAGCAGTGCTTCCTGAAGCAGTCTAGCAGTAGGACAGAGGCAAGCAGCTATAGGAATCTTGGAAACTTGAAATACTGTACTACATTTGAGGTTTCTGAAGGTTCTAAACAAGCAAGGGATTTACCCCAGCCACCTTATATTTGATTTTATGGACATACATACAGCTTAAGACAGGTTAAATGCACCACTCTTGTTCACCAATTCACACATTAAACTAGATATGCATGATAATATCCGCACGTCATCGGCATCAGCCAGTAAAGACCTTCAAATTATATATCGGGTCAGCCGATAAGATGACAGTTTAATAATGCACACAGAATGTGAGTATGTATGCAGTGTGGAGGTTTTTTGAAGTGTCCTAAGTGGGTTTATCTGCTATTTGCAAGGATTGCTCTGTTGGCCATGTGAGGAGTAGCCCAGTGAATGTCGTCGTTTTAAATTTTATGTCTGCATCTGCCAGTGGGCTATTTGGATAAGAGTACGCATAATAATGTGAACTACACTTTAGAAGAGACTTGAGGTGAAATAAAGTTTGTGCATATATCGACATCAGCCAAAATAAACTGGAAGATATCGGCATATCAGATAACGGCAAAAATCCAATATTGTGCATCCCTACATTAAACTGGGAAGGGAGCTGCTAGTGCTAACTCACACTTTAACAGAATATTATTAAAGTCCCCTCTGGTCAAAAAACTGTTTCTTCTTATTCCTACAGTGGTGTTTGATTTTCACTGTGCAGAATAATGTATGAGCAGAGTTTGACACTAGGATCTTTAACATTCCTAATTCCTTTAGATGAATGTGTTGTTAATCTCACTTTAACAACGGACCTCTCTTTGTAGCCAAAACCAACTCACTGAGGTCTCTCTGCCGACCCAGCAGCCCGCAGATCTTTTCTTTTGTTGCGACAGCTGTGTTCAGCGTCATGTTGTGGAACGAGGAAATGCTTCTTTTTCCACAGGTCACAACTTTAAGGACCTTTCATAAAGGTAAACACTAGATACATTTGGATTGATCAGGACTTTATCCTGTATTATTGATTACTTCATCCCCCTGTACCTCTTTTAGGAATACAGTACATTGTTGGATCCATTTCACTGAGTTAATAAATAAAATGAACCTCACTGTGTGCCTCACACACGCACCTCCTTCCCCTCCCTTTTCCCCAATAAGTTGTAACTGTTAAAACATATACAAAAGAAAAACAAGTAGTGACAGTGAGAATTACAAAGCAGAACATAACAGTGGGTAATAAATCTGAATGAAACCTGTCACATATTTTAAAGGATCAGTCCGACATTTTGGGAGAGCCTCAGAAATCCCCTAAAAAGATTAATCAGTCTCTGTTTCCTCTCTCTAAAATAAAAAAGACAGAATTATTGTTTTTGGATGTATTGACAGTTAGGCCACTTTGAGTGCGTGTGCATGCAGAGTGTATGGGTGTGATGTCACTGCATGCCAGTCACCAAGGTCACTCCCCCATAACTGAGAAACATTCAGCATCTGCCACAGTTCATTCACACTGAACAACTACTACTATAATGAGAGACTGGTGTCAAATCATACATTAAAAGTCCAGTGTGTAGGATTTAGTGGCTACTGTAGAAACATGGCGGACTCCTCCTCTGTAGATAAAAACAGCTCATTCTAACTTAACAAAAACAACAATTCTTATTTTCAGGCGATTATACACTAATGGAAACATTGGACCAAATGAATATAAGGTCCAATTCGAGAATCCGCCAGAACAGACAAACCAATCACTGGCTCTAAATACGGACTTTTGCATTTTTCACAGCCAGCGCAGTTTTTCCTTCACACTTGGAACGGGAGTGACAGACAAAGGGGTTACTATCTGCACCGCTAAATCCTACACACTGGCCCTTTAATTATCTAGCCAGTTATTGTTTTCCATCTCTAACATGACAGGGGTTACTTAATGACAACAGCTAGAAAAAACATCTTGAAAACCTGACATTTTTATATCAGTGTCAACATGCTTTAAAAGAAACATACCAGGATTTGTATGTTATAAATGTATTACAAAATACAAAAAAAAGTAAATGGACAAAATATGCAAAAACAAAAACAACTGTTGACAGATGACTTTTATTCTTTCTAGATTTTCAAAACATCAAAAAAAGGGAGCTGGTCTTCTGAATTCTCATTGGGGTGGATGGCCATCATTTTGATGTGCACCCCAAATGGCATAGTGATGTAGTTAAATACAGTACCCAAAACACATTGAAAATGTTGTCAGCAAGTCGAATACAATACAAAAAACTGATGATTGTGCTGAAGGTTTTACAAAGGCAAGCATTTTTTGGGGTCAGCATGACAAGCTCATTTGAAAACATTCCAGCAGCGATGTACATTTGGTCCTGATACCACAGACGAGCTTTCTTAGACCTCCTCCAGTTAATTATGAACCTTCCTGAATCTGTTAAGACTTCTCAGCAGGTGTTGAATTACAACAACACGCTCAGATGAAATGCAAAAATTATTTTCCAAACCACAAACCCAGTTTCATTCACTGCTTGCTTGCAAGGTCTATACATATGGGTAACATAAAGTACAAAACCAGCAGCCAAGTGTCTGTAGACGCTGTTATAGACCAAGAACAGATGGAGCTTAGTGCACCTGAAAGCTCCTGTAACATACATTTTACACTAAAAGAGATTTGTAGAAAAACAATGTCTCAAATTGGTGTTTGATTGTATGAACACAATCAAACACTGTCAGAACATTTACATACTCACAAGAAAGCAGCATACTCAAAGTAATCAGGAAGCAGGAAATCAGACACCACGTTGCACTGTAACCTACAGGGGTGGAAGAAAATATAGAAAAATATGATACTGTGATATTGTATCGATTCTCAAAACCATCGTAGTGATTTCTGTGTTTAAACCTCCAACTGTTGGACAGCAGTGCTGTAAATGTAAACTGAGGACTGTGATGTGAAATCACAATATATCACCTTGCTTACAGTGATCGTAACCCCTGTACTCTGATATGTATTGCATCGCCAGATTCTTGCCAATGCACAGAATTATAACCGTAATTTCTATGTATACATACAGCAGGTCAGTAATCAGATTTCAGCCCTACCCCCCCCAACATTATTTAGGAAACTGTAGCTGTGATACAATGCCTGTGTGGGGGGCTGACTGGCTCTGTAGTAAGAGCACAGTTCTCGCTTAGAGAAAATATGGCTGGATTTTACAAATAGTCAGCTGGTTACTGGGACATGCAGTGAGTAAAATAGCAGATCAGAAACCCAGTGACATGTACACATCGGCAACAAATCGGTGTTCTCCAGGAGAAAACTAGCTGGGGGAACCAGGTTCCTTTAATCCCCGACCCAGATGACAGAAACCATGGGTTCTTCTCATTGTCTTAGAGCTCTCGTTTCCCTCACTTGCATCTTAACTGCAGGGAAAAGATGTGAGGAGAGAGGAATCGAGAAACACATTTGGGAGGGGGCATAAGCACGGGTCGACAGTGCACACAGAGAGGGTGGGTAAAAAGACACACCGGGCCAGACAGCTGGTAAAAACATTATGGATTGTTTGACAGCCCAATGGGATTTGTCCTCAGAGGCCCAATGTCCAGTACACCACTGCCGACAGCTGCACCTTAAGCATAACTGGCACCTAACTGTAAGCCAAGGCACACTCACGTCCTGTGTGTAATAAATCTCACAAACAATGATAAACAAGCGTACCGGCCTGACCTCTGTGGCCTGTTTCTGCAGATGCATTGGTAAACCATCATCCACCCCAGCCACCTACGTCTGTCACAGGAGTAACACACCTGATCTGGGCATTAATTATGTTTCTTCCAAAATGTGTTTGGCACAACAAATTTGCAGAATACAAACACATTTAATAGAAGCTGCACAGTCACATCAGATATCTGCCTGTATGCAGAATTTATTATTCTAAGTTTCGCAAACAAGGGAGGACATTTTAAAATCTAACATTTCTGTTGATGTCTATTTTAGATGAACCCTTGTGAATGTATTTATCCCTTAGAGAATAGATGCAGAACTGTGGAGGTCACTGGCTTTGCATCGAATACTGTCAAATACTGACTATTCTGTCAAAATATATAAAAAAACTAGCTGTACTGAATCAGCCTGTACCTTTCTGTCCAGTAGGCATTGGACGATATCAAAGTTTCATGTCATGATTATCCTGCCCAATGCAATACATTACATACTTAGGATAACCATCAAAATCTTACAAATGGCACTAGAACATACTGGAATCACTTTACCTTACATTTAGTTAAGAAACAAATATTTTCTGCATCAAGGATAGGATGTCGTTCTTTAGTTTGGAATCCATTTGTGGGGATTCTTGGGATTTTGGAATGACAGGAAAGATTTGGGCTCCCCCTTGTGGCAATTCAAAATAAATCAGGAAATCAATATAAGACTGTAAGTCAGTGAGCTAGGTACATTTTTCAAGTCTAGCCATGTGAGGATATTTGTGTTTGCTGGACTGACAACTATTCCAATTATGGAAATTCACCACAATAAACTTATCTGTGACTTTTTTTTATCGCGATACGCGATATTATTGAATAATTGTCCCATCCCTACTGTCTAGTAAGTGAAAACACACACACAGAACATTCAGGTAATCACAGTTGATGTGTTTCATTGCCTGGCAACAACAAAGTACCATCTCAACAGTCGCGTGTCGTCATTTAAAGTACCACAGGAAGATTGCCTTTCATCATATTAGATCCAAACCTTAGAGTCCACAGTGTTTCTTGTCATTGGCTGTGCATAAAGAACCTCCCTACTGGGCTGACTGACAGTCACCATGGTGACTCTTGTGCCTGCCATGGACTCCCTTTACCTTCGGTTCCATCTGTAACATCTGTCAAAATGTCTGGGAGATGTCAGATGGGGGTGTTGGGCAAATGCCCATTAGAACCTGTGAGTGCCCCGTTACAAACTAACCCGCTGGCCTGTCCGCTGCGGGGGGCTTGTCCATTGCGTTTGCTTAGAAACTGGTTTCCCCTGAGCGCCTCCTGCTCCACAGGGGTCCTTCTGTCAGAGTCGCTGGTTGGAGTTCCTGCCTGCGGGGCCGTTCGGCTGCGGCAGCGTTGTCTAATGACGTACAGAAGCATGGTGATTAGCAGACTGAGGCAGAGCACCAGCAGAACTGACACAACCACCAGCTCCTTCAGGTAGCTGGGGGCTCGGGCCGACAGCAGGGGCTCCCCATCCCGAAACCCAGAATCGTTCTGCCCAGATTCCTCTGTCCACAGGGTCAGGTTTCTGCCCAGCTGTCTGGTGGTGACCTGAGTGTCCCTGCTGGACAGTGTTGGCTCAGTCTTTCCCTGTCTTGTTTCTGTTCTTTTAGGCCCCACAGAGGTATGCAGTCCAGATCCAGGCCTTGCCTCAGCCTGCGTGGTGGGTTTGGGGCGTGCCGGAGGCCGCGTGTAACTTGTTGGAGTTTGAGCCACTGGGCTGCTCTTCTGTTTGACCTGATAGATGGCCATGGTCTGCTGGTAACCGTTCTCAGTGGACAGGCAGAGGTAGTGGCCCAGTGTGGTGGGGGTGGCCACAAAGCTCAGACTCCCATCCTCAAGGTGCAGGTACAGGTCTGGGGACAGCCGGCTGTTGGGGCGCTCCCACAGCTGCTGGGACAGCCGCGATGCTGCGGGACACTGCAGCCGCACCACTTCATTCAGAGACACTGACACCAGCTCACCTGCAGGACATGAGGCTGACATACAGATTACAGCTCACCAAAACCCCCAATACACCAGGACCCCCCCCATACCCCTCTACACAATGTCATCAGATAGGAAAACTGCCAACAGCAATCTAAACCTAAAAGAATAATCTGCTGCAGTAAGGAAAAGCATAACTGTGACATGAGCATGTCCCACAGGGCATGAGAGAGAGAGAGAGAGAGAGAGAGAGAGAGAGAGAGAGAGAGAGAGAGAGAGAGAGAGAGAGAGAGAGAGAGAGAGAGAGAGAGAGAGAGAGAGAGAGAGAGAGAGAGAGATAGATAGGTAGGTAGGTAGGTAGGTAGGTAGGTAGGTAGCAAAGGACCACGGGTTGGAGTCGAACCCATGTGCCCCGAAGGGAATTTATAAAGCAAAAGGCTGCAAGCAAACAAACATTTCTTCACTTGCTACTGTAGTTACATACTCCACACAAAGTGCTCCTTTATCCCAAGCTCGGGATACACTTGCCTTGAACGATGTGGAGAAAGGTCAGACACAGACTGACAAAACCACAACAATGATAGTGGCAAGTTTTGAACTAATAAAGCTGTAGTTGCTTTTTCTTCTTTTTGCGCTCATTCACAATATAGAGATCATAAAAGCATATAGCTTTCTCCACTGACAAGTTTATTTTTAAGTTGTTCCTCTCAGTACTTAGTCACAATTCTATAAAACAATGGATCCTTAACCAAAATTATACATTTGTGTCTCATTGCCGCAACATAAATGTAAAGATTCAAAGAAGACATTGTGCTATGAAGAACATGTCTTGCATTAGTCCTATAAATCAGTCAGTGTTTGCTACATGGAGTATGTAACCAGCTGAAGCAAAGCATGGCATCTGGTATAAATAACACTTACCTGCAGGCAGTTTGTTTGGACCAAATCTGGCTCTGTGTGTTAATGAAACACTGTTGCATGCCTCTTCAACATTCCCTCGGTCTATGTCCTGGCCTCTGAGGAGGGAGTGAGCAGAGAAGGTTGGTACATAAGTTTACGGCTGATGACCGTCATGTGATTGTATTTCTACACTCTATTCTCTGGTGTCTTCCCTCTTATATTAGATAAGACCTACCCTCTTGATGTTTTACAACCAATCAAAATGACAACTGAGACCGAAAATGAGACTGAAAAATGAATGAAAAATAAATTCTCAGCCATCAAGGTCACAGAATATCTAGAAGCAACTGGACTTGCTTTAGATACAGATTCAAGAATCTAAAGTAAGTCTAGTTGAGTAAAGCTGGGCATACACTGAACAATTTGAGCCTGTTACTTGAGCGGTACGACTCATTTTAGAGTCGGACTGAAGCAGATCCATAAGTTCATTCCCCAAAGTCTCTGCCTTTGCTCGAGGCAGCACATTTCTGCTTGTTAGCAATTGCTAGCAAACAAACTTCTACCTGCCTCTGAAACTTTATTCACAACTGTCAGAGCAGCAGGGGCTAACAGGCTGTTTTATTTTCTATTTTACATGAACATGTAGTGTAAAGCACTAGTAGGTCAAGACTAGAAAGGGTCTATATAAAAGTCCATTAACCACTTAAATAGTGTCTACATAATGATGCCTTGTTACAGTTAACCATAAGGATGGCAAAATCTGGTGGTACTCACAGGCTGGTCTGGGTGTTGGAGGCAGCCACACAGGCCCTGCTGGCAGGGTCCCAACCACAGAAGGGGTCTCGGGCCAGAACACACTGAGGACAGGTCCAGTAGAAAGAGCAGTTGGCTGTTGGAACCCTCACCACACCGTCTGATGTGCCGACATATAGCATACCCTGCAGTGAGACACAATGAGATCAAAACTGTTCAAACTATTAGAAAAGTAGATGTTTTATATGAAACTCTTTGTGAAGAACAGCAGTGTCACAAATAAGCTACGCAACCTTTGACGTCTGGTGTAAATAAAGTAGAAAAAAACAATGTGGTGATTCACTTGGAGCTTTACATAAATGTAAAAAAATGATCAATATAAGTAAAAACAAAGACTTGAACTAAATCATGAAGTAAATGTCCGTCTCACTGTGTACCTTGGGTATGGAGAGCTTCAGGCTCTTGATAGGCTGAGGTTGCTCAAAAACCTGGACCTCCTCTATGATGTGGGCCCCACTCTGCAGCAGCACTGCTTTGTGCATGTAACCAGACTCTGAAACAAAGTTAGTGAGAAAACACACTTCAGGTTCCGACAGTGGACAGACATCATACTGTACAAGCCATGTGGAGTGACAGCTGTTAGTTGGCAGTGTATGATGCTGGCGATAAATATCATCAACGAGGAAGGAAGAAGAAAGATTGCGAGCTAGCAAACATGGATGGAAGGAAGTTCAGTTTAACCAAAATGATGGAGGGGAAGAAGAACCAGGAAAGCAAGAGATTTGAGATATGACTCAACTGGGAGCAACACAAAACACTGCACATTTTACTGAATTGTCCTTAAAACAGCACATTAGTTTACCCAGACCACAACAGCCTCAGACTCACAGATCAGCAGCAGATCAAATGCACTGCTTAAAAAGAGAGAGCATGAAAACAGCAGAGGCCACACATAAATAGCCGACGTACACCAATATGCGGGTACTGAATGGCAGGTCTACTACTTAACTCAGATCAGTGTAGTGTGATGCTGACAGCACTATAGCTATATGAAGGAGCTGGTGAATTCATATTTTGGGGAATCCAAGCTTCCCCTAGCCTCTTAATAGCACGGCCTATGCCTGGGACATTGGACAGCCAAGCTCATGTGTCTTTATTTGAATCCTTTATCTCCAAGATGTCCAGATAGGGTTCTAATTTAAGAAGTGCTAAGAGGATGTAAACCTGCCACTGTGAGCAAATCGCCACTTCCAGGTGTGACAAGATAAGATTGACTTTATTGATCCCACACTGGGGAAATTTACTGACCCAGCTGTGCCAGTGCTTAGGCATTTTCATACTGGACAGGTTACATACTGGACAGAACATAGTGGCCTCTCATGTGGCCTACCTGTAAGCAGAAACAGGACAGTGTAGTCTCTGTTGTTGGCAGCCTGGACTCTCTGCACAGTCAGATGGCTGTAGTTGTGCTCTGCAGACACCATGGTTAAACTTCTTCCAACTGGTCGCACACTGTCGTCTGCCAGGAAGTTTTCTTTGACAAAGCGCAGGGCGTTGTCTGACGCATTGTGCAGGCCGCACTGTTAAACAAAAGGCAGGTTGACATAATAAAAATTAAAACACACTTTTCAATTTAACACACTTATGTTTACAATTTAATTGCATTAATAAGATACCTGAGTGTTAAAAAAATAACCTTTCCAGGACATTGTCTTCTTGACAATACAGGACAGCATTTGCTCACAAACAGTCCTATCAATTACCAATAGGCAACGTTTTTACAAGTCTTTCCCAGTTTGTCCATGAGGAAGTGTCTCAAGTTCATTACAGGTGGGTGGTCAGTGTTTTTCTGCTGCGTCTTCAGTGATTTTACTACAGTTTTCCTCTAACTCGCAGCATAACTAACAGTTCAAGTTCAAATAGATACATTTGACGCAAGTAAAAAATATTTCCTTGGTTCCTGTTTCTGAAGTTGAGGGTTACTTTGGTGCATAAACTAACTCAAATAAGTTAGACTGTAAGCTCAGCTTGTTAGAGTTGAAGCCAATATATCTGCCTGTATGTCTTATTGTCTTAGTCTTTCTTTGTTCTAACGACCAAATGAGCAGTCTCCTGCCAGTCCCTTTCCATTTTCGTATCAATCAGAAGCGACCATTTACCTCTCCTGGATTTGCGACTTTCTCTTGAACCCGTGTGCTCCACTGTAATGTGTCCCGGTTCAGGACTTTGTAATTGCCAGAGAAAACTGATTTGATGTCAGTCAGGCGGAATGAACACACTGCTGACCGTCCAGAGTTGACAGACCTAGTTGATGGAAAAACAAACATTAAAAGACACTCTGAATGAGAGCTGCAGACAGAAGCCCCATGATGCTATAGGATACAACACCTTGTTTCTGGGATCCTCCTGTAGATAAATAAGACTCTACAGGGTAAGAGCAGTAAAGAGATACAGTGCTGATGCCTCCACCTGCTCGTACATATACTGTATGTTTGTTGTTGAATTTCTTCTGCGTGTTTATAAGTTTCTACCACATTTAAGATCCTGTATAAAAGCATGTTGAAATGCTAAACAATCCTTCTGAGGTTTCCCAAAACTAATACACACAATATATTTATATTTATTTTTTTAATTATTTTGAACGTTGCTGTACTGACTTAGACGTAGATAAATATTGAGCTTAAACGGTTCCATTGGTAAGATTCTGTTACATTTTACATATTATTTTTATTGCCAGTGAGTGAACAGGTTGTAACATAACTTAAAAATAGACCTTCTCCAACTATCTCAGTTGCTAGTGCATTGATTTTTTAATGCAAAATCCACAAGGATGTGACGTTTATGTGTGCTCCAGAGTGTCTTCTCTCTCTGCAGTGAGCAACCCTAGCTAACGTTAGCTTATAAATGGAATTCGCTGACAACAACAAACGACCAGCACCTACCACAACAGTCCAAAGTCAAAGCTAACATTACAGCAAAGCTTGTGGAATATATTGTCATATTGTGGTTTTAGTTGGCTAACCTTATTTTACTTGCTAACACGAACAAACTGCTAGCTAGCGTAGCAAAAATACTGTAAGCTAGCGACTACAGACTGGCTGGTTACCTAGCTTGCTCCCTTACATTATCGCTATGGAAAAGTACAAAGCAAACGGCTACTAACCAAGAACGATGGAAAGCAGGGGCATCAAACTAGCTAACTGTAGCCTAAGTCAACCTGGGGTTGGTCTTGTACCTTGTACCAGGATTTCTTTGATCTGCATTTATGCAGAGCCCTAAATGCAATGCACACATTTTACTAGTACGCAGATGACACCACCATAGTGTATTCCCTGCACTCCACGCAGGCTTCTCTTGGTAGTGGTGAATGGCCATTTTACTGGATCTAAACTAAACCCACCAAACCCACTTTGGGAACCATTGCTTTAAGCTGCACTCAGTGTGGTTAGAACATTCAAAATTCACTAGTGAAATGAGACTCCAAGTAAGATGCTGGTTGACATACATATTGAGAATCGCACTTAAACCACCCTCAGAGGATTAGGTGCAGCACAGCTCATGCCGCTGCCCTTTAGTTTACTTACCATTGCGAGGTGAAGATGCCATAAAAGAGTGTGTCATCTGCAGGAGCTCCCTCTGCTGGCGGGAGGGTGTCTATGTCCTGGATCACATTGTAGGGCAGCTCGTTGTCAGCCTGGCACAACAGCTGAGCTTTGGCGAACGTGGTCCAGCGTCGCTGCAGGGTCCGCTGGCCTCCGACATCACTCTGACACGTGAGAGGAGGAGAAGGCATCAAGCACAACCGAGCACCGCAACCTGTTGGTGTCAGAACTTAGTCTGGTGAAGATACAGCAGTATGTAGGGGTCTGGCCAACTCCCACTTCATCAGAGCCTCAGAATACCTCTAGCAGACTACAAACAGAGCCTCCTTATGTTACAAAATTACAATTACAGAAATACAGTGGAATCTGTGCCCATAGCTGCATGCTTGAATTTGTACACCAAAATTTGCTAAACTGCAAGTTCGGGAAACCTTGGAGTTAAGTAATGTAATACAGGATATAATCAACCTTGGGGGAGGGAGCTGGACTTGCAAGATGACAAACTTGCACGAGAATGACACAGTGGTTGGAATATAAAATATCAGAAATGCTCCTTTTCGTCTCAGCCGGCTGGAGGGGCGTGTCTGTGTTTGATTGACAGCAGCTGGCAGGATACCAGGGAGAGAGACAAAGTAAACACACTGCTGTAGCCTACGTGTCATGGGCAGACGTGCACTCCACCGTTCCACTGTAATTGTTTGTTTGTTTGGTGGCTCGTTCAACAACCTAAGGTTCAGGACAAGACTTGTGTTCATAAGTTTGATAAGGAGGATAAGCAGGAAAAGCTAATTGGGTTGTTGTTCACAGTCTGTTGCTCTTGTATTTTAACTGGAGAGCACCACTGGCCAAAAAATACAAAATATAAATTTCTCCCTTTAGATTTTTTATGTTTTATCAAAGGAGAGCAATTTACAAAGCAGATACAGATTTGTAAGGCTTCAAGTGCCCATATGTACACTAAAACAGGTTTTGCTTGCTGTAATCAGTTCTCCTGTTCATACTGGTCATTAGGAGATCCCTTCCAAATGTGCTTTTAGTGTAAGTGATGGAGGACACAACCCTCCTCCTGTGCAAAAAAACATTGTAAAGTTTATCTGAATAATAAGCTCGACCCCAGCATTCTCTCCCAAACAAACGGACACAACCGCTGTGGAGAGGGGCAGCCTATATAATACATTCATGTATATAGTACATACATGAATTTCGTATGTACCTGGGAGAAAATTTGAATTGCCATAAGGTTCTCTCGCACAAGGCATATCGTTTCACCCTTACCATGCAGATCTGAGAAACGCGAGACACGATGAATTTGTCGATGAAGTCGTACTCCCGGCCCACTTCGCTGAAGAAGAAGTAGATTTTCTCCTCATCAGGAATGACGCTGGAGCTGATGAAGGTTGGATCTATACAAAACAGATAGCAAAGCCATGAGTTTGTGGAAATATATGCAAGAGATTCTGATATAACATCATTACAGTTAAAATTAAGATTTTCACATTAAAATAAAGGGATATGGTACAGCTTATCAGTGTTTGTGTCTTTGACCCTGAGTCAATACATAAACTGTATTTCGGTGTGAAATTGTCTTTTCGACGACGTCAGGGACGGAGCACAATGTTAACTCCATGTATATGCCATTTAAAGGGAGAGGGTTGATGGCCAAATCCACTGGAGTAAAAGACTAAAAGAGCACTGCACACAAGACTGTGCACCCTAAACACGTTTAATCATTAGTAGGATAAATTAAAGGGTTCAGGTTGGAGAGACGACACACTCACCCTCCAGCCATCCTAACGTATCATCCAACTTCAGGTCAACACGTCTGCCCTCGCTGAGGTGCCGGGAGATGACAGGCCGGTTGCCCCTGTAGTCTGCCACTGTCCCAGTATACAGTTCCCCATCTGAGAGATATAAGACAGGGTTCCCACTTTGTTTAAGAAATCATTTCCAGGACATTTCTTGAATTTACAGGTAGTTCTCGTAAGTGGACCGTGGTTATTGGACAGTGTTAGCTTGCCATTGTTGTACCTGACTGCTCTCACCACAGAACATTTTTCCAGTTTGTTCTCCAGCAAACTGACTACAGCTTTAGAAGAAGAGGCTTTTGAGAATTTACTTTATTTTACAGAAAATTAATCTTCTAGAAACTGAGAATTCAGTTCACTGCTACGGAAGAATTATACTTACATACACTCACATGGGTGATCTAAGTGAGCAGCTAAAATACAATTAAAGTTTTCCAGCACAACTTTTTAATTAATTTCCAGGTGTTTCCATGATTTGAAAACTAGTCTCTAAATTGTATGTTATCCAGGATGCGTGGGAGCCCTGATAATAACACTTCCACAGTACTGAAGAGCAACAGTGAATATGAGCACAACTAGAATGACTAGTTGATGATGAAAGAAGGGTTTAAAGTGTATTTTTTTACTAAATGAAAGTTATCACCATATTGATGATACATAAGTATAATTTAAGTGAATATACTTTTTTGAACTGATTAATGAAGAATTATCATCAGAAGTGGGAAGTACCTAAGTACAAACACTTGGTTACTGTAGTGGGGCTTCACCATCACTGTGTGAATGTGTGTGAAAGGGTGAATGTGGCATGTAGTGTAAAAGCGCTTTGAGTGGTCGGAAGACTAGAAAGGCGCTATTCAAGTACAGGTCTATTTACCATCCATTGCCATAACTGTTCTGTACGTTCCTTACATTTTCAAAACAAGCTTGTTACTTTAGTTTGAATACATTTGAGGGGAATTATCGTGTATTATCATTATATTTTTCATCCTAGCATGCCTTCCAAACATCATGACAGACGTAACATGATGTAAAGGATGTAACAAGATGAAACAGACAAGAGAGGGAGACTCAGCCCTATCTGAAGTTTCAGTTAGCTTTGCACAGAAACAGCCGGTAGAGTGCTTTTTACTTTTATACTGAGCCTGTGATTTTACACTTTTACTTGAGTAAAGAAGTTTAATCAGTACTTCTACTACTTCTTTACATGAGTAAACAATATGTGTGCTTTTGCCACCTTTGATTAACATATTTACATGTATTGTCTAAGCATGTAAAGATGGATTCTTATAAAGTCTAACTATACAAAATGTGGTGCTTTTGTTTTCTCCTAGCATTTTAAGTTGTGAATCCTCTGTGAGCTGTAGGTAAAACTCCCTCACAGGATCACCATTAGCTGGGCATGCTGCAATACATTGCTTGTAGTCATGTGATTCTTAAAATGCAGAATGGATGATGACCTTCGACCTTTGAGTAAAAAGTGTCACCAGTTCAGTGTCTGACCAACGGTGAAATACGGCCTCAATCTCCCCTTTTGCTCCTGAGTTATGGTGTTGAATAATGGCCAAAAAAGTTTTTTCCAGGACATCATGATGTCACAGTGAAGTTGACCTTTGGCCTTTTGGGTAAAAAATATCTTCATTGTTGTATCCAATTAAATATCTGTGTGAAATTCTGCCATAATTACTGCATCAGTTCTTGAGCTTTGACCTAAAACCTAAAACAATGACCTTTGACCTTTGAGTCAAAAGTGTCACCAATAGTTGAAATAACAGAAAGATAGAAACACAGCTCTTTACTTCGCTCCTGCAGACTGGGGCAGGTAGCAGTACTGGGTCTACTTTTATTTGAAATTAGACAGGGTTCTGGTTTCTATTCCACACAGGTGCTATTGGTTTGGATTCAGTAGTAAATTCCTCCTCACAAATGTTTCCTCTCAGCTTGCCACAGCTAACATTTTAGTCCAGCAGCCGTGGCATTATCGCCTTACCTACGATGATAGCAGTGTTGCGTTGGTAGGGGTCGTAGGGGCAGCGACCTCTTCCTTCATCAGGCTTGAGGCTCATTGTTAACGTCTCTGAGTTCTGGACAGAAAAGAGAGAAAAGTTCCAGCTGATGTCAAACTAAATAAAGATGAAGAGAGAAATCAAACCAAATCACATCACATGCAACCTACTGATTTTAAATAAAATATAGTGAGCGTTATTATACTGTCTGGCTGCGCATGCATGTTATTGTATGTGAGTCCCTTTGTGTACAACCGAGAAGATCGACTGAAACTGCTGTTTCTCAGCTACGTCGGTGAATTAAAGATTTATTTTGACCAAACCAGAGTTGGTGATTGTTGGAAAGACCAACAGTGGAAAGACCAACAAAGACAGCTTTGGTGAGTTTTATTCTGTTACTGTCCACTTTCAATTAAGTAACAATGGTACGATGATATGCGAGGTAAAATTATCATTTTTGTCTATGGAGTCTGGTGATGAGTGATAGCAATATAACTGCTGTTTCTGGTTCTCTGCAGGGATCCTTTCCATAATGTTGTCAGACACTTAGAATAACAATCTGAGTGTCAGTGGCAAAAACAACAACTTTTAGTGAACGTACTCTGACAGGCGCATTTGTCCTCAAGGATTAGCCAATGTTACATTGCAGTCCGTTTTGCTGCTATTTTCTTATCTAACTCAGTGAATCAAAGGTTATTTCAACCAAACCAGAGTTGGTGATTGTTGGAAAGACTACTAGTTTTATTTGTTTCTCTCCAGTTTGAAGGGTGTTTTTATCTGCTACGTAAGATTATTGGTTTTGTCAATGTAGTCTGGTCAGCTTTAGTGCTGTAGTGCGACATCTAGTGGTAAGTGAATTTTCTATACATAACCTTTAAACTAACCAATCAGTTTAAATGCCTGTGTAAACAAACTTACAATGTAGGTGCAGCGGGGACTGAAGGCAAATGTTCCACAGCCATAGATGTGGGTGGTGTTCAAAAACTGCAGCACTCGAATGAAATTGGGACAGTCGGCCTAGAAAAAGAACACAAAGAACATCAAGTTAGTTTCATCAAGTTTCAGTAAAACGTACAGCAAGCAGCGTGTGCCTAAAGGAGGACCTTTGGATTCAATACTAATATTTACAGAACAGAAAGAAAGCTATCTTCTCATAGTGTGCTCACTAAGAATTCACATTAAATGAAAGATTGTGAGACACTCTGCTTCTACACTTTGCTCATTAAACTTTGAAATTAGTCAGTCTAAAATCAACTGTTTCCTCTGCTCATTGAAGGAAGTGTAAACAGTAGCTGTTACTGACCGCCTTGTCTTGTTTGTCAAGAGGAAACATGTTGAACTTTGGAGTTGAACCAGTTCACAGTATGTGTGGTACATATGCACGAATTAACTACTTGCCATTTTCTTGCCTTTCATGGAACACTGTTCAAGGTCTTTCTCTGAAGGGCTCCAGTCCAGCTGAAAGAATAGAGGAGAGTCAAACTCATCAGAGCAGCTGAGATTAACATCCACCTTAACCACAAGAACACACAAACATTTACATATTCCATTAAAGAGCTGTAGTTGTTGTATAGGGGTCAGGTGGTGATATGGATGGGGATGTAGCAGCTAAATGAAACACTTCTTGATTTTATTCATCTATTTTTGAAGTTTCTGTGAAATTATATTGGTATGGATGGATGCTACCCACCTTATCCTATCACACACTTTTTTCAATTTTCATCACACATTTTTGCATTGTCCAGTTTGTCTTTAAGTTCAGTAACTTGTAGGGACAGTGATTAGGAAATTAAGTATTGGTGACTATCTCAGTCTAGGTTAAGACTGCAACTCCCACCAGTGGTCGCTTCCCCACCTTGCTCCTAAGTATGATGGCGTCCTTGTGGCTAACATCCAGCGCCAACACAGCATCCCGGGCTCCCACATACAGCATGTCTCCATCCTCACTGAGCAGCAGTGTGGTGGTGTTGCTGACATCATGGCTACTGAAGTGGGTGAGATGTCTCCCAGGACTACCTGTTGTTTCACAGCAGTCAACACTGGGATTAGGCATTTTCCACAGACAATTAAAGTCATCCAGATATATGCAGGCTGCAATTTTCTAATCTGCTCACAGCACTCAATGCTCAGACAGCGAACAGCCCTGAATATCTCATTAGGCATGGGACGATAAATGCAGTTCATGATATTGTCCAAATAGTTAAACTCTTAGTTAAACTCTTAAAGCTGCAGTAGGCACTGAACATACAGAGTCTGAAACATACTGAGTCACTTAACCTTCTATGAAGTCAAATCTCTATTGTGTAATTGTTTTCTACCTTAAAATAACAAAGTTGAGTTGTAATGGGGTTAATGGGGCCTCCGTCTTTTCCACGCTGTGCCCTGTACACATATTCCTGCATTATAGAACGTTTAGCTCCGGGTCGGAACACATGCACAGACCAAGTCACACAACTATGTCGCTGATTTTGGTGAAACTGGATCCTATTTTATAGAGAAAATGTTTTCTAGTTTTCTCCCTGATGTTGGCCTCAACTCTGTGATTTACAGGGTTTCCTGATGGACAGTTAAGCAACGGTTGCCAAATGTAGTTGCTGTTAGCTAGTTAACTTAGCCATACTGCCCTGAATGCCCAGGGCTGGGTGCTCAGAGCACCGAGGGAGTGTGGGTGTTTACACTGGCAGCACAGGAGCTCCCTGTCGTTCTTTAGTTTGGAAACCACAGTATTTCCATCCGGAAATTCAAAATAAAATCAGGAAGAAATCAATATAGGACTGTACGTTACTGAGCTAGACAGCTTTTTCAATTCACTCGTGAGGATATTCATGATTATGCCGATAATGGAAATTCACCATCGTACATCGTTCAATCCCTATATCCCAAACTTTGTAGGCAGGGGCAGATCTAGGGAAACATTCATTGGGTGGCAAGAGGGAGGCAGAAATATTAATATGCTGATTTAATTGCAAACAATCACATATATCAATATTTGCTTGGAAAAGCCCTGGAACCCCATTTGAGACCTACACTGTTAACTATGGCTCTCTCCTCATATTTAACTTCCGACTGCTTCCTTTGGGTTTATCAACTGGATAAAGGACAACAAGACGAGTGTGATCATTAAAGTCTCTACTTACCCATAGGGAAGGAGACTCTGGGAGTCAGCCTTGTCAGACATGGGCTCAGAAAACCCAGCAAGGCCACAGTGAGGGACAGCAGGCTGTGATTGTCCATTACAGCAGGAATGAGGGAGTCTGACCTTAATTACATTTAAGGTCAGAGGGCAAGCGCTGGGTCTGTGGTTCATCCAGAGTGTCAAGGAGTTGTTAGGAGGGGTGGAGATGGCAGCTGAAGCCACATACTCTGGTTTCTACAGTAGACCATCACTGGATCTGAGACAGACAGACAGACAGATGGACAGAAATATAGGTGAAAGAAGGCTTGATTCTGAGCAGCAAAATTTCCCTATTTGACATTTCGGTATCAGCATTCCAAATGGAAAATTTTCATCATCAATCAAATCTGCGTCAATTATATTGTTTAAATTCTGAGATGTCTTTGTATTTCATTTCTGTTAATAAAATTAAGCATTAAAGCCAAGGATTGGAGAGCATAAGAACGTGCATGTTGTGAGCAAAGCTCAGCCCAAAACGTCCATGCAAATCAATGAGAGGCAGACAGGAAACAAGGGGTGTTGCTGCTGTACGGCCTGTCCATTTAAGCTGCAGTAGGTAACTTTTATAAAAATAACTTTGTCACATTTACTGAAACTTTCACTATATCCTGACAGTAGAACATGAGACAGATAATCTGTGAAACAATCAGGTTCCTCTGGCTCCTCCTAGTGCTCCTACTGGACTTTAAGAATCCATCGCATCTGAATGAACAACCAATCAGAGCATTATAGATCAGCCATCGACAGCCCTGCTTTCTAAATATCGGCATCAACCATTGAAAAACCCATATGAGTCGACCAATACTTTGAAGAGCTGAACACAAGGTATATTCCCAGTCTGATGAACAGCCTCGTGCATTAGGAAAGTTAAACCAACTGAAGAGCTAATAGAAAAATGGCCAAGAGTCAGGGAGAAGAAAACACTAAATTAGTCAATAATTAAGACTATTAAGTATATATTGTTAAAAAAAAGAATACATAATACTACATAATACAAAGAATTGTATAAAAAGAAAAACTCTGATCAATATTCATATATGCATATATTCATAGGAAATATTCCACTCAAAAAATCATCCAAATCTGGTTTTACACAAACTTCCTGCAGTTAATGTGTCCACTGTTTATCAGTCGTTCTCTACTCTTATTGTTGAACACAATATGAAATATCCATAAAATATTTACTCAATGATAGAGGTTGGGAACCAGTGCTTTATAGTATGCTGCTGATGTACAGTACTGACAGAAGCTCACATTGAACTGTTGGTATGTAGCTGAGCTGCTGCTGCTCATTGTGACACATATCAACAGTACATGCATGCTTCCAATGGTCACTCAGGAACCTCCTTCCAGGTACCATTTGAAATGATAACACTATTACAGACCTGTTTTCACCTCACTACTGACTTATGGCACACCTTTCAACACAATGCATCACCACTGACTACAACACCAGCTACAAACACGGTTTAATGAACTGTCTGTGTGTGTGTGTGTGTGTGTGTGTGTGTGTTGTCTTTGTTCAGCTGTATCAGTTCTGGCTGTAGGCTACATTGTGTGTAGGTCCACAAGTGCGTAGCAGACGTTAGCTAGTGGCGGTACGGAGACAGACAGTTATGTATAAAGTACGGTAAAAGCTGATGAAACACGTGGTACCCGAAGTTGAGCCCAACAACCAGACTGCGAACACTAAACAACACATTATAACGTTACTCCATTATTAAAGCAGCAGCTGTAACGTTACCGTTGCTTCTGTTTCTACTCGGCAGTCAGGTTTCTAGGTTGTGCAACAGGACGCAGTAAAGCTGAAACGAGCCATATTTTTTTTGTAAATCTTAAACACTCATCCAACTGTTGTACGTTACAAGTGAGAGACAGTTAAAGTCACCTTACACCTCTGTGGACGGTTTCCTTCACCGCGTCCTCTCCGCTCTGCTTTGGACGCTCGACAAGAAAACCCGCAAACTGTCTTAGCGCCGGTGAAAACTGCACAGAAGAAACGTGACTGACCCCAGGCCAGTGAGGGAAAACGCTGACCGCGGTTGAGCCTCTTCACTATAACAACAAAGCCTCAGAGCCTCCTCCCATCCGACGGTCCTGCGCGCTCCCGCCTCCACCTATAGGACAGCCGCCCACATTACAGCCAGCCGCCCACATTACAGCCAGCCGCCCAGCAGGGCCGGTGTCCACCCTTCCTCAGGCTCCAAACACTACCTGTTTAGCCCCCAGGAGGAGTGCCTGGCTTTGTAGCCAACTTGTCACAGTGACCGAACCGTGTGATTACAGTAATGGCGTCCGTCACGTGATGCACATTGGCCCCAAATTACTTTTTCCTGTAAGGTTACACTGCAAAAGCAGCAGCTGTCAAACAGTCAATACATTTTTTCAAGCATCACAACCCCCTCAAAATGACTCGTTTCAGAATTGGATCCATTTGGTCCGATAAGATTTTGAAAGTCTAGAAGATGCATCCGATTAAACTTTTTTAACTTTCTCTATATCCTGACAGTAGAACATAAGACAGATAATCTGTGAAACAATCAGGTTCTTCTGGCATTTGCAAGAATCCACAACCAACCACAGAGCCAAGATCCATTTACAAGATACAGTTAGTAGCACTAGGAGGAACCAGAGGAACCTGATTGTTTCACAGATTATCTGTCTTATGTTCTACTGTCAGGATATAGTGAAAGTTTCAGCGATAATGACAAAAGGTTATTTTCATAAAACATATCTACCCAGACAGTTTACTGAGGGGTAAACTGGAAGTTAGTAGCTTTGCCAGCATAAGTCTCTAGTATGTATTCATCCAGGTAATTTCTTTGCAGCGGAAGGTGTTTTTTAAACATTTTTTATTTGCTAATTGGTTGGTTTTTTTTTTCACAGAATGAACGGAGAGTCTCCTTCAATGCTGTATCATACATCGATGGTTTAGACCCTTCTACAGGGACAGATCTGAAGAGGTTTAAAGGGGTCTAAGGTTTGGTGCTGTCAAAGTTAATATATTCATGTAGGTTAATTAAAAAAATTCAAAGGAAAGACATAATCTATATAAATAAAATAATTTGGAAATAAAACAATGTATTGATTTTCCTGATTACCTTTACATACATATATATATATATATATATATATATATATAGGCATATATACACACATACTAATAACAATTTCCAGAATACAATAGTTATACAGTATGCTTTGTATAAAATCATCAAAAACCATAAGTGTGCACATTTTGTTGGTATTGAATTATGTTTTGTATACAGTCTTACCATGCCTGGATCTGATTACCAAAAGTGAGATGTTTCTGGATCATATTTAACAAATACTAGGATCATCCTAATTGTGTCTGAATTAATTTGTTTAAAAAATTAAGAAAGAAAAAAAGACCTAGACAGGTGTCAGTTTATTCATTAACACCACATCACCATGAGAAGCATAGTAAAGGTAAATCCAACTCTGGTTGTGCATACATCAGTAATGCATGATAAAATCTGTATGGTCAACAAAATAATCCTACAGGAATATTTCTCTAGATCCACCCCTGTTCCTCAGGCCTATCAGTGAATCCAAATATGGCAACACGTTTACTCAAGTGAAAGCTGCTCATCCAGCATCTGCCAAAGAAGTGTCTCACTGCCTGCAGGTGCCCATTTAATTGGAGATGTTCCGATACCATTTTTCCCTCTGTACTGATTTTGATACCTGAATCTCAATAACTGTCCTTATGACAATTTCATTTTGTGTGGACACAAATCCACAGAGCTCAAGATTTCAAAATATGTCCCAACATGTCAGCTGAACCACATCTAGAGAATGATCTGCAGTGAGGTACTGAAACAACATATCAGACAGCAATGAAAGCGTTTTAAAGAGGGAAATGGTAGTTTCAAGGGTTGAAACCATTTGGTATGTAGGTCTACAGCAGGGGTCAGCAAGCTTAGGCACACGTGCCATCGTTGGCACGCATTAGCTTACCCATGGCACACTAACAATGAGTGTGCAAAAGTTTTTGGGAAATGTTAAAGTGCCCTAAATTACCTCTTTTGTAGCTTTTGGGAGTTGCACTTTCTGTCTTATTAAAGCACCTCATGGTTGTGTATATGATTTCAACTCAGATGTGGATGTAATCATAAGGATGGCAGTCTTCTTGTATAGTGCTCTTGTATATAATTACAATGTTCTGATTATGGGAATGTTTTTTTTTTGTATGCTGCTATGCACGTTTCCCATATGGATAGAATCAAATCACAGATCTGTTGGAAATTTTCATTTGAATGCGGTGTAAAAATTAAACTTAATGTTAATCTCAATGTTGATATGGACCACTGACTAGGAAGAAATTTTAAAAAATAACACTGGTCTACAGTGTGTAATCTGTGTATGTACCTGTTGGTTGTTTCTTTGATTTCTGTCTCTCTTTTGCTGAAGAATCTTCTGATGTTTGGCTCCACTGTCCGTCTCCCACCAGGTTATCTCATCTGTTCAGACTCCTCCATGTACAAACTGCGGAATCAGTCAAACTATATTGACATGCAAAACAACTTCATGCAACAAGAGGATTTTGCTTGTAGATTTGATCCATTCTTGGCTCTTCTTAAAGCCAGCCTGTGTTTATTCTCCATCCAGCCTCATCTTAGGGTTCCTCTGTTGATCAAAATGTCTGTTTTGCCTGTCATGTCACCCCTTTACAGATTAGAATCCAGCAGTAATTCCAGCCCCAAACGTAGGTACAAACTATGGCGTGTAAAATTAGACTTCTAGAGAATTAGTCATAGACAGGCTTCATTGTGAGTGCAGCAGGGAAAGGAGTGGGTAAGATGGCTAATGAGAAGAAAAGAAGATTGGAGGGGATTAGCTGTGACCTGGAAACAGCCATGTGGTAACAGGCTGTACGCCTCCCAGCGTCAAACATGAAGCTGCTGGCACACAGGTTGATGTTGAGCAATTAGCATATCATGCGACAAGTATGATGCTCTCTCTGGACCACTTCATGTTGGCTGTGTGAGACCATCTAGTAGAAAAGCATGGCAGGGACATCACTAACAGGTTGTAGAAGGTGATGTAATGAAACCCTAAAGGTAGCAGGTATTCAGTTTGAAGTGAGGGTTACTAGTCAATCTTTATCAGAATACAAGCCTTTAGAGGCAATACAGTGTGCGCAACAACTGCTAAATAAATGTGTGTGTGTGTGTGTGTGTGTGTGTGTGTGTGTGTGTGTGTGTGTGTGTGTGTATTCTTGGGGTCCAAAAACCAGGTGCCCACTATACTTGTGGGGTCCTACAGCTTTGTGGCGACCAAAATGCTGGACCCCACAAGTTTAGATTGCTGTTTGAGGGTTAACACTTGGTTTTGGCTATAGGGTTAGAATAAGGTTAAGGTTAGAGTAATAAGGGTTAGGCATGTAGTTGTGATGGTTAAGATTAGGATAAGGGGCTAGGGAATGCATTAGGTCAATGACTGGTCCCAGCATATATAGTAACGCAAGGATTTGTGTGTACGTTCATTAAGACTTTTTAAGATTAGGATAATTTAAGTCAATAAAAACTAACTAAACTCTGAATCTGTGTCTGAACACCACATACTGTACTTCAAAGAAACAGCCTTGCATGTGTACACATACTTGGCCAATAAAGCTCATTCTATTCTGATTAATTGCACATTTGTTTGGTAAAACTGTGTGCACCACTGATGTGTCTTAAAACAGCCCCTGCTGTTTTACCTTGAGGCCTTGTCTTGTATAGGACGCATATGTCAAAATGTTAAGACCTTTATTTGGGTTCATACTGGACTTGCATGGTACATATTCCTACAGCCATTTATGTTGATTAGCTGTCACACAGGAAACCTGAGCATGGTCCAGCAGGACTGGTTGGTTTCTGTGGCTGAAGACTAAAAATATTGAAACTGCCACATGTAATATAATATAATATAATATAATATAATATAATATAATATAATATAATATGGGTTAATATGAGAATGAGATGAGATGAGACTTTATTGATCCCTAAAGGGAAATTGACAGTTGCAGCAGCACAGCAACAAAACAGATAAAGAACTATTAGAATGAATAAATTATATTAAGTTAAAGGTGCTGTAAATGAAATCGGCATTTTGGCTAACTTCCTGTCCGTTCTTGCAGTTAGCAGTCCCCTCGCTCCTCCTACCACCACCTCTTTGTGGAGTGCTCTCTCCTGATTGGATAAAGTGGGAACAGGATACTAGAAAATGTATTCTCTATTTACTGCAGACAGGAGGGACTGGGAGAGCCCCGTTACTCCCTGATCAGTGACGGCTGTCAGAATGTAGAGCTATATAACACTTATTTTAACAAAAAAGAAATCGCTGACAGCACCTTTAAGCAGTGCAGTTCCTACAGAGTCCACCAGGCCTGGACAAAAAAAACCAACCAGAGTTGAGAAAGATATAAAGACGCTTTGGGTTGGAAACTTGAAGGTAGTTAATTGTCGTCTGTATTTGATGACCTGGGAATGACACTCAACAATCTTCAAGCTTCCAGCTTCCAGTGTTTTAATGTCCCTGATGCTTGACAATTGTTCTATTAGACAATTTACTTTACTTTACTTTACTTTACTGTACTTCACAGAGGTAAACCAAATGCTTAGATACAGGCCTACTCGTCTGTATTTTTTAAACACGCCTTAAAATCAAGAAAGCCTCAGAACACTTCATGAAGCCCAGTGGGGTTTGAATCCAACATATTATTAACAAAGATAAACTACACATATGTTTGAAATTAAAACATTGATATATGAATCATCATCATTTTAATATTCAGTGTCGTTTTGCACTTATAACACTCGGATGTGTGCATAGCCAAACGTATCTACATGGTTTGACTGAATATGTAGCCATATGATAGCTAATATATATATATACATATATAGTGACCACAGTGAAAACAGAAAGAAAACATGCACATATACATGTTTTAAACAGTGATCTAAACCCTAAACTAGTAAAATGCTTACAGCCTGCAGTTTTGTAATGTTTAACTGATCAACTGTGCAGTCATACATGTATTTTGTCATTTCCATGCCTATCTAACCAAATGTAGACTGATATGACCTGAAGCTCCTCTGCCTGGTGAATTCACTTCACTTCAGCTGCTGTGCAGAGAGCCTCGGAGCCATGTTGAAACCCTGTGGATTTTGTGTGATTGTTATCGTGCAGCTGTCTTTGGCAGCAGGAATGAATGCTGGTAAGATCATTGCACTTTTTTAAGTGTGTATTTGTATGTATGTGTTTTTAGGTACTGCTGTCTTAATGTCTCTCCTTAGATGTGACAACTGACAAGAAATAATAATATTATTTATTATAAACTGAGCTGTAGACACAAGAAAACAACATTGGCCTGTTTTGACCTACATATGTGGGCCGAACTAATGATTTTTCTGATAATCAGATTAGCAGCATTTTATGCTAACTGCATGAAGCCAGTGGACTGAACATTAGACATTTGTGTTTTTTTTGTCCTTACAGATTGGAGTGTTCAGAGGACTCCATTCAGCTCCAGTCTTAGAAACAGGTGAGTCACCACATGCAATACAATGAGGCTTTTATGTGATATACTATCATACTATACCATACTATTCCATTGATCTCTGATGGGAAACGGCTGTAAAATGTAACACTGTGGAAATGTGTTACTACAAAACTGTTGGTACTAATTTAACTCTAATAAAGACGAAGAAGACCAATTTCTTTCTTTCAGAATTAAAGTGTTAATGTGTAACATTGAGGAGGATCTATTGACAGAAATGGAATATGATATTCATATGTATGTTTTCATTAGTGTATAAATAGCTGAAAATAAGAATCATTATGTTTTCATGACCTTAGAATGAGACATTTTTATCTATTGAGGATTACTTTTTTTTAGTCCTCCCACCTAAAAAGAGGCTAAACCTGTCCAATGTTACGTATTTTTGTTAAACTATGCTGGAGTAAAGTTACCAGAATGAATTAGAGTGTGACATATCAGTATTGTATTAGTTTCAGTGTTTATGGTCCAATCTGATGTGCGCCAATATAAAAACTATTTTCTGGTATATAATTTTAAGATTTTTATAATATAATAATATATTGGTGTCACTGCAAAGTTCATCCAGCAGAGTGCGCTGTGATTTACGACACTGTGGCAAGCAACACAGAGTAAGAGAGAAGAAGCAGCTCTCAGTAGAGATGGGTTTTATGGCTCCCTTCAAAGAGCCGTTCAAAAGACTGGCTCATTTTTATACCTATTTATTTTTAAGAAGCTAGCCCGGGGGTAATCCATTGAATCTGGGAAATAATCACTGAGAGGAATGATAGGGTAAAATTTGGATCAGAATCATTCAAACTCAGACATCTGACTTTGAATTATTTTGAAATATTGATTATAATTTCATTTGACATGTGTGGACTAGATTTTAATGTCTGATCTGCATTGACTTGAAGGAAATATTATTTTGACAGATATTACACTTTGCTTTGCCGTTTTTTTCGTCCGAAAAGTGCATCCAAATGCTGCTGCGCTTTCTTTGGCTCATTGTAGCTGCAGTATTGACACTCCGCACTCACGTGAAGGCAGTGTGCCACTGTGTCGGACAACTCAGATGACGTCATGCGAAATTTGCATATCAAATTAAGAACGAAAAAAAAGAAAAAGAACAGCTCTCAACTGCGACTTGGTTCCCATCGTTCATGTTAAAGAGCCGTTCAATAGATTTGGTTCGTTCGTGAACGTCACAACTCTAGCTCTCAGCAACATCAACTAGAATTGGTTGACAATATATATCAGTGGTTTCCAGCTTTTTTCCTTAATGGAGACCTTTTCTATCATTACAGTTAACTAAATGACCTATTTTATGAATATTTCATATTATATTCAATGCATAACAATAACAGTAGAGAACAACTGATAAACTGTACAATGAACCCACATGGTTATGTGAATGGGAGCTTTTGAGAGATTAGATCTTAAATAATAACTTAATAAGTTGTATTTAGTTTTTAATTTAAATTAAATTTTATTTGTATAGCGCCAATTCATAACAGAAGTTATCTCAGGACACTTTTCAGGTCTAGACCGAACTCCTTATAACATTATTTACAGAGACCCAACAGTTCCACCATGAGCAAGCACTTGGCGACATATATGAAATGAGATATAGCCCTATTGTGTATATTTTTAAAGTTTTCTTACACCCCTTAAAATCAAGAAGGCTTTGCAACCCCCTGTGAAGCTTTGGCAACAACTAGAGGAGGTTCCCGACCTCCAGGTTGGGAACCACTCATACATGTTGTATTATTTAACATGTAACACCATCACTGGTTTTACGCAAACTTTCTGCACGTATTGTGTTCACTGTTTGGGTTCATTGCACAGTTTCAAAGATAATACGAAAAATCCATAAAATAGGAGACGTCAATTTACTAAATGATAGAAAAGGGGCCCCTTAAGGTTGGGAATCAATGCTGTAAGAGATGCTTTCCACAGTAATAGAACTTTTGCTCCATTGACTTTCCAATCAAGTCAGAAAGACTGAGGAGCAACAACACAAAGCTGAAGTTATTTTAAAAGCCTAAAAGATTCAGGCCTTTTTTAGAGAACATTCAGGGAAGGAGCCCCAGAAGCCACCCCCTCCACTCCACCTTGCCCCTGAAATCAATACAATCAAACTGCAACAGTGTGCTTATCAAAGAGGATATTACAATTATTTTTTATTTACTTGAGTCAGTGTAAGTATTTGGTCGACTGGATCATTATTCACCCATCATATATCTACTTCTAGGGCATATCTTCAGATGACTCCACCAATGTTTGACCTTCTGCACTCTGAGCTTGGAGATGCTGGAAAGTGGCCGACTGATCCTTACAGAGACACCAAGTCCAAACAAATGAGTGCCATCAATACTAGTGTAGATTTGTTTAGGTTTGGTTTATCTAAGACACAGTGTCAGAGAATCAATAATAGCTGGAATCCTGCTTTTCATGCACTTTGTTCCATCAATCCAACAGTACCGGCTTGTGTCAGAAGTCTCATTATGGAGGCCTTCCCAGTCTGTTTGACTCATTCAGATGGCTTTAGATTCAGCTATAATGACACATTCGAGACAGAAATGATGTCTAACCAACAACATGTGACCCTTAGAGAAGGTGATACTACGTACAGCCACCAGACTATAGTTATTATGGAAGAGGACCCTGCAGTGATTAAATCAGCCACTTACCTGTTTGAGAGAGATCCTACTGTATCAACTTTGCTGAGGTACCAGAAGGGGGCACTGCATATTCTCAGAGGAAGCCATTTCCTTTCTACCAGAGACCATGACATCATACTAGTCGGCCATGGCAGAGGTAGCACCAATGGGACAGTCCAGCTAGCTGGTTATGGCCCAGAGGAGCTTGCCAGAGTTGTGTTACAAATTGAAAGCACCTTTAATCATCTTGGCACCATCAGCCTCATCAGCTGCAACCTTGGAAATGACCGCCACTTTATGTTACAGCTGCTTCAAGCTCTCCGGTCTCTCAGTGTGGAAACAAAGCTGCTCCTACACAACTCCTTCCTGTCTGTTAGCTCTGACGGAGAGATAATGACTTGGACTGACAGAGTCTGGAGGTCCCATGACAACAGCGGAAGAGTCCATGCTGAACTGGACCAAAGAGGTGGCCTAGTTACGAAAATGGAACTTGGCTGTGCAGGGCCAGGGTTTCCTGATTATAAAGGAAAGGTTTTGTACCGTCAGACATTGGACTGGCCAAGCCACCCTCAAATGTTTGTCCCGATGGAGCTGCGCAAAAAGTACCCTTCTATTGACTGCCTGGAGGGGCTTACATGGAGCTTGTTTTTTGAGGAGAATGAAAAAAGGCGTGCTCCTGATTATGTCCCAGACCATGATCAAAGACACCTGAAAGCAATTTGGATAACAGAGCCAGGACCAGCTGAAGACAGCATTGTCCTCAAACATATTAGTAACATTCAGGATCTACTTGTGGAGATACGATATAATGCCAGGGAGGAAGTTGCATCAGACCTTCACTATGTTCTCAATGAATGCATTTACAAAGTACAAAAAAATCTTAGCGTGAGTCTGGTGGGCAAGTTCATAAGCACTGACAATAAAGCTGAAATTGACAGCTTCCGTCAGAATTTCAATGAGCTGCAGGGTGAGTCCTCCCTGCTGGAGTTGAGAGAGGGTCTCAAAGCGTCCAAATTCAATGACTTCTGCCGCCAGACCTTCCAGTTTCAGCAGTGCATCTACAACTGTGAGAGATGGGGTCGTTACTTCATGGCAGCAGTGTTCTCAGCATCTGTGCAAAACTTCAGAACCTTCTCACTTTTCCTCATGAGTGTCATAGGTTGTGAAGTAGGCCGCTCCCGGGGGACTGACAGCCCCCTGTGCACAGCGTTTGTTGGAGCTGAGCACCCTATGATGACCGATCAACCCTGGCCTGACCGTCTGCAACGGGGATTCTATGGCTGCACTGTTGACAACTACGACCTGGCACCGCAGAACAAACAGCTTTGGTTAGATCAAGTGGTTGCAAAGGAAAATGCCCTGTACATCAAATCGAAGCAGATGATGACCGCCGTCGACCATGACGAGCAAACAGAGCTGGACATCTTTGGGAAGGTCAAAGTCATGAATAAGTATGTGTTCTCGTCTTATCTAGAATTCTTTCGAGGTACACCTGAGGGAAAGAAACTCAAGATGGGATGTACTCAGTCTTTCCATGAGAATTTAAATCCATAATGCTGGTCTAATGTGTAATAAATGATAATTGCATCTTCGTTGCATAGTTGGCTTGAGTATTCTTCTGTGTGGAAAGGTCTGACACAGATGTTCTGCTTGATGCTGATATGACACTGCCATAAAGTTCTGCATAGTTTACTGCTTCAGCTTACTGGCACGGCTACACATTTGATAGTGTTTTAATAGCTAGAAGAGTGGAAATTATCTTGATAAAATAGGAAATAGGGCAATAAAACAGTTAAAGGTCCAGTGTGTAATAATTAGAAGGAAGTACTGGCAAAAATGGAATATAATATTCATGTTTTCATTTGTGTATAATCACCTGCATGTAAGAATTGTTGTGTTTTCATTACCTTAGAATGAGCTGTTTTTACCGTAGCCCAGAACGGACAAACCAAACACTGGCTCCAGGTAGGGCCTTTTTTTTTTTTCCCAAATTTTGCATCCCCCGTAGTTTCTCTTACAGGCTTGGAACAGGGGGGTGATGACGAGGGGGTTGTTATCTAAAACTACACCACTAGATGCCACTTAATCCAACACATTGGTCCTTTTAAACCAGCTACTTCACATTTGTGTGTAAACTATTTAAACTGTGTGAGACAATTTGTTCATTCTTATTAAAACAATAAATGATTTAACAAAAAGCAGTACTGGTGATTTATTTGTATGTTTATTACATAATTTTTCTTATGGTGTCACACAGGTCAGCATACAGAGAATTACAAAACATAAATACGTACAAAATGCAGGATCACAGAGGGTGAAGCATTACTAGTAGAATCTTATAAAAAGGGCTACAAAGCACACAATTTGAGATGTTTTTCCAGGTGATTGCATTTAGAAAGAATCCAAACTACACTTGTGTTTTGTTACTGACTCGCAAGGTCAAACTGAGATGATTAATGTCACATAAGTAAAGATTCAGAAAAGTTTTAACACTTAAAGTTAGGGTTGCACAATTAATTAAAGTATCAAAATTGCAATATGGCCAAGTGCAATATCCAAATCGCAGAAGCTGCAATTTTTAGACAAAGGGTAAAACATGTGACACGACAGCGTTACAATGAAGTACTGTAGTTCTGTGGAGATTATCTGGCCAACAAATCTTATTCTAGCAGATAAAAGAACATATGCTTGTTTTGCATAAACTCGAACACATTTCACATCATCATCATTTTAATAGTGTTTCAGTGACAATTACAATCTGGCCTCAACTCTGATGATACATGCTCTTATACTGATGCACCTTTAAATGGCACTTGTGAGTTAGCCTTTTAGACATGCAATGTTGACTATATTATTCTATATAAATGATAATGATGGCTTTTGTGTGGTTAACTAGTGAGAGGGCCTTTGCTAGGCAACACTTATGACCCTGTTCTCATTCCTTTTTCTAAAATGGTGAATGATGTTTTCTCCATTTTAAGGCTATGCTGTCAGAACTCTTTGAGCTTTTAAAATGCAATCAAGCACCATTGTTGTGGTATTCTCACTACGTTGTGAATATCACAACAGTGGGCGGCTCAACAGAAGACAACATTTTTGCGAAAGCGAAAAGTTCAATTCAAAATGAGTGTGAGGGCCTTGTGTGCTAATGCTTGCTGGATTACCTGATAGTTGCTGAAGTGTTCAATGTGTGTAATTAGTTTATACAGCGCGCAGTCCAATGACATCAGACCAAGGGTTCATGACAAGACAAAATTGTTTTAGAACGCTGTAGGGAAAAGTTGCAGCGGTATGAATATGAGTATGTGTAATAATATTTATATTTTTTCGCAGTTTCATCAATAAAATGCAACTGTAGCAAGTAATCACTATCCCCATTCATATTTTAAAGTTGCAGTAGGTAACTTTTATAAAAAAATGTTTTTGTCATATTAGCTGAAACTTTCTCTATATCCTGACAGTAGTACATGAGACAGATAATCTGTTAAAAAAATCTGGTTCCCCCAGGCTCCTCCTAGTGCTCCTAATGGCATTTGTAAGAATCCACTGGGCCTGAATGAAAACAACCAATCAGAGCCAAGAAACATATAAAGTCTGTTTGGGTTGGAAGCTTGAAGATAGTTGTTGAGTCTCATTCCCAGGATCCAAAAGTGCCTGTATTTGACACCCTGGGAATGAGACTCAATCAACTATCTTACTTGGCTCTGATTGGTTGTTTTAGTTCAGGCCCGGTGGATTATTGTAAATGCCATAAGGAGCACTAGGAAGAGCCAAAGAAACCAGATTTTTTCACAGATAATCTTTCTGATGTGCTACTGTCAGGATATAGTGAAAGTTACAGCAAATATGATCAAAAAAACATAATTAAACAACAACATAATTAAATTACCTACTGCAGCTTTAAGACCCTACAATTTGTATCCAACCACAAAAAAAACCTGAAAAGCTGTCAGTTTGAAAGGAGGTATAGAGAGTCGTTGCTATATAGACAGTACAACATGTTGTCTAGTTGTATTCGTGTGAACTGGCAGGTTTTCAGAATGTTGCAGACTGGCGTCATGAATCTTTGGTCTGAACTGAACTTAACGTCCATTCCGCAGATCTCCTCCAACTTTACAGGCAATGTTTTAGACCTTCACATAGATGACAACTGAGTTGGATCTGGGAGCAATGGAACAAAATAAGAGTGTTCATCTTTACAAAGAAGGACTGCTAGCCTTCTATGGCTAGTAACATGCCAGCCAAAATTATACTGTCCTGTCCAATAACAGCAACCTTAGCCAATGTGTTAAATAAAACATCACCAAATGGCTACAAACAGATAATAAGTATGAGGATGATTACATTATTTCATTGTAAGTTTGTTCAAATTGTAGCTTGATTCTTAAAACCTTTAAAAATGTATTTGAGCTGGTGCAAAGGATGCTGGGTAGTATACTGGCAGAAGCGTAATGTGGAAACCTGTCAGACAGAGACCACAGGATTAAGAAACTGTAATATACTAGTGATAAATGTTGGGAATAGTTTGCTGTGTGCAGATGAGACTTTGCACGTTGGTATTCTGTCTGACACCTGATGGGGGGAGGGATGTGTTACTCTTGTTTAGTTACATTTCAGGGTGGAGACTCAGAGCTTGCTGATGTATCGGGGTGAGAGCCTGCTCTTCACAGGAGGATGCAGCTGCACGAGGAGCCCTGGCCGCTGAGGAGGCTGTGCTGCGAGGTGGCTAACGACTGGATTAAGTTCCAGAAATGCTTGAAAGAGATGCCCTCGCCGTCGCCTACACCCATCTTCCGCAGGATCTCGCTCATTCCCTGGTCCGTGCCGACCCCCTGTGGGAACACACCAGGACAAAATGTGTCATGTCATGTTTTGTAATCATGAGGAAAGTAAAAACAAAATAAAATATTGTCAAGGATATTTTGCATTAGAAAAGTAATCTGGTTAAAATATATCTTAATTAATGAATTGTCTTAATAAGATATTAACATTGAGCTAGACTGAACCAACATGTTGTGTAACAATAGTTAGTGTAATATTCCAGCAGAGGAACAAGATTATTTTCCTTATTTTAAGAGTAAGACCACTAGCACAACATCTCAATTTAAGAGAAGTGTTGTAATAAAGTTTTAATAAAACCGTTTTAATAAAAAATGACAAAAGTAAGAATGCTTCTGGTGCCTTAAAGCAGCAGTAGGCAACATTTATAAAAATAACTTTTTGTCATATTCACTGAAAGTTTCACTATATCCTGACAGTAGAACATGAGACTGATAATCTGTGGAAAAATCAGGTTCCTCTGGCTCCTCCTAGTGCTCCTAATGGCATTTGCAGGAATCCACCAGGCCTGAACAAACACGACCAATCCGAGGTGAGAAAGATAGAAAAACTCTTTGGGTTGGAAGCTTGAAGATAGTTGGTGATGGTTGAGTCTCATTCCCAGGGTCCCAATGCGTATGTATAGAGAGAGAGATATTTTAACATTTCAGAAGAGGTCTGGAGAAGAATATGTCAAGCACAATGCAATTCAGCTAGTTCAACTGAATGGTGAGGTTGCAGGGTGGTCAATGTGGGACGTATTTTGTGGAACTGCCAGGTTATTGTGCCCTATTGGCAGAAAATTCTAAAAAAAATGCCTTAATAATAATAATAATTATATAATAATAATAATAATAATAATAATAATTTGGAGTCAATATTCCTTTTAGATGTGACACACCGTGTACATTCTCATTTTAAGGGTGGAATAGCAATGATAAGAAAATAGTACAAATACCTCTGGCAGTGTAAAAAAGGCTGTCATGAGGATGATGCTAAAATTAGAGCCACCCACCATTTGTGAATGGATACAGATAATACATGAAATATATGTTATGGAAAGCCTTTTTACTCATGTTCACAAAAGTAAAAAAAAAAAGAAATCTGGATTTGGACCAGGGCGACTGAATACATTGAACTTTGAATCTTCTTTTCTAAAATGAAAGCTTCCAGTGTTCAACCTCTAAATAATTCAAGCTAATGTTGTGTGAGGAAATCTCTGGAAGAGCTGGGCTGGTTTTGTGCACGGTGCTGTGTGACTCCACCTGCAGTGCTAGTGATACTGTGTAAACTGATGAATGTGAGGTGAATGCTTTTTACGAAATAAAAAAAATTATGAACAAACCTCGACAGAGGAGGCAGTGGTGACATCAAGATTCCATGCAAAAACTGCATGGTTTTTGCCAAGAAGTGATTAGCAGAAAGCAGGCTTTAAATGTTTGTAAAGGGGAGACTCATGGGTATCCATTGAACCCATTTTCATTGAGATATCTTGAGGTCAGAGGTCAAGGGTCAAGGTCCATCCCCAAAATGTAGCCTAGATTGCATGACACAGTTGATACCAATGGATGTGCGAGGTCTTCTTGTTTCATATCATACCCTATCTTTGGCATTGGCAATAATACGTCAAATTAATCTTACACATGAAACCTTTAATACAGATTTTATATCTTTTAGAGGAATACTCCAATGAAAATGTGTTTTATATCATCTTCAGGCTTGAAGTTTCATTCCCATGCATCCACTGCGGTTACAATGGAGACAGTTTCATGTTGGAAAAACATGTATATATCAAAACATCCATAGAAAAATAAGGAAGGTGGTGACAGGAAGGCTTTTCACTTACGATCAACATACATAGGGGTTTATGAACAACAAACAGAGCCATCTTTTAATCCTGCAGGGATGTTTCAAATAACAGATTTTCAGTGGCATACTCACTCATAAAAAATTACACCCACACCCACCTTCATTGTCAGCTGAATTAAGGCTTAGATGATGAATTTCCAAACAGTCAACTGAGCCTAGTTCTTACGTGTGTGTTTGCTGGTGTGTGACTCTGCTGCTGAGCATGTTTCTGGCTGCCTTTGTGTGAGGTGAGGAAGGTGAGCTATGCTGCCACACCCAGCTGCTGCAGTCAACAGGCAGAGGGTGACACACATGGAGACTGACGGTGGTTTTACCTTTACCAGATTAGGCATCTGGGAGGACAGAAGACCTTTGAATTCATCCGTTTTCAGCGTGGGACCATTGTCAGCTGAAGCAGAGTGGAACTGGGTGACCAGTGTGTTGATGGCATTCTCGAGGTCTGAAAACTGGGGAGAAGGAAAGGAAGGAATAAGTGGAACACGAAAGATGATGACCATATCTAGAGCCAGTGTTTGGTTTGTTCGTTCTGGGCTACTGTAGAAACGTGGCAGTAAAAACAGAACAAAAACAGCTCATTTTAAAGGTAACAAAAACACAACAATTCTTACTTACTCACTCACTCACTCACTCACTCAGGTGATTATACACTAATGAAAACATACCTATGAATATTATATTCCATTTCTGCCAATAGATCCTCCGAAATGTTACACACTGGAGCTTTAAAAAGTGATTTCGTTATGGTCAGGGAGACAGGATGGGAAGACTGGTTTCCGGTGGCAAAGTCAAACACAAACAGGCAAGCAGATCTCCATCTGCTTTAAGGCAGGCCGAAGGAAACAGGGAATTCAAAGAATGATGGTAATGCAGGACAGGAGGTCATCGTCAATGTCAGCGCTTCCTGTGAGCTGAATCATCACCTCCTGTACTGTCGCAAGGTCAGCAAGAAGGAAACAGGCAGACCCTAGATATGTGTACTGTATTTGTACCTTAAATGACCAGATTGCAACTCCCTCGCTTCACCCTCCCTTTCCAAACACAAAAATGTGAAAAGCCATATCTAGAGCCAGTGTTTGGTGTGTCCATTCTGGGCTACTGTAGAAACATGGTGGATTCCGTAGAACAGGACCTGCTCCCTCTGTAAATAACTCTAAGGTAAACATAATGATTCTTATATTCAGGTGATTACACTCTAACGGAAATGAATATTCCATTTCTGCCAATAGATCCTCCTAGAACAAAAACCTTGAGTGAGTTTGCTCTCACACTTCAAAGTCTTTCCTTCCTTAGCTTTAACAGACTTTATAATTGGTATACTGACTGACTGTTGATACAGTTGCAGAGCTGTTAAACAAATAACAGGAGAGCTCTGTTTGAATAAGGCCATGAATGTGAGCAACACTACCTGTCCATGTCTGGAACCAAACCTGATCCACCCTGTTTAGCTATAACTCTATCTTTACAAAGCCTGTAAAAAAACAAGATGACCAGACAATCTACCACACGCAGGCTGGCAAAAGGTTTGTGCATTTCTGGATGGGGGGGGAATTATACATAAAAAACAACATTAGATCGTATGGCATGTTTTGGTTAAAGGTTTACCCATTTAACTGAACTGTAACCACCCTCCAGCACTAGTACAGATACATTTGCAATCTCTCACTCTCTTTTAGCTCTGTGTTCCTGAGGGAAAGCTCTGTCTCTTTATACTGACTTTATGTGAATTGTTCAAAGACGTGATCAGAGGGCTCACCGATGCCTTGCAAACGCCTGAAAAAGATCTAGCAGGCTAAATATCTGGTTGTGTCAGGGCACCATGCTACAAGCTACAGCCAATGAGAGCAGTGTCTCTCCAGCACCAGACAGGAAGCAGCTAACAGGGTAGTTAACTTTGGTAACAGCCCAAAACAACTCCTGAAAGTGCCTGCCTCTCATACCCACAGTCTTCTCCCACTGAGAGCGCAGCTACAACGGAGGCTGAGCCAGTTGAGACTAAATGTAACACTTGTACTGAATACACTTATCTTTCTAGATTATATTGATGCCAAATTGACAAGAAGACAGTCGACATATGACACCCTTTATCTTGTGTTTGTACGGGAATTGGTTTGACTCAGGGAGCTTATAATTAAATTCAGACTGTTAATATATATATCATTCTTAACTTGTCAGCACAACTTTAGGTAACTGTTATAGTATGATAATGCTGTCTGATGTTGACTGCTGTTAGTTATTAGTTTGATAAATGGGTCAATAACTTGTGTGCATTATTGAGCTGTGAGACGGAACCAAACTCTAAATGTGCTGTGAAACCAAAACTATGAGCTGTGTGGGGCTGCAGAGTTAGAGAGAGAATTATCTGCGAGTCCATCTTCCACGTTACACACAGATTAGAGCAGCGTTAAAGGCAGTTGTCTCTCGGCCATGAGCAGAACACGCTGCAGTCTCTCTACAGTTATTCTATGCATGTGGCCCGACTGCTTTGTCATAACCACACCCTTTCTGACTGATGTACCACAAGCTGCTGCAAGCCCTCTTCACCTCAACAAAAACTATCCCACAGAGAGTGCCAGTACCCCGACTGTAGACAAGGTACAGACAATTTCAACACATCATTATATTCACAAGGTATTATAGAAAGATTATGTTAGAATAAAAGACACCAAATGAGCCAATGAGTCTTTGAAACACAAGCACTGTCACAACGCTGTGGAGGCTTTAGTTTAATGGCAGATTAAACAAGTTGTGTATATGCATGTAACATTTTTTTAATCCCTTTTTGGAAAGTACAGTAGGGGATAAGCATTTAATGATTTAGTTTCAATGAGAACATGTAAAGATAGATTCCCTGCTTTTTTCCCTTTTTCTTAGAGTGCCCATTACCACGCCCAAATCCCTTCATTTCTTCCCAGCTCTCTCTTGATCTGAAACTCTACACAGTTGTGCTTTAGAACATCAACAGTGAGGTGGAAGAAACTTTTTACTGCTTTATGATAACATTTGCAAGTGTATATTAAGTTCTAGAACAGTGGTTCTCAAACCTTTTACACCGCGCCCCACCTCAGGAAATATCCAGCTCGCCAAGTACCGTCATCATGACCAACGTTTAAATACAGTAGCGTAGGCCGTAAGGGTGTAAGAAAAGACTGATAAACTGATATTATATCAACCCTTAAAAACACTGTATGGGTTGCTTAAAGTAAAGTAAACCTTTCCTAAGATTAGATTTTTTTTATTTCATCGAAGTATACTGCAATATGCTGAATTGTAACCCCTGTAATGTGATATGTATCGTGTTGCCAGATTCTTGCCAATACAGAGGCGTAGTACACTAAGCCTGTTCAGCCACAGACAGCTCACACAGGAGGCAGTTGTATTCCTAATAAGATTATTTATTGTTGACTCTTGTTAAATCCTGAATGGAACCAGAGCTAATTTGGTGGAAAACGGGACTTCATGGTCTCAACTTCTCTTCCCAATAGTTCCTGTTTGAAGCCACAATTACAGTACTTTTGAACCATTCATTTTACCTCCGCTTACTTTCTTACCATCACATTTCAGCTCCTAACTAATAATGTATATATGCTTGCACTACATGGATAAACACAACTATGTAGCAGTGTGACTATTAAAACAGGAAATGCAAAACGGATTTAAAATTATATTTCAGTAATCTCATAGTCAAATTATGTAGTATGTGTACAGTATTACATGTTTTTGAATTAATTAATTAAAAAATAATTGAGAGATTCTATTTACCACTAGAGGCAGCTCACATACCACCACAGTTTGAGAGCCAGTGTTCTAGGACATTCTCCGTGACCACAGGCTGCAGTGGAGCATTGTTTGCTTTCTAGAAACTTCTGCTCTTGGCAGTTCTAAATCCGTTATTCTAAGCTCCAGGGTGTAACTGATTGTGGTGGTTTGTTAGGTATGGGATGGTCCCATAAGTAAGGTTTTGTTTTTAAATTGGGCCAGGACAGGCCGCTACTGGAAGCTGAGACCACCCATGGTGTCCCATTCTCTTCAGATTCTGATTGTGTGTCATTATTAACAGGGGCGGAATATAGAGAAATATTCATGGCGGGGGGGGGCAGATGGTGGCACAGACTTTAATGTATGGCAGAAATATACACTGTAATGCAAAAAGTTATTTTAACTCAAACTAATTGCTGAAATGTTGTCAGTTTTGTAAGTTAAAAAAGATTCTTGCTTAAGCAGTTTGTACTGGTAATTTTAAGTGACACTAACTTAGTTATGTAAGTTAAACATTACAGATTAAGTACTTGCTACTAGGTATTTTATTCTCAACAATTTTTGAGTTAAATTAACTTTTGCTTGGAAAAGCCTCCAATTGAAGATACTTGAAATCAAAAACATTATTGTGGCACATTAGTAAAGCACCGACCTTCATTGAACGGCCAAAGCTTCACACATTTATCAAAATAAATGCCTTTTGTCATTGAACATAAGCCTTTCACTTAGTCTAAAATGTGTCTGTAACAGATAATTCATTTCCGTTTTTAACAAATTATTTTTAAAATTAATCTAAATATATGTTAAATTGGACAGCATTTGACACCAAAGTGGGAGGCCACTCATCTACATTCACCCCTGATAATTAATTCAGGAAGAACAATGAGAAAGATCCTGAAATAAAGAGGAAGCGATGCTGCACTGTACAATCATAATCTGTGTAACACACACACACACACACGCACACGCACACAGGAGCTCACCTGGGCCCTACATTCAAAATGGGACACGCCCCTGATTCAGAAACTGTATTAATGATATCAAACCTACACAAATGCTCTCTCTCTCTCTCTCTCTCTCTAATGTATCTTCTCTGACTGGAGATTACTGGAATGTTCTTATAGGTGAACGATGAGTGTGTGAATCTAACTGTATCACAGCACTGACAGCTACTTCTTCTCAGGGAGGGGCAGATGGCAGTCGGTGGAGCCTCTCCGTTAAATAAGTCAAACTAGGTGTCTTTAGGCTTCTGAACTCACTTTGTTGGACTTGTAAGACGGCGGCTGACACACAATAAGTCTGTCCTGTGAAGCATTAACAGTTAAACGGCACTTATCGGGTGAAACATTGCTCCTCAGCGACATTTTTTTCCGCCTGAGCGCGTGAGATGGCGCGTCTTCGGCAGCCAGGAAACCGCTCTTTAACGAGCTGTTCCGCTCCCCTCGCGTGCCACTCATACTTTAGAAACGCATTTCCCGTCCGAATCCGAGCCTACGTTTCTTATTTCGGTGAACTAACTCGGCGGCAAACAACTTTTTCCCCCAAGTTTAAAGTTTAAAAAGTTTAAAAAGTTTAAAACACGACGAAACTTGTCACCTGTAGGAGAAGAGCTCGCGCGTTCTTTCTTACCTGAGGCATGGCGACTGAGGCTTTTTAGCTTTTTTCTTCCAGCGTGTCTTCCTTGCTCGCTCGCTTGCTTGCTGCTGTGTGTCAATGGAGCATTGCCTCTGTCACCAGCTGGCAACCTTCCTGGATCCTCCCTCAGCATGAGGGGAAAGCCAGGAGGAGGGAGCAGTGAGCCGAGGCAATACCTTCAATTTACCTCACCCTCATACACTCTACCTTTATGACACACACACACACACACACACACACGTATATATATGCATTTAAGCTTTTGGTGTGAGCAAAAAACTTGTGTAATGTATTATACTGTGTAAAGTGGTGTGTTTGGATCACTGAGCCCACACTCAGCAGACAGCTCATTCCACATCTGGAAACCTTTAGTCAAAGTTGGACACTGTTGTTTTGCAATAACTGCCTGCAAGTTGAGGCTGGTATTCTACTTTTCTTCCAGACTGTCACTGTGTTAACCTCCTCACTGCCAACTGTTAACATGACACCAGACACTTTATTGCAGGTTTATATGCAAATCTGTCCAGGCTGTTCTGTGAGGCGTTCAGGCTGTGGTGGGAAATGCCTTGAAGATATGTTCTTGGAAGAGTTTTTCGATAATAATAAAAAAAAGAGGTATAGAGACAGAGAGGGAGTAAGGAAACAGGCACGACCACATTCTTTCTATCTGGTTTTATGACTTGAAACAGTCAGTGGGGTGGGTGTAGAGAGGGGGAAAGCTCAACCGCAAGAATCTATCAAAAGAATCAACAAGATTCCAGCAGAGACTAAAAGGAGAGCTTTTTCCAGGCTGGGGTAGGTACTTGTGAGAGCAGCTGATGTCCTCCGGGTGAAGGGAGTGTACAAATATATGATTTCAACAATTTACATGGTCACATTCCCCACCCCGAACTCCTCCTTCACCTCCAGGTCCGTGAATATGTGACTGGGAAGGCCTGATGCCACACCCAGTCAAAGAAGCCACAGTGAATTGTTTCAGTATGAGACCATCGACCTTTCCCACTGTTTCATCCTCGCTGCGCTGAGCTGCTCCCATATGCTTTGCATTAATGCACACACAAACATGAACACACATGTACATGAATACACAAACACAGAACAGCAAACATTGCCATGATATCACACAAGTCACTGCACATGGTTGTGAATTAAACATCATTTCCAAAAACCACTTTGGGAGCCTTTTAAAGCTGCAGTAGGTCACTTTTATAAACATAACTTATTAGATTTCAGTTGGTTGCAATCTGTAACTTTCACTTTATCCTGACAGTAGTACATGACACTGATAATCAGTGTAAAAATAGCGAAAGTTTCAGCGAGTTATTTTTTACCTACTGCAGCTTTAACTGCTTCTACTTCCTGAAATTGTATCTATTCATGATAAAGTATGATAAGGATTTTGGTCACTTTATGAGCTGAATTTTAGAATTTGTACCGTAATCAAAGATTCATAAATAGCAAAAAAATCTTACAATAAGACACAAATTCTTTAAACAGCAAAGTGACTTTGTCTTCAATTAAAGCTGCAGTAGGTAACTTTTATAAAATAACGTTTTGTCATGTTTGCTGAAACTTTCCCTATATCCTGACAGTAGTACATGAGACAGATAATCTGTGAAACAATCAGGTTTGTCTCCTCCTAGTGCTCCTAATGGTATTTGTAAGAATCCAGAGCTGAGAAAGATATAAAGACGCCTTGGGTTGGAAGCTTGAAGATAGTTGATAGTTGAGTCTTATTCCCAGTGTCGGTATTTGATGATCTGGGATTGAGACTCGAGAATACACTTTATCCACTCTGACTGGTTGTTTTCCTCCTAGCATGGTTCAGGCTGCTCGCCGAAGAAGAGGACCCATTCCTTTTGTAGATAAAAACACAACGATTCTTGACCAATGCAAACATACCTATGAATATTATATTCCACCTCTGACAATAGATCCTCCTAAATGTTACACACTGGACCTTAAAGCATGTTATAGATACAGTACATTGTATCTTTAGTTGTGTAAACAGTCATTATACTGGTTGACTTAACCTCAATGGGTTAAAGAATCAAGGATTTCTAGGTGATTGAGCAAGAAAGAAATGAGTAAAAAGGCCTGGGGAACTTTACAGGAATGTTTAGTTTTGGTGGGTTGGTCATGAAACTGTGTTAAAGGGACAGTTCAGTGCTTGAAAGCAGTTCCTACATGAAACTGGTCACAACAGTGTTTCTCAAATGAATGTCTTGTGTGCCTTGAGCACCATCGAGTGCCATCTGCTTCCATTATATTGGAGAGAAGGCAGACATCTCCAAAACTCAGCAACTCACACCAATGCAATCTAGATGGATAAACAGCACTACAAGTTAGAGGGAAACCATGTATTTTTGATTTTGGGTTGAACTATCTTTTAAGTATATTTAGGCCTCTCCTAAATATTGGTTAAATTTGCAAATGGATATCAGCCGTATTGTTTTAAAAATGTTTTACCTCAGCAGTAGGCAACTTTTATGGAAATATGTTTTTGGCATAATTTGCTGACATTTTCTCTTTGTTCTGACAGTAGTACATGAGTATCTGTCTACTACTGTCAGAACACAGAGAAAATGAAACAATCCGGTTCCTCTGGCTCCTCCTAGTGCTCCTAATGGCATTTGTAAGAAAATACCGGGCCTGAATGAAAACAACCAATCAGAGCCGAGAAAGATATAGACAGTTTGGGTTGTAAGCGTGAAGACAGTTCATTGTTGAGTCTCACTTGCAAGGGTCCCAAAGCGTCTGTTTTTGACACCCTGGGAATGAGACTCAACAATCTAGTATCTTCCTTGGCTCTGATTGGTTGTTTTCACTGAGGCCTGGTGGATTCTTACAAATGCCATTAGGAGCACTAGGACCAAGATAATGGCCACTAAGTTTTTCTCAGCTGGATCTTAATATTTGTGCGCTAACACTTTCTATTCCTTTGCACCACAGTCACATCCACAAGCAAATCTTTCACTTCTGTATATGTACTACAAAAAACATTGCTCCTGCACAACAACAGCTCCTAAAACAGCTGACATTTTTAAAATGAGAGGGAAACAGAAAAAGGTTAAGTCAAAAAGGTAATTATCCTTTTATTTCAACGTCGAAAATTCTCTTTTTATGTGTGTTTTATTTCTTAACCAGTTGTGTCTTTAACAAGTTTGATTTTCCAATAAAAGCATCATTCTTGTGTTATTCTATGTCCAAAACCAACAGTGTGTTAGTGCATCTCAATACTTCCCCACCCTGTCTGTGGCTCAGCTCCACGCCCATTGGCTCCTACTGAAGACTTAAATCCTTTAAAAACACCTCACAAATATACTGTTCCATTTAAAAATGTAATTTAGAGTAAAATAGCCAATAGTCACTGTAGTTTTTAACAAAAATTACTCAAACTGGAGGAAATAGTGCATTTGTTGGGGGACTATTTTCAGCGGTGGATGAATCCACATTAGGGGCCATTTCTGACAGACAGTGACATACATTCCCTTATGGTAATGAAGGAACATCTCACCCAGTGTAACAGTGTGGCTCAAAAGCAACAATGGAGCTCTATGACACAGAGGAATAAGATATATCAGGCTTTGATGCACACACAATACTTAGTGGGATACAGTGGGTTTGGCTCTACACACAAAAGCACCCATTTATCCATTGATCTGCACCTATCTACAGTGACCAAATACATCTCTAAAGCTTCTCAAAAAGATTTGTTGCTCAAGAAAAACATGTGACTGCTTACCGAGTTGATTCTGAAAGGGTATTTTTCTACACACCTTATAGAATGTAAGACCATATCGATACGCTTGAGTATCGCCATATTTTGTTTTGTGATATAGTATTACTGCTTAAAAGCCCCAAACTGCTAGATAGCAGCATTGTAAACATAAACTGAGGGCTATGATGTTGGATGTTACAGGGATTGTGATAAATACAACTGAAGATCTCACTGTTCTGGTTGCATAAAAAATAAACTTGTTTTGTTTTTACAGATTTTATGGATAAGGTGGTATGTTTACAGTATGGCCGTTTTCCTAATACTAGATTTTTGGATTTTAAAAAAAAGGAAAAAGAGCTCATACAAGAGCGGAAAAGGAGATGAGGGTGAACCAGCTCAGGAGAAGGATGGTGTTCCTGTGGGTGCTGTGACACTGGAGATTTCACTTCCTTCAGGCGAAAGGAACAGAAAACGTAGATTTTTGTTGGGTCCTTTCCATACTCTTGTCAGACTTAAACAGGTCCAGTGTGTAAGATTTAGGAGGATATATTGTCAGAAATTGTCACTTAATCCTACATACTGGACCTTTATTTAGCTAGCGAAATCAAGCACATTCAATGGACGTAATTAATCATGTGCAATTGCCCACAACAATTATAGCCCGTTTCATGGCTGCAGGCTGCAGCACTCCCACTCAATATGAGACGTTTCTCATTATAATGACCAACAGAATCTTTTTTTTCTGTAACATTGGCGGAAATTGGCTTCTACAGCATCCTGTCAGTTTATAAACTCAGTGCTCAGCTGAAGGTGAAATCCCTCCAGGTGTTCTTTAAGTTTCTCCCTCACATCTTCTCTAATTTCCACTGATGCAGCGTTGGTAGCAGAATGCTGGTCACTATGCACTCCATCACAGGCTGTCTCATCTCCAGACAGACCTCCACTGTTCTCCGTCATGTGTCCCATATGTCCTTTAAGACCCACTTCTGACACCAGTATGGTTTGTGCTCCGCGAGCAACTCCGCTTTGTAATCCGTCTTCAGCAGGGACAGGCACCAGAATGACCTGTCCCTCAGCGCTGTCCTGTATCCAAAACAGCTGCTGCAGGTCCACATGGTGCTCCTGACCCATTGCTTCACTGTCCCCTTCACACACATCAGAGAGCAGCAGCTTCTGTTGAGAGCCTAAAAGCTGCAAACTCTGCTCATGGGTATCGGTCACTCCAGCAGGGATCACGTGTTGAAGACTTTGAGTTTGGAGCCGGACTTCGGAATTTGTTCCATCGGAGTCACTGCCTTCTACACTTTTCTGTATGTTTTTGGCATTTTCAGCTGTGCTACAAGTGCTGGTTTCAACACTTCTCTGAATCTTCACAGAGTCCTTATGCTCATGCTGGACACCTTTCCCAGTCTTTGAACCTCTGCATGCTACCCGACCACCAACCTGCATCTGTCCTCTTCCGCAGTAAAAACAGTATGCCTTCTCTTCTTCAGACCAGCTGCTGGTGTCTGGAAGAAAATGACCCCCCAACTCCATCTGATCCACACATCTGTCCTCAAACACCCCTGTATCCTCAGATTTAGCGTCAGTCTCACTCTCCTCCTGGCTGCAGCCTTCTTTGCCTCCTCTCTTCTCCCCCCCTGGTGTCCAGCTCCCCCTGTTTTTACAACCATCTCGTGACACAAGCAGAGCCTGCTTCAGCCGTTTATCACGGAGCCTCAGCACAGTGCTCCGCAGGCGGTTCTCCCTCCGCCTGGCTGCGTGCAGCTGTCGCAGGGCCTTCTCCAAGCAGTCGATAGCTTGGTCATAACGTCTCCTCCACAACAGGGGGCAGAGCTGAGCGTAGCTGTGTTCCTTCGACAGGTAGAAGCCTGGAGGAGGGGGCAGGCGCCTCATGTAACGTGATGGGGAGAGGGGACGAGACGCTGGTGGTGGTGAAGGACTACGTTCTCGCTGTGAGAGCTGCTCCACCCCTGATGGCTCTTGAGAAGATGCACGAGTGTCCTCAGCTGCCACCACTGACCTCTGAACTGTGGGCTCTTCTGAAGGTCGACCCTTGTCTGTCTCCTGCTGAACGTTCTCCTGGTCGCCTGAGTGGGAATTCTTCCTACAGAAAAAGAAAGTGACAAAGGCTGCCTGTTCCATAATAATCCATACAGAGGGCTGACATATGACAGGACAAACCATTGCACATTCAATTCATAGCTCTCTTATTAGCACTACAGCTAGTGTGCAATGTTAGCATTTAACATGTTGATGTACTAGTGTCATATTTCGATACTATATACTACTATACTATATTTGCCTAGCACTCTTGTAACATAAATCATAAAAAGTCGAATAAAATGTAATCTATTATATTGCAGATCTATTTTTAAAGGTAAAACTAAATGCCAGAACTGGGTACTGAACAATAGACAATAATGATGTCAAAATTCCTGCAATGATCTTTTTGCTGTACTGTACTGTAGGTGACAAACTAGTGAAATCATGCCACAATATAATTTTGAATCGGAATTGGATTATCTTTTTCTATGCATGTAGCATGCATGAACTACAAACTTACACTTTCCCTGATGTAGCCACCTTTCTCTGTCTATAGTCACCACCTTGCAGTGCCTGCCCACAGCCTATCTGGTAGCTTGGTTACATGAGTAATCAACACTGCCACAGACAGGCAGAGACTGGACAGACGCCCCACTCTTTTAGAAGAAATCATTTTCCAGGAGATTTCTTGACAATACAGGACACAACAACGACAATAGTTTAACTACGTTACACCACTACTCATCAGCAATGACAAAAACCTGACTAAGCATGAGTTCTGTTTACCTGACAGGAATGTCCTCTTGTTTCTGCAGTGTTTCTGGTCTTTTGCATTTGGTCGTTGAAGAGGAATCAAATACTGTAGGGAATGCATCTTCCTTCAGTCTTCTGATCCCACTGTGAGTGAGAAGGTCAAACACAGTTTATCCTGCTATCTTAACGTCAGCAGTAGACTCATATTTTACACCACAGGTCAATTACAGAAAACTGAGTTCAACTATTGAGATCTATAAGGTCCTGACTGAGTCTACTGACCTGCACCCAGTCAGTTCAAAACTCTCTGGAGTGAAGTGTTTGGAGCAAAAGTAGACAAAGTCAGTCTGAGGATCCCAGGAGTCTGCCCGATGGGAGTTGGTGATCCAAAGGTTCCTCCGAGTTCCTCCTTTTGGTAATCTGGCCATCCCATTGACAAATTATCATTGATCAAGCGTGTGTCGTCACATTTGTCTCTTCGATTCTCAAGTTAAATAGGTAGACATTTAAGGACAATACAAAAACAACAAGGCATTAAACACAACATCTACAGTGTTTTGTCTGTATTTGTAAGTGTGGGAGTTCACCAACAAGCCCACTGAGTCTGAACTGTATTGCCACAACACTTTCCACAGGCGCGTGAGCCTATGTACTGAATGTTCCCTGGTTCTGATGTTGCCAGGTTCCTTTTTCAAGTCAAACCATGTGAGGATATTAACAATTATCTCAATTCACGATTATCACAATAATGGAAATTCACCATGAGTGTTTTTTATTGTGATATGCAATAATATTGTGTATCATCCCGTCCCTATTTCAGCATACTTCTAGTATAGAAAATTACAAAAACACGACATCTCAAAAATGTTCCATGAAAGGTGAACGGAAATTGTGTTTATTGACAAGATGCTTCGAAAGATACTCAAATATTCAAATACATGTGTCATTACAGTTAACAAGATATGAGTATATATGGAGATTGTTCTGTATGCAGGTGTTTCCTAATCTGGATGTTCAATCGGTTCATGTTGGTGCAGATGGCAACTTTGAGTTTTTAATGTTTATGCTGCTGGTTGCTGAATAAAAAGCTCTAACTGTTCCCTAGGGCAGACAATTAGCCAGAATCTGGTGGTATGATGCATATCACCATACAGCGGTTACGATCCAATATAATGTGATACTGTAAACCAGGTGATATACTACAAGTTTTTCTTTTACATCAAATTTCAAGAAAACTGTCATAGTATAAAGAACACATAATGTGCATTAAAATTGAGTTAAAAAAATGGATGGAGCAGCAGAAAAAGTGTTTAAAACTGACATTCTACAAAATGTGCAAATTGCTTACTTGTGAAAGGTGATACCAGCATTCCGAGTCTCACGATTGTCCCGAGATTTGCAGCCGCCTGCTGAGCAATGTCTTGGCATCTGGAAATAATACAGCAAAGAGAAGAAAAAAGGAGTCAGTGATTTGTTTTGTAGTCTAACGGAAGCTGCAGCAAACCTGTGCAAAACCTTTCACCTTGCTCACCACTTAAAACGGCAGCAGGAGTCTAGACCCTTAAAAAACAGAGCCAAGAGGAGGCATAGAAGTCTAGTTTTCTCTCTGACCACATAAATTACAATACACTGAAAGATTATTATGGGATTTTTGCATAGTGATGCCAAAAAATAAACAGCACTAGTGAGGCTTTAACTCTTGTAGTCAATTTTACAAAGCTGCAGAATGACAAAACTGGCAAACATTCTTCTCTTCATGAAGCCCATGGTTATTGATTGTCTTATTGATTGATTGCCTCTGGCTCCTCCTAGTGCTCCTAATGGTATTTGCTAGAATCCACTGGGCCTGAACAAAAACAACCAATCAGAGCAGAGAAAGAGAGAAAGACACTTTTGGTTGGTGGCTTGAAGATTGTAGATTGTTGAGTCTCATTCCCAGCATTGATATTTGACAACCTGAGAATGAGATCCAACAAACAACTATCTTTCATCGATCATCATTTTGATCATACTATAAAGTACAGAAATCAATAAATGCCATTAAATGCACAGGGTGTTAGGAGGTGAAATAAGAAGTAATTTAAACTAGATTAAGGTTTGATCACACAGGTCTTAAGAAAACTCTATTCCCAGTGGGAACAAATAGGTCAGAAGGATGCTCCCATTGCAAAACAATAGAAAATGAAGAACACACACTCATGAATTGCAATGAATATAGGGAAGAGAGGGAACGGATCAAACAAAGGATCAGGAAGGCAGGAAGAGAGGGCGTAAGGGGTGCACAGAAAGCTATAATGGATTTTTTGAATGAAGTAAGGTTATATCACAGGATCTTTAGTCCATTCATTCCCAAAGACTGGAAGATTTTATTTGGGTCGTAAATAAATGTTCAGAATTCCTTCCTCCTGCAAAATGCACCTATTTTTCTCATTTATAAAGTATTTAAAATGTGTGTGAGTTTTGCTGACGATGGAAAAATGAGATCCTTAACTCCTGCTAAATGTACATAAATGGTCTTGTTCATAAAGTGAGTGCACGTTCTGGAAGCAGGAGATAGGGTCTCCACATTACTGCTCCTGTGAGGAAACAACGGAAGCATTTATTTTATTTGGTCTCATTCATGTTTATGGTTTTGCTGCATATTTCTGCAATTGGTTCACTTCTGTGAAGAAAGTAAATGTAAAGTCAATTAAATACATTGTCTAATAGGGACAAGAAAACCCTGAATAAAAGAAACCTGTTAAATATTTACAACTGATTGCAGTTACGAAGTTCACTGTTCGGGTTCATTGTACCATTTTGAATATAACATGAAATATCTATAAAATATGTCGTATAGTCCGGGGTCGTTTGTTTAGTAAATGAATGGGGTCCCTTAAGGAGAAAGGTTGGGAACCACTGCTTTAGTCGGTTGAGGGTTGTTGTTGTTTTTAATGTGATGTTTATGTACTTGTTAGTGATGTAGAACCCTCTGCATACTCGGGTACAATCCGCCATTAAGTCTTGAGTCTCTCTAACGTTATATCTGTACCACCACCTGATGGCACTGTTGGCCTGTTTGAATGTTGCTCTTGGTTTTAGCAATAAAGTTACCGGGGGAAAAAACCGTTGACATGTAACGGAGTCCTTAACGATGTGTTACGTCGAGTGAAACCGAGGAGAGCTCGCAGACGTAACGTTAGCCGTTGGACTGTTTACGTGCAGCCAGTGAGCCGCTGTTTGGCGGACGGCTGTGGTCGGTGGTTCCAGCTAATGTGGCTAACACAGTGACTCCCAGGACCTCGTCGTTACGTTATTGGCTTTTAAACCACTTTAATTTACGCGCATTCGCTGTAGAGACATTTGAATGAAACAGGGAGTACTCTCCACTGCCATACAGCGGCTGTCACGTAGTTTTCTTGCCTCTACCTAACTTTGCTACGCTCATTTAGCTAATGTAACAAGCAACCCAGGAGCTAGTAAAAGCTAGCCCGTTGTAAGCGGCGTGGACCTGACGCCAGTTCCAGTTTCCGGTCGCTAACGTTACTTGAGTTCAATCATCGGCTGAGTCAATGAAGATCTATACATAGCAGAAATATTACCCCTGCACTGCAGCTTTCGACCTCACGAAGATGGCTGATCTTTTCTTCATCCACCTTCTTCCTTCTTTCCCTCGCCCTCTTTTTTTTTTTTTTTGTAAATAAAACTTTATTTAAACCACACAGAACTACACGGGAAGGATCAGCACATCCACACAGTGTCAGTGTACAGAGGCTTTTAAGGCATTCACTTGCGTTCAAATATGAGTGCTTTACATTTTCAACCAAATTATTTTCAACTAAAAGAAAGTAGTAACTATTATTAAGTAGCTAACTTTCATAAAAATAACTTTTTGTCATAGAAATTGAAACTTTCACTGTATCCTGACGTGACCACAGATAATCTCCTCCTAGTAGCCTACTACTGATGGGATTTGTAGTATTTGGAGTCCACCTGGGGGAATATTTTAATTTTACAAGTTATGCCAATGAGAGAATGTATAAGAATGACTTCTGTTCATAGGGTTGACACTCTTCACTGTTAATCTGCCAGGCTACTGTATACAGTTATGGAATGACTAAATCTTTTAGACGAGGTCCCTGAGACTACATCTTATCAAATACGGGTCCACAGACTGATGTATATAAGTTTGGGGGCCCTTGACACCAGAAAGCCACTGAAGTAGTGAACTAGTTGTTTGCTTATCTCCACTAAGATGTTGTTTATGTGTACCTCAGTGAGAAATGTATTGTAATAACATGTTTTATTACCTTGGATTATTGTGTATCCAGGTTTCTGTTTTACCCTATTTTGTGTGTTTGAGACCAACATTCATCTGATCTTACAAGCAGGAAGTCAGTCAGAGTTGTGGGTGTAGCTGAGAGAAAGTCTGCCTTTATATAGCCTACTATATAAATATATGCAGGACATTCATGGTTGTTGCATTCATTTGAATGGTCAGGGTAATTTATAGCCTATTCAATAGTTATTAACAACATTTTACTCACATTTTAGTGGATAAAACTGATTTAGCACCCCCACTCCCAGAGCCTATGCAAGTAAAGCAAGGTGCTATCTATAAAATAATGCTTTATTTTATAAAATAATGCTTTATTTTATGGGCCCGTAATTCACGAATACTTTTCTGCGACATTTCCTCAAAAGAACAACGCAATTTAGTTCCAATTATACGGAAATGTGAGTTTTGATAAAAGGGCTGCTCCAACAAAGATCACAGATTCATTGTTATCCATGAAAAGATCCCCAAACCCGATTGGACCCGCGACCCGTTTCAGGCCCAAAAGTGCTGCCATAGGTCGGACTGGGGTCGGGCTTAGACAGAATCCGATTTTTAAACATATATAGCCTATCTATATAGTATATAGCCTATATATCAATATTATATTAATAATGCAAGCAACTGTAATTAATAAGTGATTTTGTTATTAGTGTTTATAATAATTTGCACTATATTACATGCACGATACAGTTAGCTTGCCGGGACTTGGCCCCAAAACTGTGTCTGGGGTTCGCACAGATTGTTTTCGGATTCGGGTTGGGACTTTACTCCAGACATGCTTGGAACAATAATGCGTGTCTGCTTTGAAGTCTTCTTATTGGGCCACATCAACAAACTTAATGTTTATTCATTTTATCTGGTAAATATCATTAATGTGGCCCCTGGCCTCCTGTCATCTTGTAAAAGTGGCCCCTGGGGCGGGCACTAGGTCTAGGTTGGTCTGAGCTACTCCAGTCTGTGGCGTTTCTTTTTTCTGAATGGATGATTACTGTCTGGGTCTGGGTCTGGGCCCTCCCCCCCTATCCGCCGTCCACCATTGTCACCAGCTCCCTCCCCCCTCCCCTCATGGATCACTGAAAGGAGGAGAGAGAGGGGGCGGGCTCTAAACCACACACACACACACACACACACACACACACTCTGCTCAGCTGCTGCTCAGCTGAAAGACCCTCGGGGCAGCAGTGTATCACAGGATGCTGCTAGGATGAGGACGGCCCATGTACCACACGGAGCTCCAGGGCCGTGATGTAGGCTGTGTGCTCGGGGTGGGCGCCGCTGACAGGCCGCTGGACTGGTCGCTCCTCTCCGCCCCTCGACAGCCGGACGGGGCTCCTTGCCTTATGCGAAGCAGAACGGTCCCGGGAAGCTCCTCCAGCAACGCAAGGTCCAATGGTTTTTGCTCCTGCAACTGCACCAGAGCCCAGAGACAGGGCATGGATATATGTAAGTCACCCGGCGGGGTTTTCCAGACAAATGAGAGGTTGAACGCCCCTGTGTGGGCTGCAAGTGCTGCTTGTGACAGTAGTTTCTATTAGAGAGCTCTGAACTGACACTGTGATTAAGACATGCTGCATGTTTAGTATTTATTATATGGTGTTGTATGTATGTAATGCTGTAGGTCCTGGGTCTTCAACATGGGATCCGCGGCCCCTAGGGGGTCCTCAGAGTTACTGCACTGATGCCAAATGTACGATCAAGTTTGATGTTGTTAAATTGAAATATGTCTGAAGATACAGAGACATGTTATTATTTAAATATTAATTTATAATATTGTTATTATTAGGGCTGTGTATTCCAAGAATTTGGTGTTTATACGATATCCCAAAACAAAATATCACAATACTGAAGTGTATTGATATTTTCTTACACCCCTGGTTATTGTTTCACATGCTCTCTATAAACTACAGGGTCCTTGGCCTGAATAATGTTGAAGATCCCTGCTGTAGAAGCACCTATAGCCATGAGTTTGGAAGATATTATCTGCATCAGCTGCAGACTGTCCATCCACTCCGGAGGCTGGCTTCCTCATTGGCTGCGATTTTAACTCCTCGGCTCTATTTTGTCACAGTATTTTATATTTATGTGTATTTTGGGCAAAGTGAAGCAAAGCATTGTGGCTGTTATGGAGGAACAGCAGCTAGGAAATACTACTACTAATGAGATGGCTGGTATATTGCGGCAGGTTATTGGTCCTGGTGGGCCTGTCTGTGTGGACAGGCCGGCTGACGAGGCGCCCACCATCCCCCACATCATCCACTTCCCACCAGCAGACTGCTAGACAGACAGCACAGTCCCTGCAGCACAAAGACACTCATGGAAACCAGTGGGGCGACAAATGTTTAAAGGCATGGTGATATTTAAAGTTACAGGAGAGCTTGAATTTCATATGTATACATGACTTATTGTGAAGTTACTCAAAACATCCATAGCTATAAATAGCATCCAAGACAGGATAGGGGGGTTCATTTGCAGTTGTATGCAAATGAAACCAGAAAGGCCAGGGGGTAGTCCAGTTGGCCAACCAATGTGCTACATGTTAAGGCCAGGACACGCCAACCCGACGGCCGACCGTCAGCAGAAAAGCAGTCGGACTGATCAGTCGGCTCCCGTCTCCCGGAGTCAGTCAAAAAAGTGCCTCCAAACACACCAAACCGATGCCGACTGGAGCGTACGTTCTGCGCGTGCACAAGGCGTAATACGTCCCCATAACAGCAGGCGGCGCTAATCTGTGTTGTTGCCCAAAAAAAATGAAAACCGTCAATGACGGATCACTCTAGACCTAGTAAACATAGAGCACGCTGTCGTCAGTCATTGTTTTCATCAGAGAGTGTTGATAGTAGTCAAGAAGGATCGTTATTGTCATTACTCGCTGAATGGAAAATACGATGGCTAATAATAACAAGATACTGGCGTTGGCGTAGCATGTTTACCATCGTCACTTCCGGTTTTCTCGTGCACTCACTGATTCGCTAGTCAAGGGTGCCTTTAGGGTGCATGTGAAGTAAGGTCAGGGTAAGCCAGGTAACTGGATTGAATGCTGTACAGCAGGCAGCGGGTGAGACATTGTGTCTTGATGAGCTGATGGTCAAACAGCAGCAGCTACTGTGGCAGAGGAAACGGATTAGCCCCGCCTCTCTAGCCTTTAACCTCAGCTGCCGCCGCTAGATGCGTTATAACAACAACAACAATGGCGACCACTACTACTTGTTTGTAAACAGCACATGCTCCATGGCTTCTCTTCCGGTTTTAGTGTATTGGTGTGGCGGCGTCACAGCGCCACATACAGGCCTGGCATATGTACTACAGCGTTTTGGGTCGTTTCAGTGAATCCGTGTGGACGCAGATATTTCTGGAAACGACGCCGTGTTTACGGAGATTTTTTTCGAAATGACATCGTATTGGGTGAGGCCGCGTATTCGTGAGGACAGGCCCTTTTGAGTCCCAAGCCTCAAGCAACCAACCACCAAATGTGTCAATATCTGATGACCTGGGAATGATCAACAATGTTTCTCGGCTCTAATTGGCTTTTTTACACTTCAGTGTATTGCGATATTTAAATAAAGATAGTATTATCACAATCCCTGTAACATCCAACATCACAGCCCTCAGTTTATGGTTACAATGCTGCTCTCTAGCAGTTAAACACAACAATCGAAACAACATTTTTTGAGAATTGATACAATACCACAAAACAAAATATTGCGATACATTTGTGTTACACCCCTAATGCTTTTGCATGGTCAGATCATGACAACTGAGTCATCTCCAAGGTGCCAGAATCATCCCACAATGCTGTGTGGTTCCTGTCTTTTAATGGAGCATGATGATGGGGCCTTTTTGACAGCTGCCTGCTGTACCTTGAGCCAGAGGATCGGATCTTGATCAGCCAAATGCTCACATTCACTAACTTCTTGGCAGAGCTCAACCAATTTATCTATATTATCGGCCGATATTGGACGTTTAGGCCAATGGACCGCCAAAGCTTCAGGGTGGGTCGTATGGTCTTCATAATATTAAGGGGTGTAAGAAAACTTGAAAATATACAGCACTATGTAGACGTATATATCTCAGCAATTCTGTGAAGAAGAAATTATTTGCTTGGATGGATAGAATATATGACAAAAATACACAATGCAGAGTAAAGCCATCAGAATATTCACCTCTGATGTAATATTCATTCAAATAACTGCCAAATTGCTTGTTTTACACAAACTTCCTGCAGTTATTGTGTTACTGTTTGGGTTCAATGTATAGTTTATCAGTTGTTCTGTACTGTTAATATCCCTAAAATATGTTACATATATAAAATATGTTTACTCAACGATCAAAAAGGGGTCCCTTAAGGAAAAATTTTGGAAACTAGTGCTTTAGGCAATACTGTCACAGACATATTGGTATCGCTTCGTGGTGGCATATACTCTATTCAGTATGTGCCGATATGAACACAGTTTTTTCAAAAAGAAAATGCTGGTGGTAACATACAGTACTGTGAGGGAAGCAGCTCTCAGCAACGTCAACTAGAATTGGTTGACAATGTTAATGTTAAATTATTTGACACATTAAGGAATACTCAACTTAAATATTCTTTAATAAAGTTATTTGTTAAAGAAAGCAGCGTTCTGGGTAACCTTTGTATAGTCAAAAATTGCTGCACAATCCATATAGAAAAGGTCTATTTTCATTGTATCAGTGACTTTTCCCCCCTCTAAAATGGTCTCCAATATCCCATATCGGTCGCGCTCTACTTCTTTGTCTTGACAATATGATCATAGAGATGAGCGCAGACAGCTTGAGTTATAGGGGGCATTAGTGAAGGGGGTGTAGAGAGGGGCCGATGAGACGACAAAATCAAAAACACACACTCACACACACATCAGGTTTATTAGCAATGCACCAGACTCCTCATTACAGCCGGCTGCTGTCTCAGTTCGCTCCTCCCCAGGGTCAAGGGTGAAAGGTGAAGGCCCGTCAGTCACTGCCAGTGTCTGAGCCTTTGTCTCCTCGCCCCTGCTTCCTCTTTGTTCATGCATTCTCTATGTTTTGTTGTCTTCGCTCAAACCTGAAATAAAAACAAATCAATCAGACGTTTAGCTCTAATTTAGAAAATCAGTATTAATGTAAAATAATAAAATATACTGATCATTTATAGGATACAATCATATTTTTCATTTTCCGTCTGTTACTGTAATACACTCGCATGCCATATGTATGTTGAAAAGGGTTATTTGTTGCTGTAATCAAGAGCTGCAACGATTAATCGATGGGTTGTCAACTATTTTCTATTAATTGTCATCTAAAAGAAAAAATGTCCAGATTATCAGATTTCAGCTTCTCCAATGTGAATATTTTCTGCTTTCTTTAGTCCTCTATGACAGTAAACTGAATATCTTTGTGTTGAGGATGTCACAAACAAACAATTAATTAATCAATTAATGGAGAAAATGATAGATAGATGAATCGATAATGAAAACAATTGTAAGCTGCAGGCCTACTATAACCCTCCTGTCCATACTGGACCTGGAGAGGTCCATGTTGTATGCAGACCTGGAAAAAGTTCAAAACTCATCATTTCAAGGCAACTGTCTTCACCACATTTTGAGTTAAGTCAAAGTCAAACTCTTAAGTTCTGAAATAAACTAATAATAATGATAGTTCACTTTTCTTCTTTAAAAAACTCAAATCTTTAAGTTTGTTGGTCCAATGGGACAACATATGTTACATATGAATATATCCATAGAGCCTTAATTCAGATAAAAATCCTTTAACAGGAAAAAGTAATTCATGTCTATAACTCTAACAGTGGTGTACCAACAGTAAAATGTTTCCTGCCATTGAATAGCAGCAGTTTAAAGCCACAGTAGGTACATTTTTGACATATTTGTTGAAATGTCTACTATATCCTGACAGTAGTACATGAGACAGATAATCTGTGAAACAATCAGGAATGAATGAAAACATCCAATCAGAGCCAAGTAACATAGTTGATTTCTGATGATATCTTTCTCGGCTCCGTTCAGGCCCGGTGGATTCTTTCAAATACCATTAGGAGCACTATAACAAACCAGAAGAACGAGAATTCTTCACAGATTATCTGGCTAATGTACTACTGTCAGGATATAGTAGAAGTTTCTGCAAATATGACAAAAAGTTATTTAGCTAAAAATTACCTACTGCAGCTTTAAGGTTTTGTTCACTTCAAGTCAAACAGTCAGGGTGCTGCTGCTATACATGTTGGCACTCTGGAAAGGCTCTACTACACTAAATGGAACAGAACCTTAATTAGTATCATTGGAAACACCTGTACTATTTCATGTCAAAATGGCTGCTGTGAAAAAGGTGGTTGGTTTGGTTTTGTTTGTTGTAAGATTGAAGGTAGTGCCCCTTCTGTTTGTTGAGACAGACCTGGCAGTCTTCAAAGTGATCTCTCTTATATATAGAGCTTTATTCTACTGCTCATGAATGAAGTGAATGTAGTGCTGTGGAGACATGGGACTGTATATTTGGACCGTTTTAACATCAAAGATCCCTTAGATGTAGTTTTTAAACAATTGTGACAAGATATGTAAAGAAATATTTTTAAAAAATGACATGTTAATCTAATGGAGACACAATTTCTTGCATTTTATGGGCCCACATATACACTGACACTGAGAAGATACAATCTGTCAATAAGAGCGCTGTAATTTGTATATCTGCCTTTATTTGTAATTTGGAGTAAATTCCAAAGTGGTTCTCACAGATTTGTCTTGCTTATTTGTTTACAAAAGATACTTACCAGAGTCAGAATAAAAGAAATGTATAAAACATATTGTTTATTTAATTGGGATTTGGGACATAGCTAATGTATGTGAAACAGATGGTGTCTGGTCTGGTTTGCTTCTCTGAGCCCTGGCAGACTGATCCTGCTCAGCTAATCAGCAGCCTCAATTATTCAACGCTGTGTGTGAGGTGTGTGTGTGTGTGTGTGTGTGTGTGTGTGTGTGTGTGTGTGTGTGTGTGTGTGTGTGTGTTTGGGTGGTGGGGGGGGGAGGTAGAGCTGAATGACCCATGACCTCTGTCTATTCCTCCAGAAGCTCCGGCTCTGCCCCCAGCTCTCTGCTGCAGAGCTCCCCAGGCTCAAGCTGTCTGTTGGCGAGCAGTAACTCTGTTGAGTCACTGTCTCTTCGGTCCCCCCCACACAACACTAAGGTCCAGACTTAGACCAGGACCAAGAAAGGTCCATTGTGCAACATTTAAGCAGATCTATTGGCATCACTTGCTGTAGATAGGGTGGCTCGCATACACGAACACTGGCGCTAGCATTCTGCTCTGTTAGTGGAAGATGTTTGCTGTCATGTGAAAAGGGCCTATTTAAAGCCCTTATTCAGCACTGCGGTCTGAGCTTTACTGCTCGCTTTTGCAAGACGGTTCATGTCAGTGACTTTCATTTTTGGCAGCTTTTCAGAGCACAGAGCGTAAAATAAAAACGGCGAGGGCTCCACAGTTAATCAAAATATTAGCCAAATCGCAAGTGCAATATGCAAATAGCAGAATCTGCAATTTGTGTGTCAGTGTGTGACACACAGCATTATAATGAAGTACTGTAGTTGTGCCGAGATACCCCGGCCAAAAAATCTTTTTTTTTTTTTTTTTTTTTGAAAAACCCCAAACCCTTTATATTAACAAAAATTTAAAAAATTTTTAAGGGGAAAATTTAAAAAAAAAAAAAAAAACCCCCCCCAAAAAAAAAAAAAAAAAAAAAAAAAAAAAAAAAAAAAAAAAAAAAAAAAAAAAAAAAAATTTAAAAATAAACCAAAAACAAAAAAAAAAAAAAAAAAAAAAAAAAAAAAAAAAGGTTGGGAGTAATGGTCTATGGTGTTAGTAGCCAGCTAGGCTAGCAGACTGGCTAAGCTAGCTTGCTTTCTAAACACACTGAGGTGATTAGGCTGTCAAAAAACAAAACAACAACAATATATATTAACAATATGTATAAAGCTAACTGTAAAAAGTGACTCAATTAAGGATAAAAAGCACTCTAAGGTGAAAGGAGGTGAAGCTAACATTGCTGCAGTTCATATGGATACACATCTCTCTACACTGTGCAGAGAGAATTATCTTCGTATTGTCATCGGTATTAAAGTCCAGGTGGAATGAAAAATGTACTTTTAATCAATTGATTAAAGGTCTTGTAGAAATGATCGTCCTGGCTGAACTTCTGCTGTAGCTACATTTCTCCATGGAACCAAAGCCAACAATGAGGTCACTTGGTAATATGTGAAAATGTTTCTAATGTCCTCTGTGTGTTCCTCTCCATCTCTCTGTGTCCACAGCTGAACTGGAGTTTGTTCAGATAATAATAATCGTGCTGGTGATGACCTTCATGATAGTTGTGATCATCTGCCTACTCAACCACTATCGGCTGCCGGCCCTGGCCTTCCTCAGCAGGCTCAGCCATACCCAGAGAGACCAGGCCACACAACTGGTAGGTGACATTACCACCACAGTGACAGAGGTTGGGATCAGTGGGACATGGTTTCAGTTCATCTGTTAACAACAAAATAGATACTGAAATCAAAAACCTGAATGGCCCGTATCATTTTTATCATATATACATATTTAAAACTATTTTGTTAGAAATTCTGTAGAAAAATCTTAATATGCTCTCTCAATTTTATGTGCAGACACGCAAAGAAATGAAATGCATCATACTGAATCACAACTCAAGTGCTACATGAGATTGACAACCACTCAAAAAAGCCATATGACAGCCTGTGACGTGCATCAGAGTTTAATCTTATAATCATTTTATGATCAGTGATGGCCGTTCATTTGATTTTGTGTCTGTAATCCTATAAATATATGCAGTGAGTCATCCTCTCTGTCTTTGTCTCTCTCAGGATGGCAGTGAGTGGCCAGACAGTGTGCTGACACAGCAGAGAAACAGTGAGGTGAGTAATGCCTGTGTAGCCTCAGGCCCCATATTTGTTTCAGGAAGCCTTCTAGTGTTGATAAGCTGCCTTCAGGCAAATAATCCAAACCAGAGTTTAACATGACACGAGGGAAAATGCTGGAACAAAAGTACAGAGAAGTGGCACAGACTGACACACACAGATGATATACACTCTCAGGAGGGGACTAATTAGGCACAGGTGAACACAATCAAGGAAGGGCAAACAATCATAAATGGCAGGAAAACACACGAGAGCAGGAAGTGAAGTGACCTACAATGAGAGTAGAGGTAAGTACAAAATAGGAAATACTGAATGATCAGGAAAAACATTACCTAGTGTCTTTGACGGACTGTGTCACATAGAAAAACCTTAAGGGTAAATCCTAAGCAGAGCTGTCGAATAGTACCTGTACTCCGTGGCCGTGCTCAGCCTCCTCTGCCTGGAGCAGATAGAAAGAAATAAAGGTATAAAGAAATCTGATGTTGGAAACATCCATACAGTGCAGTCTGAAGTCAGAGCTTTATGCTCACAGGGATTACTTTGACATACGTTACTCATTATTTGACACTTTTGTCCTTGTTTAATGTCAACATCCAACGCATAACATTAAATATTTTTTATAAATTGAAAGAGAGAGAGAGAGAGAGAGAGAGAGAGAGAGAGAATATACCAAATATACCCCGAATTCGAATTATTATCAGACACACAGAAACTCCCCTATTTACTGGGAGAAATGCCAAAAAGTCAAATTATTGCAGCAAAATGTGTCTCCTCATGCCACGAACTGAGGACGACCAGTGGAAACTCAGATAAATGTATAAAATAATTGATTGTTTTAGTTGTAGTTGTTTTTGTTGTTGTTGTTTTATATATATATATTTAATAATTTGTTATTACTGTTATATTGACAACAGACTACTTGTTTTAACTGTAGTCTGTTACTTTACTACTGTTTTAATTTATTGTAATTAATTACTAATTGACTGAGATTGATTGATTGTGACTGTGATTGTGATTCAGTCAATCATAGTTACAGTATTACCAACTAGATTATAATTAATTTGTTGTAAATATTGTTTTCCTTTATTGTTATTATTATTATTTTTAATTCCAAACGCTTGCTTTGGCAATATGTACAGTGTTACGTCATGCCAATAAAGCCATTTGAATAGAGAGAGAGAGAGAGGAGAGAGAGAGAGAGAGAGAGAGAGAGAGAGAGAGACTCTCTACCTACTCCACTTGTTCTAACCTAAATGAATGTCCTGTGTCTGGTGATTTAAATGAGCTCCTGGCTCTGTGTTTGTCTGTGTTCAGGTGATGTATGGCCATCTCAACAGCAACCTGCCACCCTTCATGCAGCAGCGCCAACTGTGTCGCTTCCAGCCCACCTACCCCTACCTGCAGCAGGAGATCATCAACCTTCCTCCCATCATCTGCCTGTCAGACGGGGAGGAGCTGCTGCCCTACAAGGGTCCCTGCACCTTACAGCTCCGCCACCCAGAGCAGCAGCTGGAGCTGATCCGAGCTGCCGTGCGCGCTCCTCCAAACCGGACCGTCTTTGATAGTGACCTCATAGACATTTATATACATAGCAAGAGTCTGCAGCCCTGCAGCAGTAACTTGGGACCCAACGGAACCAACAATGCCAGGATGGAGGGTCCCCCACCCTCCTACAGTGAGGTGATGGGGGGCTCTACAGGCTGTTACAGCAATAATGACAGGTCAGGACCAGAGAGCTCACAGACAGTATGCCAGACTGGCAGCAGTGAAAGCACAGTAAAGGCCTCCACTGACTTAAACAAGAACAGCTGACAGAAGAAACCATTCTGAGAGAGGAAAGAGGAACACCGCGGTCCTTACGCTCCACATTTCTTCAGTGGGGGGGAGAAGCTCTACTCACACATGAAACACAAACTAATCCCAGGGGCTGAACTGTTTTTATGTAAGATTACATTTTTATTAGGTACTAAATCTGCTCTGGGTGTCTATTTTTGTATGCTTACATTACTGCATATTGACATGGTGGACATTCAGACTTCAGTACAGTTATTTGAAAGTAAGCATTTCTCCGTGTTGATTTATTAGACCTGTGCACAAACAGCAAATGAGTGCCACGATTCCCACCGTCATTAGTCACTGGAACATACTGTAGTTTGTCATTAAAGCAAATCTGAAGTTGCACTGACTAATACTGCATTCACATGGGTTCAGACAGATGGTAGACACTAACTGGGTGTCAGTGATTTTAGTGGATGAAAACAGGACAGTAGACGCAGGTGAGGCCAGCAGAGAATACTGGCAACGGTAACGATACACAGCATTGCCATCCAAAGATCGAGTATTTGAACTTTTTGTCATCCTGCCATGGTATTTAAAACTGGATGTTACGCAGCTCCCTCGCAGAAGGAGAAGACATGGGCAATGTGGACAATGAGAGGCTAGTAATTAATACAGTACAGAAAAATAATGTGCACAAATCATTTTATTTAACATATTTATTTGATTCTTTGTGAACAATATGATATCACCATAGCAACATACTGTCATGCGTGTTTTTGCCGTTCTGTTGGACTGAATTTTTCCTGTGCTGTGAGGAGGGTGCTGTCCACCGTCAGCCTGAATGCATGTGAATTCAGAAGAAATGGGAATATTCTTTGTTTTTGTTTTGTGCGACAAAACTCTGCTCTGGTTTTAAGGACTATTACAGGTTAAACTGTGAGCTGTTTCTCTGTTTGACATTGCTGAGCTTTGTTTGGATGTCACCATCTTAAGCACTTTAAGCTTTTGTTCAAGCAAAAGACAGACAGAATTATGGGAAGAATTGTGTTCCGCTTTGAGTCATGCATAGCAATACCACACTGTCTCATCGAGTGCCATTGCTTTTGAACTGCAATGACTTGAGTTTATGCTCATGCTGAACCTTTTGAATTTCTTTCATTATTTTAATTAATAAAATGAAGTTAACTCAAATATGAAGTCGATTACATTTAAAGGAACAGTGTGTAGGGTTTAGTTGCATCTAGCGGTGAGATTGCAAATTGCAACCAACTCAAACTCCTAGAGCAAGAGTAAGACCAAACCAAGCATGAAGGAGAAACTGTGGTGGCCACAAAACTTGTGAAAGGCCTTATCTATAGCCATTGTTTGGTTTGTCCATTCTGGGCTACTGTAGAACCATTGCAGCCTCTGTAGAAAAGAACTTGCTTGATTTAAAGCTGCAGTAGATCAATTCTTTTTATTTAAAAAAAAACTTTAAAATATTAGCTGAAACTTTCACTATATCCTGAGACAGATAATCTGTGAAACAATCAGGTTCCTCTGGTTCCTCCTAGTGCTCCTAATGGTATTTACAAGAATCCACCGGGCCTGAACGAAAACAACCAATCAGAGCAGAGAAAGATATAAAGACTCTTTGGGTTAGAAGCTTGAAGATAGTTGATGAGTCTCATTCCCTGGATCCAAAGCATCTGTATTTGACACCACGGAAATTAGACTCAACAATCAACTTCCTTTAAGCTTCCAACCTAAAGTGTCTTTCTATCTTTCTCCGCTCTGATTGGATGTTTTCCCTGTGGATTCTTGCAAATATCATTAGGAACAATAGGAGAAGCCAGAGGAACCTGATTCTTTCACAGATTATCTGTCTCATGTATTACTGTGAGGATATAAAATTTCAGCAAATGAGATGAGATTAGTACTCAAATTAACTGGAACAGTTTGCCCTTACAATAATACATTTTTTTACACATCTAAAACCTGCCACTGTGTAGCCGTAGTAATGCACTGATTCAGTTTCAGCTTCAACAATGAGATTGAGTTTAAATTGAGAAGTTCAGTATGAGCAGAACTGATCTCACATCAGACCTGTTCCAACAAAACAAACAAACATGTTTATAATGTCAAATAAACTTCATAATCAGTGTTATTTCTCCTTGAGACTCACTGATAACAGGATATCAAAGCAATATCTCTACCTAGACAGAACTTTTTTAAAAATGCTTTTGAGACCTAATTGCCATGGAGCCATTCTTGTTTGTGGATATGCTTTGGAAACCACATTAAAAATGTATATTTTTATTTATTTATTTTTATTTATTTGATGCTGCAGCTTGAGGAAATGTTTGGCAAAGCCTGTAATAATTTGTTCATGTTTATGCCATAGTTCAGGGAGTTTTGGCTCCATCTGTCTTTTTTCTCGTGTCACTCTCAGAGAACCCAGGTTACATGTTGCTCTCTGCTTCAGCCACACGCTGCTGCTGCTGCTGCCGCTGCTGCTGTCAGTACACTTTTACAATGTTGTGTTTAAATTGTTGTTTAGGAAAAAAATATTTAAAGTAGAGTTTGTATTTTTCCTCTCAAACTAGCTTTTTTGCTCAGTTTGCCCGAGTTTACAGTTTTCCTGACTTGTTTCGGGGAACGTTTGCATGTTACGTGGAAAGGAGCTAACTCGGTGCCTGATGGTGACACTGCGTTGGCCACAGGAAACCACTTGCACTTAAAAAGCTCCCACCTCTGTTGTGCCTCACTTCAACTGGTGCTTATTCAGCAGTGTGACTCTTGAGTCTTGATATTTACAGTACTGTAAAGACCGCAAGAGAACATTGATACTGTAATAATGCAAACAATAAAGCAAAGAGAATGCATCAGAAAGGTGAATGCCTGTCACAATGTGTGTGTTTTTTAGGGGGGGTGGGGTAAGTGTGTGGTTTTAGAAACAAAATAGTAAAAGGAAACAGGCTGCAATATAAAAGTCAGCCTACTTACTATAAAGTGAATTTGCCTAAATAATATTACCAAATTCAACCACAATGATTATTGTGTGAGGCTGTAATTACATCATTCTTTCTGTAAATACAAACATCACAATACCTGCTAAGCAAGCTGAATTATCCCTAAGCAGTAAGCAGTGACATCTAGTGGCATTAAGCAGACATTGCAGTGCAGAGTATGACTCAGCACTTTGTTGGCAACACCCAAGCAAATATTGATGTATGTGATTGTGATTAAATCAGCATATATTTTTGCCACCCCCTCCATGCCACCCTCTGGACACCCCATCAATACTTCTATTAATAATATCGTTGATTCATATATTTGGGTGAATATAGACAACATAGCTATGAATATATTACATTTCTGCCAATAGGGACAATAATGTGTCTGATATGTTTTTTCCACAAAAAAAGTGTAACTTCCAAATTAAAATCCTTATAAAGGAATCTTTCAAATCCTACTTCTAGGCCCCGCCCCTTAAAATCAGATTTTAGAGCACAGAGAAACTTTCCACTTTCAGCAGATGAATGTGAAAATATTCTAATGTCAGACTCTGCACAGACAGCATTCACACAGCAAACTGTAGCAATAAGAACAAACACTGAGTTTTGGCTCCTGGTGGACAGATTGTGTGGAAGCGTTTCAGCCAATACAAATATATTGAGAGCTGCGATGGATCCAGTATTTCAGAAGCTTCATGTTAACCAACATCACTGAGGGTAAAGCATCTCACAGAAAACTGGATCATGTGACTGTAGTCCATTTTATTGAATTCAAGCTCAAAGTTTAGAAACTGTTTGTGGGAAGGTACTGTACAGTACACTGACACAACTGTAGGCATAATAATGATATAAAATAGTGCCTGTAAACGATAAGAGCAGATGCTTACAGCATTCTTGACTCGAAACCATCACCTTCTTTAGTTGGCGCTCTGCTCTGGGCTCTGGAAGCAGGTCTGGTGCAGAAGTGAGTTCAGTGGACTGCTGTGGTGCCAGAGCTTCCTGGGATAAGGAGTCCTGTCCTGACATCAAAAACAACTTCTGAATATTTATCATAATATTATCATCAACATACAGTATGTAATGTTATCTGCAGATCATCACAGCTTTAAGTCACTGTAGCTACTGTGGTAGTCTTCATAAAAGGTCAATAAATAAATAAAATAAACTTACTTTCAAGCACCATGCTCTCCATCTCATGTCCTCAGTCGGCCTTCTGATCTGGGCAGGGAGCATTTCTTCTTCGTCGTCATGGAAACCTTGGATGTACTGCTGGAACATTGAGTCTTCCTCGTTGTCTTCTCTCTCTGGTGGAGCCAGCACGCTGCACACGTGGGGCCCACTGCTGCTCCAAGATCCCCTACAGTTACCAAGTGTGAGCACAGGGAGGCGCTGCAGGGGTGCTGGTGGTGGAGTGGCTGTGTACTGGCAGGAGGTGAGCCAGTGGCAGCAGCTGAGGGAGCATGAAAACACAACAGGGCACTGATTCAGATCCCAACACACACTCACACTCCAACGCAGGAAGTGAAACGTGTAGCCACAGCAGACTAGTGAGTCATATATTGTACACATACTATATAGTTAAGTTGAAGTATTTCCCTTGTTGGTTCTGTTGGGTTTCTCCTTGATAAAGGCCAACAGCGCTTCACCACACAGAGCCTCTGTGATCCTACAGTCACTAATAGCTCCTCATGCTGCTAATAATTCTATTGTTTCCATGGTTACAAAATAGTATACATTTGAAGCATTTTATGAAAAATGGCCTCTCCTAAACTTTTTCTTTGAAATTGGACAACATGGATGCCCTCAAACAAATCACTACACCATTGTTCATATATTCCACACATTTCCCGAGACGTTTAATCCATTCAAAGCATCAACTAACGAGGTTACACCGAAAGAACGTCAACTATCACAAAATTATTATTTTCAAACAGGCCATCAAATATTCTGCTTCTTGTCCACCTTTAAATTCAACAAGCTGTGTTCATTGTCGCGCTGAGGACACTTTTAAAGGTTCATTCAGGAGTTAAACACAGTGAGTTACTAAAACGAGTTTAGCTTCTTACCTTGGCGGTGCTGGTCCAGGTGAGGCTGGCCTCCAGTCGGCAGGTGCTCCTCCATGATGATCGGCCTGTTAACAGATATTTCTCCTGTAGTTTGCTTTTCTTTTCCTCTTTCCTGTCAGCTCTCCACCGGCCCGGCTCTCCGGCACTTGTTCCAGATGCTTTCAGCTGTCCAGCGACCAGGATTTTGCAGCAGGTCAACCCCGGGTCAGTCAAGTGCAAAGTGAGAGAGGGGAAAGGTCAGCAGGTGTTAAATGACCTCGCCCGCGCGTCACCATTCTTGTTGCCATGACCTTTATGCACATGCACGTGTCTGAAGTTATATTGTCAAGCAAAGTGTCCTTACTGTTGTAATTGTAATTTTACGACACAATGCCCTGATACTGCTTGGTGTTTTTCACAAGTGCAGAAACACAGTGAATTGAGTTGATGGCTCCACCTTCCAAACAGTCTCTCAGTACCTGATGTGTTCAACCTTAGATGTTGGTGTCCAGGAACCAAGTGTTAGGAGCGCAGGGAAGGTTGTCTGGTTGCAGAGGAGTGATATATGGAAGATATATACTGCAGAGGATTCTGTAAATCATTATCAAGAGAAACTTTCTCAAAGTATTGAGCAACTCAAAATCATTCTCAAAAGTCATTTTGAGATTTTAAGTCAAAATATTCAGATAATTTCTCATCATTTTGATTTAGTAAGTCATTATTTTAAGAAAGTTTCTCAGTATAACGACTTACAGTCTTTTTTGGAAATGGGCTTCCATAGTTGCAAGCCTTTAGCAGTCAAGCATTTCCCTGGGGTGTTTCAGCTGCTTTGTTAAGTGTCTCCCTAAAATCCAAACGTATATTGCATGCCAGACTGTGTACTAACTGGAATAGTTGTTGGTGTCTGCAACAGGGTTCGAATTGTGGAAGGCAAATCAGGGTGGCCACGAATATATAAGCCTTTCAGGAGGTCATCTAAGGTACTGTGTGAGACATGGTGGTTTGATGCCCCTCCTGAGGAAACCTCTAAGATGAATGTAGAGTATCCTCCTCTTCAGTTTCTTCTGAGGGACTTCCTCCCTCCTTTTCTTTTTGGCTTGCTGCTGTCCACTCTCTTCTTCTAACTGCCTTCCGGCTGCTGACAAGCCAGCAAGTTCAAGTAGGAGCTACTTGCATGCTTCCACTGAACTGTGTACTGCTTTGTTAGCAGCCTGTCCATCCTGAAATTAAAAGCATGTATTGTCTGTAGGGGCTTAATTCATTGCCTTTTATTGGCAATCATTTATTATAAGGGTTTAATTTATCATTCATTATATAATAATTATATTATGAATAATAATTATTATTCTATTATCAGCGTTTTTGCTGGGAGATTGCTTTAGCTGCTAAATGCTCCACTATATTCACAGGTAGCTGCTAACTGTGTACATCTGTTGGTGCTGAACAGGTAGCGTACAGGGGCTTATCAGCTGCCACTGAGTGAGGCTATGAGAGCTGTGAGACTGAACCAAAACACTCAAGTTGTAGGCTGTAAAACCAAAACAATATAAACACTAACAAAAACTTCAAGGGGAACGACAGTTGCTTTTATTTCTTTGTGGGTTTGTCTTGATTAGCATCTACTTTCACAATACATTTATTGCTGATATAAAAGTATTGATCAGTGCAGCTTCAGAATTTAAGCATACATCTAAGTAGGTATCCCGACTCATGCATCAAGATCCATTTCGCCTTCAAACAGTGTTTCCTGGAACAAGGCCCCTTGTGGTTGGGTTCAGGGAAAACCATTCAAAGCGGTAGATTCAATTTAATGTTACATTTCAATAAAATGACAATGAAAAAGGACTTGAGCGTTAGCAACCTGGCCCATTTTGGTCAAAGCAGGACTTTATTGAAGTCTCATTGATCCACAAATACCTGACACTGAAGAGGTAAAGCCTATTAAAGGCATCTGTTGAATCCTGCTCACTGATATTGTTTAGGATGAAAATCTAAGTAGAAGGTGTGAAGAATCAATACATCTTGTCTAGTTCTGCAAGTTTGTATTCATTATGATGAAAATGCAGTCTGTTATATACACTGCACAGGCAGCACACCAAAGCTAAATACGTAGGAACACCACATATTTCACATATTACTGCTTAATGAGCAACTGCAAATAAAAGTCTCCTTAAAATCCTAAAAATATAATAAATCGGCACTTCTGGCAAAATGTACAGGAGAAATGAGTCTGACATTATTTTCAAAGCAGTTTGAAGCCAGTAAGAATATACTAGGCTACAAGAACAACTTTTGGTGCTAAAAACACCAAAAAAAGCTAATACGATGCTAGAACACAGTTGACATGGAGTAAAAGCCAGCTGAGAAATTTGTATCAGCATATGTTCCAATAGACCTTTTTCATAGCAGCCTTGACATGAAATAGTAGGGTAAACTAGGTGTTACCAATGATAGTAACTGAGGTTCTGTTTCATTCAGGTCAAATGTAGTCAGCGTACTACTACTGTACGTGTGTTTACCCTACTATTTCATGTCAAAATGGTAGCTGTGAAAAAGGTCTGTGGTACAGAAAGCCAAAAGCGTGTTTAAGGTCATACATAGTGTTGCTGTTACATAGTTGGTCCACCAGAGAGCACTGAACTGTTCTACATTGTACAGTGGTACATTTGTACATCAGCTGGCCTGAATTCTGGAATATTAAAAATGGGAACCTTATTAAAAATGTTTTTTTCATTTGCATAAAAAAATATATTGGTCAATATGTGGTTGTTGGACTTTTTTACTCTCAAATATTATTACCGGTATAGTGTAGAATATATAACAGACCTTAGCCCCAGTTATCAAACTTAAACTTCCACACTGAAACACATCACACAAACACTGAACAGACATTACAAAGTGAATAAAAGCTGTTGTATAACTGATATCAAAACTCTGTGCATATCAATGAAGAAAACAACAAGAGAAAGTCCTGCCAAAACTTATAAAAGCTAATATATAAAGTAAAAACCAACAAATGTATCAGTGTAGTTCTGTGCTGCCATGCAGGATAAAATGTGATAAAACTCTGGTGCTTCAAATTAATATTCATCTGTAATTTCAACACCGTTTATATTGATTTCAGCTTCGAAACCAAATAATTTAAAGCCATGCAATATGTGTCAGTGACACACAATATTGGCATCAACATAATAATTCAGCAACTCAACAATACCCCAAAACATCAAAGGGTATCAAACCAGTCTGGAAATGTATAAAATATAGTGCCAAACCCAGACTCCTACCCAAAATACTGTACTGAAATGTTTCAATGTATGGCTTTATTTACGTTCCTCTGATCTGGAGCTTGTGTTTGATTACTTATCTCCTGTAAAACGTCCACACGTAAAAATATTAAACAATTCTTATACTGTATTGCACTTAGTAATTGCATGTGTCACTGATATTGACAGTCCAAGAGAGGAGGGCTGGCTGTGACAGAGTGCAGTCATTACAGTGGCCGGTAACAGGCGTCTGGTTGCCACATGCGCAGGTCCACCAGGATCTGGTTCAGTTTCTTCATCCACAGATTCCTCTCGTCCTTAGTGTCTGCACTCAGCCAGTTTCTGCACAGGAAACACTCAGTGTTCATATAAACCTCTACATAGACGTGTATGATACGTGTACATAGAAATCACAGGAACTTACTTGGTGACACACATGGTGTTCTGGCACTGACTGACCAGTGTCTCTTTGTCGTCCTCTCTTTGTGGTCTGACTGTGATGAGCTCAAATGTGTTGGGTCTGGCACAGAACTCTCGGTTGGCTGGTTCCACCCTCTTACTGGTGCAGTTAGCCAGGTTGATGCGACTGATGGGGTTCTGACGAAGAGGAAAGAAAGATGGTCAATGCAAAGTGTGAACCTATCATGACAGGACCCACTGGTTTGTACCATTTGAAGTCTTGAGTCTGGCATTATGGTCGTCGCTATGGCAGTTTGTCAGAGGTTATGTTTCTGAAAGGATTTTAGGTGAGAAATAGTCCAAAAAAAAAAATAATCTGGGTTCCCGCTCTTTTAAAGAAATATTTTTCCAGGAGTTTTCTTGACAATACCGGACAGAGCTTGCGCACAGCAACAGTCATATCATTTACCAGTAGGCCTAGCATTGATACATTTTACCCAGTTTTATTCCTCCTTGTTTTATGACGCAGGTTCATTCAGTTTATGGGAAACTGTTAGCTCGCTTTCTGCTGTTCTCACCACAGCCAATCTTTCTGCAGTGTCTCTGGTGATTTGACTATAGTTTACTGCAGTTTGCAGTTTACATAGGCGATCTAAGTAAAAGGCTATAATGCAATTAAAATAGATTTCCAGGATATTTGGTCATTTTCATCAATTTCCAGGTGTGTCCTTGACTGGAAAACTAGTCCTCCAGGTGCATGGGAGCCCTGCATTATGATCTAAAAAGAAAATGGTAGCTGAGAGAAAAAGTCACAATTGTTTTGGACAATTATCCCTAGGTTTAAAAAAATAAAAAAATCCAAATCAAATGTTAAAAAAATGTGACACTGAGGCATAACATACAGAAGCTCTGTCATGACAGTTTTGCTGTAGAAGTTACCTTGCGCTTCTCATCGTCCGGGTAAGTCCAGTAGGAGATGCAGTATCCTGATAAGACACACCACCTCCTGTGCCAGGCTCCAAATCCACTTACGTCTTCAAACATAGTCTGTGGAGGGTGATGAAAATGACAACATGTTTGTATCATCAAACCAATGCCTGCTGCAGCGTTGGATCTGTGGTGATTTGATGTGATGGCACTCACCAGGAAGCCCCTCTCCTCCACCTTTGAGCCGACTTCGCACTGCATCTTGAGGTAGATGTGGCCCTCCAGAGGGCACAGGAACGGCACCTTGAATCCAAAGTACAGACAGTTCATGAAAGGTTCAATTCAAACAAGTTAAAGTTACAGGATGTGGTTAAACAAATAGAGGTTACGATGCAAGTTTCTTTTAAGACGGTTAATGAGAACAGCGTTGTGATCAGATAAAGCTGATAATGTTAGTGGAACAATGCAGTTAAGAATATTCCTCGTTAAAGTGCGTTCACCCTCTTTCCCACACAAACAGAAAACAAGAAACACACAAAGGGTCAAGTAGTAACCTTGGTATGAAACATGCCACTGAGTAGTTCTCTTTCACTTCCTTCATATTTGATCTAAAAGAAAGATAGCAAGGCAGATGAATGAGTGCACAGGCAGAACACACAGGGTTAATGTGAGCCTCTGCAAAGCCTGTGCACAAACACATGACTGATCCAAGTGAGCCATTTGTCACATAGAGAAGTGTGTTGAAACAGAGGCAAGACATATGAAATGCAGAATAAAAGAAGAAAACTGAAGCGCTCTAAAAGTGTGAGCGTAGACATGAGGACAATATTTACGAGTGCTATACCTTCTCCAAAGGAAATTTGTTTTTCCCAATAGAGGACAGGGTGAGTTTGTGTGATCCGACCAGGACGAAGTTACTGGTGCGAACAGCATTGGGACCGCCTGGGCTGGCCACAACTACACACAGAAAGAACGAGACCATCAGTACCTCATATGAAGCTTAAAGCTGCACTCCAATTGTAAACATCAACGTCAGTTTGAATGAGTTTTGAAACAAAATCACTTTATCTCGATTATCTTTCGTAATCATTGGAAGCCAAAATTGTAATTCAAATTTTGAATTGTAGTTTAAATTTGATTAATTGCCCTGCCCTATTACATAATGTCTTCTTTCTCAAGTCTCACGTCATCAGGTACATTTCCTCAGACCTCAGCTTTGGCTTTGAGACGACAACTTTGTAACAGAGAGCCAGAGAGGGCCTGACCAAGAGATTAGGATTAAGCCATTTTGGATCTTGACCTATACTGGGACATAAAGAGAGTCTGTCTCTTTCAAGTCTGCCACCTTTATTGTGTAATACTCTATTACTATGGCACCCCCTAAAAAGCCTGCATGGCTTACATTTACCATGTCCCTGAAGCTTTTGGTGAGATGCTAAAGGTTTCCACTACATTTGGCTTTATAGAACAAATTGTTTCTTTAGATTAATTTTAGATTTTGACATACCTGGTGTCTGGACACTTTTCTGCAAAACATGAAACAAACAAATTGAAAAACTAATTTCAGGCAGATGAGAAGTTACATTTTGATACAGGGAAAAAAGAAAGAAAATCAAACTGTTGGGCACTTACAGTGATGGCAAGGAATCTCTTTGGAGTGATGGCCTAGAAAGAAAAGTATACCAATAATAAGTTTTTGTGTCAAAATGATGATAAATGTGTGTGAGTGGTGTGTGTTCCTGGCCAATTAATGTATTGTCTACTAAATGAAATGACCACCAAAGCTGTGTAGAAACAAAACACTCTGCCCACACAGTGCGCACCCACCAACATGTGAGGGGTTGATACAGAAACTGTTCATACCGACATACACAAATCATGGGCCTCATGAACCTGTCTCCATATCATCTGGACGGACACACACACAGATACACACACACACAAAGTATTACGCATGTCACTGTCTGACAATGTATAACACCCAGCAGAGTGGGGATTTACCTTTGACTTGCTGGGTTTCTTCTTCTTGTCACTGCAGACCTCACGCTTCTGCACCTGGGGGTGTAATCACATGATGGTAATGAATCAGTAATTCTAGATAGGCGCAACCATGAGCTCAATAACACAGCCAAAAGGGTTCATACAACTTCTGACTATACAACAGTCCAACTCAAGCATTTAAAGAGTAACTAAAGCCCCAAAGCACCTTTTTCAGTTGAAAATCCATGTATACGTGTATTTTGTAGTGTTGCTGACTGATACATTCTAGTGCTGAGTATTTGAATTGTGAATACATATTGTGTTATAAATATGCATAGCAACTGTCCTCTACTGGTTGAAACCCGGCTATTGCAATTAAATGTCACTATTGGCTGATCTGGAAGCAGGTGTAGGATGTAAAGGCAGAGCATTATTATTCTGGTATCGGTAAACCATGATGTAAGACACTCACCAGGCCGTACACCTCAATATCAATTTCAAAGTTGCTGGAGACATCAGATCTGAAAGTGGAGAGGGGTGTTGTCAATATTCAACAGTCATCAGCAACAAAAAAAAACAAAAAAAAAAAAAAAAAAGGTAAAACAACAATGTCTGAGTATAATAATCAGTCATTATCAAATACCGTGATGTGTATTCTTTCCTATGAGCAGGTGTAGGAGTGTGTAACTTACATGGTGAATTTGGTAGGGAAGGCGAGGGTGTCCCCACTGAGGCCGCGGTGTGTGCCGGCTAACGGTGTGGCCACGGTGTTCTCTGCTCCGGCTCGAATCATGACGAAGAAAGAATGTTTGGTGGACTCTGAAATACCAAAAACATTAGAATAATAATGATAACCATCAGTACAATACATTCTCAAATAGTGACAGCTGATGTCTGGAGAAGAAGTTGAACAGTGGGGTGTTACTTTAAATTCCCAAACTGTGTTTTTATGCGTTTTATGTCTACCTGGCTTGTTGGCGGTGGAGCAAGCAAAGTCTGCCTTGAGAGGCAGGCGTAACTCCTGCAGGGTGATGGAGCCCTTGGATGCAGACATGCTAGAAGGCTCTGGGGCTGCGGGGGCCTTTTTCTGGCCTGTTGGGTCCCCTTTGAGACGGTCCAGCTCTGCCTTCAACGCTTCCCTTCTCTCCGCTGAGAATATCGAAAGAAAAGAGAGTCAAGCTTTGATTCCAACACTGGTAGTGGTCAAATCCTACATACAGGGGTTATTATATGGGTTATATTAAAGCTGCTCTATTCTTAATAATAATCATAATAATCCAATAGGTAGATTCTGAAATTTAGAAAAAGAAAAAGATAATAAAAAAGGCATTCACTAGGACAGCTACAGGTTTTACAAATAAAACTAAATAACTTCTAAAACCATTAGCAAGTGTGCCTAGCCAGAGCAGAGTAGTGTGGATGAACTTACTGGCCACCAGCAGCAGCCTCTGTGCCTCAGCCTCCACCTGGGATCCTTTGCCGTGCTCTTCGTCTGTGCAGCAGTTGAGTGCCTGGCTGGCCTGATGAATAACAGTCTGCTGCAGGTTCAGCTCATTGGCCAGAATCTACAGAAGCATACAGCAGTGATATTAATGCTTCTGTGTACGTTCACCCCCCATGTATGTAAATCAATGCATAACAAGAGTTCACATGAAGGTTTTACACTCATACTGTAATCCAAGTTAAGAATAGTGATTCCAAACCTTCATCTTCTGTTTGATGCTGAAGAGACTGGATCCTCTGGGTTCCTCCGCTCTTTGAGAAACATCCTCTTTTCTTACTATCACCTGTTTAACGTTGGGTCTCTCAGTCTCCTTCACCCTGGTGGACCTATATGCATCAATGCTACACACACAGAACCGGGTTACAGAACGGATACATGTAAGATACACATTTTCTGCAACGGCAAGGACAGCAAGCTTAAACCTCTAACTCTGCTGGAATGCCTATGTCCTCGGCTGACATTACAGTCCTTCAGACTGTAGCTTCATCGTCATGCTAACTTGTCAGGAAGATTCTACACAACTCTCCAAAGTTGGACAAAATTTGAGTGAGGGAAAAACTCATTTGAAGAAAAAAAAAAACATTTTCAAAGTGATCTCTTGACCTCTGACCTCAAGATACATGGAAATGGTACAAACAAGTCTCTACTTTATAGACACGCCCACTTTATGCTAATCCCATTCAGTTTTGTGAAAACCCTATACAGTATAAATGTGTTATTTTTGCCTGGTGTATTTGAATATTTCTGCATACTGGGGTCCATAAACAGTGCTGGAATTGTATGAATTGGGAATGAGTGGAATACAGACTTGTGGATTCAATGACTCCAATTGTATTCATGTGTGACAATGTCTGTCCCCATAGTAGCCATTCCACTGCAGTGAGACCATTTTTAAACTTGACCACACTGTATAAAATGACCCATTGAACCAAATCTGTGTAACAAATGGTATCCACCCTAAAAACTGTTGCAACAACGTCTGAGACATAATTGGTAAGTGCTCCACTTACCTATATGGCAATTTGTGGTCCTCGTCTGAGGCCTCAACGCTGTCTGAGGAGGCAGTCCGAATCATGTTAGTTCTCTGGAACTTGCTAGGTCTGGAAACACTGTCTGGAGTGTTGCTCTTTACGATGAATGAGCTGGCTGGGGTTGATGTCTGCACAAAGACGTGAGGAAATTGTTTGTGTTGAACATGTTTGCCTCACTCAGAAAGGTCTGACGGCAACTAAATGCATAAGAGACTTCACCTACCATCATTTTCCTCTCTGGACTCTTCACCACAGCAGCCACAGTCTCTGCTAGCGGAGTAAGGAGGGACATGGAGGAGATATTCAAAGCATCTTCCTCTTCCTCATCATCACTCTGCTCCAGGACTCCGTCAAACAGCTCGTTGATGACTGCAGAGTTGATGGACTGGTCCACGTTCATCTCTATCTCCTTTACCACCTCCTCGTCTTCTGGGGTTGTGTTCTCCACGGTGTGGGCGACCACCGTCAGAGGACTGGATGCTGAGGCTGGAGGCGAGACCACCAACCCATGACCTGTTAATAAACATCATGTGTTAGAAAATACATTTTCCCCATGATGTCCAGATCCGATCAGTATCAGGGCCTATTGGGGCACCTTTGTTTATGAAGTCTGGTGGCAAGTGATAGCAATATAATAGTATTATGAATACCTGGAGGAGGGCACTTTTTGGGTGTGCATGGACTTTCAGTGGACGGTGCTGTGGGTTCGTCCTGTGGCTCACATGGGGCAACTTCAGCCTCCACAGGCTTGTAAAGCTGTTCCTAAAAAACACACATTATTTTGTATTAAAAATCTCACACATGCTATGAAAACATGACTACCTTGTAAGATGTAAAATCTTTGTCATTTGTGTGTCAGATGCTTTTGAGCCAACCTTGATGTCCGTGCTTTTATTGGTTTCTGCTGCTTCATCTTTGTTTTTCCATATATTGTTCCCCTTCTGAAAGCGACTGCGAATCTGAGCCAGCTCAGACTCTCGCTCCTGAAATGAGGGGGATTGAAAATTATTTTTTAAAATAATTTTGCTATTGTGATTAATTAATATGGGGATACTCTATAGTATTTACAACATTAACCTACCAGCTTCTGTCTTTGGGCGAGATCAGCGGTGGTCGTGTTTGTAGTCTGGGCAGCTCTGAACCTCTCCTGTACCAGTCTGCTGTTTGGTGTGACTGATGATGGAGTTACAGTGGGAGTTTTGGCATGGGGAGTGCCCCCTGCTGGGGAGCTGTGGTTGGTACGCTCCTGGCACCTCTCTCCAAAGCGTTCCAGGAAAGATTTTACACCTATGTGAGAATATACCCATTAACCACAACATCAAACACTAAACAAATCCAGCGACAGTGTTACTGGTTTGTGCATGTGATTAGAAAGACAACGTTGGTTAAGAATATGATCAATTAAAAGAAAAAAGTGTGTGTTGCACATGCAATTAACATTTCTGTGCATGTATTTATTATCCACAATAATGAGACATTTTTCCACCGGAAAAATTGACTCAACACCCAAAAGATAAAGTTTGTTCCACGTCACAAAATACGTAGGCGATCTGAGTTAGGGGCTAAATACAATTAGTTCCAGGACAACACATTTTATTGTTATTATTATTATTATTTTTATTATTAACAACTGATTATCCAAATAGTTGGCCATTACTTTTCTGTTGATCGACCAATTGTTGCAGCTCTACATGCAATACCATAAACTGAACTCTCGTCATGTCACTTTTGTACAAGATATACACTTATATACAGAATTATACCAAACATTATACAAAATAACCTAATGAGTTTTCCAAGCAATTCAGTAACTTAGACAGCACATCTGAAGAATGGTAAATGGACCTGTACTCGTATAGCGCCTTTCTAGTCTTCCGACCACTCAAAGCACTTTTACACTACATGCTCATTCACCCTTTCACACACATTCACTCAGTGATGGTAAAGCCCATCAAACAGAAACTAACATTCATACACATTCACACACCGATGCACAGCATCGGGAGCAATTTGGGATTCAGTATCTTGCTCAAGGATACTTCGACATGTGGCACCAGGAGCCGGGGATCGAACCAACAACCTTCCAATTAGGGAACAACCCGCTCTGCTTCTGCACCACAGCCACCCAGAACTGGACGGTCACTCTGTATCAAATTTTATAAAATAATTCCAAAATGAACTACAACATGACTCACCAGGTGCTCCGGCGGTGGCCTTTTCCTGGGGGACAGAGGGGCCAGCAGTGGTGGGCTTGGCACGGAGTTCTGGCTTCTGGGGGCTGGAGGTGGGGTTGAGAGCCCTGGAGAAGGCCTGATTCTTCACGGGACTTTGAGGCACGGATGTTGAGGAGGAGGGGCCGGCTTTCTGGGGACTGGATGGGAAGGCTGTTCCCTGGGCGGAGCTCTTCTGGGGACTGGTTACTGACTGAAGTGCTGGCCTGGCGGCAGGAGTGTCAGCCTTCTGGGGGCTTGGGAAAACCACTCTGCTAGACTTCACCGGAGAATAAGAAGCCTGCTAAAAAGACAGGTACTTTCTAATAATCAATCTATTTAGAAAGCATAATCGAAAACAACGACAACAACCTGGTGGTCTATGGGTCTGATTGGGTCTTCAAAACAAAAAAATGCATGTGGCTGCAGTACTATCATATATGGCAAAATATTAAGGTCAACATTTGAGAAGTTGGAACAAACAAAAATCTTTGCAATTTTTCTTGAAAATACCGAAAACAGTTAATTGATTATCAAAGCAGTTGCAAATTCATTTCATGTGTTTATCACTGCAGCTTTACATGCAATAACTCTGCATAGATCATCATTCAGCATGAAGAATGATTTACTTCTCAAAGACATGAACAAACTATGCAAATGTAAATTCTATATTTAATAATACAATAAGTACAATTAATAAAAAAAAAAAAAGAGAATTTATATCCATCATAAGCAATGGGTGTTCTTGTGTGCAAAGTAATGAAGCAGTCACAGAAGGTTTTTCTATCTTGCCAAATTTTACAGAAGCAGACAGCTCATATAATACCAGTCTGACAGAAATGGGTGACGATGCTGAGGATTAAGACCTACCTGATTAGAGCTGGAGGTGGTTTTGCTGCTTGCAGTAGAACTGGCCACCACGTGGCCTGCAGCACTTTGTTTAGTGCTGGTAGCCACCATGGCATCTCTGGCTGCGAACTTGAGAGCAGCTGCACTAGGCTTCTCTTTTTCATCCCTAGTGGGAATGCTTGCATGGCTCAGGTCGTCCTCCCAGGTTCCAATGGTGGCAGCGAGGTTGGCCAGCCTGCCTCTCCTCCCCAGTGGAGTTCCTGAGGACACGGTGGGGACGGTGACTGGTGGGACCTCAGCTTGTCTTTTCAACAGGGACAGGGGAGTGCAGTCTGGAACTGCGTCAGAGGTGTCTGAAAAGGTAGTATTGTGTTTGAATTGGGCAAGGAGAGACTATATGACTATCAAACATTTGAAAAGCAAACATCACAGCATTGACAATTAGCATTCACAAACTTTAAATGTATGTGAGCGGCCCACATTGAAGTCAGGAGCGCTTTCTGCTGCAACAACATACAGTACAAATGCAGAAAAAAAAACTTTTCTGTGGACCAGTCTTCTAAATAAATGCACTTATACATAGGGCTATGTGGTATGCTATATCGTACATATATATGATGAAACAATGTTTTTAGTCATACTGTATATAAACATTTTTTAAAAATCATATAGCAATTATGTTGCAAAACTATTATGTTGTCTTACATGTGGAGAATAAGATCAGTAGACAAGGGCACATCTTCATAGTACTTCATTAGAATGCTGTTTTGTCACATTTTGACAAAAAGAAAATAATGACTTGATATTTTATTATAAGTTTACTTGAAAGGTTGCCTCTTTTGTTTAGTTTCTAAATAAAAGGACAAAAACAGTCAAATATAAGTGAGTGCCTTTTATTTGTAGTATATAATTCTAAATGTATTAAGAAATAGGCCTTCCATGTGGTCATTTTATATAAACTATAAATGTACTTTATTTACAGAAAATGTGGTATGTGGTATATGGTGATGAGATTTTGGTCCCATCACAGAGCCATACTTCTATACAGAACAGTGCACGTGTATGCTTTAAAAAGGAACAAGTTACTTTTGATTTGGTTGCTGTCTACTGTTAGATCAGTCTATAAACAGCTAACTGTCAGTCAGTTATAGTGGAATCAAACCCTTTCATTTGTTATTTTGGTGTCAATCTTCTCTTCTGAATTTTGCCAACTTCTATTTTAGAACTAGTTTATCTGAAAAGCTATTAAAGAAATCATACACAAGATATTCTTACCAGTGCCATCCCAACACTTTCTCTGCTCTGCCAGCCTATGCAGACGAGACTTCATGCCAGCAGCAGATGAAGCTGGATCTTCCACCAGGTCCTCCTTGTTCCTCTGCGGAGCTGAACTGACAGGACCCATTTCTGCTTCTATGCAGCTCAGAGGATCAGGGACAGGGGTGACGGCCATCCTCTCTGTTTGTGGTTGTGCAGCTTTCAGCTGCCCTGGCTGAAACTGGACAGCAGGCCGGGCAGCAGTCTTCTCCAGGGATGAGGAAGGGCGGACGCTGGCGGGGCCAACGGGTGGTTTCTTGTCCGTTATGGGATCCGGGAGGGTGGGGACCACAGGTCGCATTGTCATCGGTTCGTGGTTCTCCTCGCCGGCTGCAGGCTGAACATTTTCCCCTGAGCGACTGCGCTTGGAAGGAGAAGGCTTGGTGGAGCCCTGTGGAACTGGGAGGAGGTGATAGGGAAATGTGAGCAAAGAGTAGAGCTGCAATGCGGTGGTCAAACTGACAGCAAAGTGTTCATACCTTTATCAATGACTGGCTCACTGAGCACACTATTGGTGTCAGCCAGTGGCTCTCTGGGCCTTTTCACCATCGGTCTGTTGGCTGCATTTGGCCTCTCTGCCATTTTCTTCTGCAGGTTTTCTCTGCGAGCCCGGGTCCGCTCCAACAGTTTCTGGTTAGACAGGGGAAAAAAAGTTACTCAAATGGCTGCTTTATACATGCAGAGGCTGGACAGACTTTATTGTATCAGGTACAATACAACAACTGCACAAATTAAAGCCTCAAACCAAAGAATTGACGATCTTAATGTTATATTAGAAGTTGCTCAGGAGGTACTATTTGTGGCAGGACTACTGTATTGGATTACATATTTTTTAAGAGGTGTTGTTTTTATTACGTCCCTGTATACAGCAGAAATGTTTAATCCAAGCCAGGTTTGATAGGGTTTGATTGATACCCATACTGCTTATCGATATATACTTTGGTACAAAACATAAAAGACATGACATGAAAAGATTAAACAGTTATTTTATTATTATTATAGAATTAGAATTTAGTCATGTGATCCCACACCTCTGAATGTTTTGTCCTGTTAGCGGTTTATAAACATAAAAGCAACTATCTGGGCTTTTAGGGGGAGTCACATGATGAAACTATTTATTTCTAAACAGCTAGACACACTGACCATGCCTACAAAGTTAAGTGAGCAGTATGCTTCTTCAGAAGTCCTTGTCAGATGATCATTAGCTTCAGAAACCCCCTCCTCCCACACCTGTCCACCGTCGGATTAGGAGCTTCTCTCTTTACTCATTTTCGTCACTTCTCGTCTGAACAACCAAGTGCAACAATATGAAATGTAAAATGTGCACTGTTATTAGCCCCATATTTCAACGATATCACAGCAACCCCAACGACCAGCTTTTCACCCTGCGATCAGTGTGACCGTTCAGAACAACTACAAACAGTAAAGTGGTCAGAAACATGATGTATGAACCAGTTCTGAACGAGCATAACTCGACCTTTAGGCTGATCGCCTCCCAGCTTAACTCCATACTTATTGCATAAAAACACAAACTCTTGGACCAAAAATTACCCAAATAGTAGACCTATTTATTTATTAATGAAACACACATTACAGATCCACAAACAACCTGACGTGCCATGGATGTTGCAGGTTTAAAATCAATTGACATATGCTGGGCGGCTGTGGCTCAGAGGCAGAGCGGGTCGTCCACTAATCGGAAGGTTGTTGGTTCGATGAAGAAGCATACCGCCACATGTCGAAGTATCCTTGAGCAAGATATTGAACCCCAAACTGCTCCTGATGCCGTGCATCGGTGTGTGAATGTGTAAGAATGAGTTAGTTTCTGTTTGATGGACTTTGCAGTGTTGTAGTGTAAAAGCGCTTTCAGTGGTCGGAAGACTAGAAAGGCGCTATACTAGTACAGGTCCATTTACCATTTACATAGATCATTTTATTGCTCTAAATTAGGGCTGCACTTACATTACATCATTATTGATTAATCTGTCACTCATTTTTTCAATTGCTGAATTAGCAGTTTGGCCCAAAAAATGTTGTTTACTTGTTTATGTCTATTGTCAATTCTTCATTAACCAGAACAACTTCCCTTCTTGTGGTGGCTGGGAGAGAGAGAGAAACCAATGAGATGGAGACTTTTTACAACTTCTAACTGTACGCATGTTTTGCCTCTGCAGCATAGTTCGTGACTTCCCTCTGTAAATGTGTCTAGGCTATAGAGCTGTAAGTGTTGTGAGACATGTTTAAAATAAACAATAAAAAATCCAAATTTTGTGATTGTCAGATGTGAATATTTTCTGGTTTCTTTAGCCCTCTATAACCTTGAAATTAATATATTTGGGTTGTGGGCCAAACGAAAAATGTTAGGATGTCACCGTCAGCTTTTTATCAACATTTTTTAATATTTTCTGACCTTTCTTAGACCAAACAACTAATCAAGTGATTGAGAAAATAACAGATTATTCAATACTGAAAATAATCTTTAGTTGCAGCCCTACTACACAGTGAAAGAATCTGAGACTCAGGCCTCTTTATAATTACACTCTCGTTGCTGTGAGCAATTACTCTGTGGCTTTTTCAAAAAGGCAAAAATATGCCAATTCTCCATTTTCCAGCCAGGATTACTGCTGAACAAAAGCAAATATGTGGAAGGAGGCACAGCATATTGTCTGTCTCTATATTGGATACTTTAACAAGGAACATAACAGCCTAAGACACACAAAACAGTTCTTCTCCACCAGAGATAAAAAGGCCTCTGTTTGCTTGCCCTCTTTCCCTTCCTCTTTTCTTGAGATGATGACATTTCCCTCCCTTGGCCTCACACAATCTGATTTACTGTGCTGTACGTTAACTGTGCAAGCCCTAACACATTCCTGCAGCTGCACTGCAGGCTTTTCTCCAGGCACTGTGGAAAACCTGAAGTCACATTTAGCAGCATTCCTCAACAATGAGCCACTCCTGCTTGTAGTTCCTGGGTTTGAAATTTCAAACTGTGCTGGCCTGGATACTGGAGTAACAAGAAATGTTATTAGATATTAATCATTTCTAGTTTTAGCTGGTAACAACAGTGAAGGCAAAGAGAAAAATCAAGTAAAGAGAGTGCCAAGTGTTGGACAAATTCCAGCCCATACACATTCCATTGCCTTAAATGGAGACAAAGCTGTTACATTGGAATAACGTTAGGTTATTGTGGTGTGTTTTGGTACATGGATATGGCTGTTATAATACTGTATAAGGAGCCGCTCAGTCAGCAGCCAGGCTAAATTATAACATGTAAGTTAGAAAACTAGATTACATATCCAGCCGTTAGAGGACTATGGAACTGGTTAACGTTAATATTATTAGTTGTTATTTGTATTTCACACTTGTGCTTTTCAAAGATTGACAAGACAAAGAAACAACACGTGAGATGTTTCCATTGGCCTTGTTTGAATGTATTACTATATATTTATGTCTGTAACGTTAGTTTACGTTAAAGTAATACGGAAATAAAGAAGTTGACCCACTAATGTATCTAACATGTGTTTAACAACGTTATAAAAATACTAACTGTTAGTTACGTTAGGTAGCTTAGCATTAGCAGGTAACGTTAACGCCACTTTCGACTCCACCTTTCGTTAGTAACTTTACATATGTGGCGACAGCTAACTAGCTAACGTTAGTTAAGGTAGCTCACCGACTCACCTCAGTAAATGGATCCATTTTTGACAGCTTGTCCCTTGGTATCAACTTGGTATTTTAAAAGCCTTGTACACAACGATGTGTACGCAAACAGGACGTAGTGAGGCGAGCTGAGCGGCTCTCAGCTTCTCTTCTCTTCTCGGCTGCTCTCTTCTCTCTGTGCACAAAACAACCGCTGTTCAAATTTGAATTTCAGCGCTGCGCCTACTGCGCAGACTCCAACAGTTGAACGGAGCGCTTGAAAACCAATCATAATCAAGGAGCCGCGCTGGGCCAATCACAGCCCGGGTATGTGGAAAACGAGCTGTCACAACGAAGGCACACCCAGACCCCAGACCGCAGACCACCACCACAATACACACATCCCTCCACCATGCACATTTTTCATCAATCAGTCATCTGTGTATTCACAAAAAGCGGTTAAAACATACGCTGACCTAATGCACAGATGCACAGGAGTCTCCTTTCATTACAGTAATGTAACCGTGCGTTTTTCATTCTTAATTCTGATTGGTTGCCTTTTAATCTTATTTATGATTAAACATCTTCACAATTTAACTGAAACCCTACATACAATATAGTGACTCAAAATCAATTTAAACATTTTTAAGTCATTTTATTTCACTGCTTACAAAGATTACTTGAAGGGAGCATACAATATCATTCATTACTAAAAACCCAAATAAAATACCTGTTTTAGCACTCACAAACTTATGCTCCCAGGCTCTAGATTAGTTATCAGTTAACCTATAGCGTTGCCTCAGCAGCCTGATTTATTATTTGTACTATTATTTTAGTTTAAAACTGGTCCAGGTGGAGAGGTGACTGCTGATCTCCCCTAGTAAGAGAAAGTGGGCAATATATTCACATATTCGAACTTCCCGCCTCAATAACTCATAATCGAAACATTTTTAAAACACAACCGATGCCTCTTTCCAACCCTTGTAAAGTACACAACGAGCTACAACCTCATTTTCATCATAACAAACCGGCCTCTGCACTGCTTGAATAACATTGATCTTTATGTACAGTGCGCAGGGAGCGTCAACAAATTTCAATAACGAAAATATATATCACAAAAGATATTCAATAACATATAATTGGCCCCCTCCTGTTGATACTGCAACTGCCATTTTCACAATAAAAAACTGTATATTGTATATATATATACTGTATATGGTTACGCATCAAATTAAATAGAGTTTATTTATATAGCACATTTAACAGATACAGACTTGACCAAGTGCTGCAGAAACAAACGTGCCTGGCACATTTGTAAAAAAGGCATGGCAACTCATTGATTGCCCATGGTGACCTCACTGACTTTGATGTCACCATCCAATCAAGTGCAACTGTCAATTAAGCTCCAGCTGCAGTGATGAGATTCAGTCTTTACTGCAGAACCATGATGATGGGGAATGACATCTTTCTGGCTTTCGATTACTTTGCTATTTTCTGCCTTCGGATAGCTTTGCCAGTTTACCACCACAGTCTTTCCTTGGTTGTATGTAAGTAATCCTTTATCTTTATTTGTCTTTTCATGGTAGTGATTAACATAGTTTGTAGAACTAGGCCTATATAGCTGTTCAGAAAATGAAATTTGAACTTTAGGTTGTGCATAATTGATTAAATAAAATGTTTGTCAACTTAAGTGCCAAACAAATGTATTATTCTATAAATAGCATACAAAAAGAAAGACACATGAAGTGCTCCAGTCTTTAACCATGTGTTGAAATATCACTGAAATAATAAATTAGGGACATAAAAAAGGATATGGATATAGATAATAGCCTTCATACAGCTCAACTTTTACCCCAGGTGAAAACCTGGTACCCTAACCACGTGTAAAACATGTAGTTGAGTATCACTGGCATACCCAGATAGCGTCATTATATTCTAATTTGGAGAATTTTATGTTCCATTAACTCTCTTATTACGAGTCTGAGATAATAATCTTGTTACTTCAGCAAAATGGGGCAAACATTCTTTCCTCATGTGGATGCATTACCCCTCAGTAGTAAGTCACTATGTTCCAAAACCAATTTGTTTATATAATGTTGAACAGGTTGAGTTCTCGCATATACCAGCAAAACAGTTAAATCTCATAACTCATAAGCTGTCAGGATGTTGCAAGTACTCTATCTGCAGGCAGATTTGTAGACTATAAAAATACTATTATAAAAATGATTTTCAATTCAAGGTTTTAGCATTTCATTTTCCCCCTTTCCCTAGGCGAGGGACTATTTGAAGACAGTGAGAAGACTAAAAAAGGAAACAGAGGAAAGAAGAAAGACCTATGGGCAGTGGTGGGGGGAAAAGAAGCTGTGGTCAGAGCAATTACAAGTTTTAACATAACAAACAGAGATACAGCTTATTCTTCCTAGAACTATTTGAACTATCTTATTTGCTCAAGATATGAAGAAAAATCGTCATTGGCTGTGGGTCATATGGACCACGAATCGTAAGCGAGTGAAGGATCTGATTATAAATCAGGAAATAAATAATGAGGATGAAGGACATAATACAGAAGCATGTGAAGACAGTGGGACAGAGGATCTGCCTCTAAATATGACTCAGAATATGACATTGCAGAGTGCTGTTCAAAAACACGTAGCAGTATCACAGGAAGACTCAGATAAGAATGAAGTAAGAGAAGAGCAAGATACGAAAAAAAATGGAGAAAGTTGCCAGTGGTGCCTAAGAGATTCACAATAACTGTGAACATGAAGAAATGGAAAAAAAGTCTTCTGCCACACGGTTCCACAAAACCTAGGCAACCATGGACCAATGTGTTGTATAACAGCTTCCGCAAAAAAAATCCTTATTGTACTCTTTGTCTCAATTGTTCTTCTGTCAGGCAGAGCATTGAAAGCTTCTTGGAAAGGGCCTTTGCTATTTGTTCAAAACTGAAGACATGGAAAGATATACAAATGTTTACAGTGCTTCACATATGCTCTGCACACATGCTCAAAGCTGTTGCTGAGTCTATTGGGAGAAAAACAAAAGACAAAGGATTAAAGGAGTTTGCAACATTTGCCAGGTTGCAAAATACTACAAAAAAAGAGCAATATTCCTGACATGGAAGAGACGGAGAAACCGGAAGACAGTCCTGTAGCCCAGGAGGAAAATGATAAAGAACGAAGAAATGCCCACACATTTGTAGGCAAATCTCCCTTCACTTATGATTTCAAGAAGGTCTTGGAGGAGGTGCAAGGAGAGCATGTGAAAGAAGATGAAGAAAATCCATACTTCTGCCCTGTTGTTGTTTTTTTGAAAACTACCTGGGCCTTTTCCCCCTTTGGAGTGGTCTATCTGAAAAAAGAAGATGACACCTTTGGCCCAAGCAAAACAAGGGACACAAACTGCCACATGGAGAGATGGTTTGGAATAGTTAAACCTTCCATTCTAAAAAAACAGAGGATTTTAATATTGTGGTAAATATTCATGAATTCAAAAGAGGTGGGTTATTTCAATAACAACCTTCTGTACCAGGAGAATATCTAGACAGAGTACTGAAATACTGAAAATAGAATGACTTTGCAAATTGATTTGATTACTTTGCAAAAGTGATTATTTTTACTTATACATAGCACATGTAATGTTTTGACATACAGATGGCCAAGATGACGGTGATGGAATTTCCAAACATACCGCAGACATTTCGCATTGATTCATTCAAACAATCTCTAATTTCTATTTCTCTTCAAAATCTAAGAAGAGAAATGTCACAAAAAAATCTGAGAGGATCAGGTATTGTTCAAAATATTACATTATTATGTTGACAACTCTCTACAAACTTGACAGTAATATAGCTTAAATATTTTGAGTGTCAAAGGATGACTTCTGTTCCCTCTGTGGAAATGAGGACTGTTGTTTGGGTGAGAATCTATCTTTAATTGTTTGAAAACATCAGTGGATGATCTGAATAGTTGATAATCTACAGATAATCTCAATTGAAATTCCTGAGATAATGGTAGAGTAATCAAATCTTGTATACTTGTATGCATTATAGATTTGCTAAAGTGAACATTTCAATGTTCAATTTTTTATCCCCATGTAGATTCAGTGTGAAACTTCACACGCAGTGTGTCAGAATGACAGCAGCACAAATCCCAAACAAAGATACCCCTTGGTATTGTGAGTTGTGCAACAATGATGTGTGGAGGGAATATAGTGGCACTACAGTTCATAATGGTTGAGTTATTATTGAGTTACTTAAAAATCTCCAACAATATACAAAAGTCTTTTATTGTGAAAATATCAGTTGTAGTATAACCAGGAGGGGGCCAATGATATGTGCAGTGATTTTGGTGAGGCTGTAATATGAGAGTACGGTTATTGAATATATTTCCGTTATTGAAATTTGTTGAAGGTCCCTGCACACTGTACTTAAAGATCAGTGGTTTTCAAGCAGTGCAGAGGCCGGTTTGTTTTGATGAAAATGAGGTTGTAGCTCGTTGTGTACTTTACTAGGGTTGGAAAGCTACATATGTTAAAACAAGGCGTCACCAAATAAGATGTCGTAAAAGGGTTATATTTTCCATAAAATAAAATAAAATGACAGTTGGTGGGGAATAAAAGTTAGACATTTTTTATAGAGACTCAACAATCAACTATAGTTATTGGATGTTTTTAATTTATATATTTATTCCCAGTGTTTAATACCACCTTAAAGTTCCCCTCTAGTCAAAAATATATTTTTCTTCTTATATTCCATATTATTGTCCCAAGCAGACAATTTGTAATTTTTCATTTATTTAAATCAAGCAGTATACACAAGGGTCTTCACTTGAATTAAATTAGTTATCTGGATCATAAGTTATTTTATAAATGCCAGCAGGTAAGAATTACTGGCTAGATGACCGAAACACACTTCTTTAATGTTTATGTGTGGAATTAAAGTTAGCAGGTGCGACCAATAAATAGAAAACTACAAGCATGGTGTCTAATAGCAACAAGTGTCTGAGTTTCAACAATATTAACACTAAATTCAATCCACTGACAATATACTATATAATATATATATATAATATTACATATTATGTGTATGAATCTCGGAACATTTAAGACCAAACGCGGATATTTTCACCAACCTATTCTCAGAGGGACTTCATTTCCCATGAGCGTCCGTGTGTATTATCATTGGTATTACGTAGTTACCAGCGAAACCATGGAAACAGCTCATGCAGAGCTACACGGACAGCTCGGCTCTTTCTCGTCAGTTTGGCTGAGGAGGCTCGGTGTAGGCGGGACAGTGACTGTCAGCTCAGCTGTTAGTCAGTGAAATGTTTTAAATATATAAATATATATTTCTGCGTGTCGTAATACGTAGTCACTACAGGTATCTCGCTTTCTTGTCTCTATTTGAACAAACATTAGCCGGCTAGTTAAGCTAGGTTGACTTGCTAAGTAACGTTTGTATTGTTGGAAGAGCAACACGGTGTTTCAGGTTTACAGAGACTTTAACAGAGGATGCTGGAGTCAATAAAAGTGACAGGTAATGTTGTCTTGTGTTTCTCTTATTTTCCATTGACTGTAGGTTGGAGCTCTCCTACTTAGTATCAGGACTTAAATGTAATACCGTAACAATAGCAATATTATGCTTATTTTCTTAAAACTACTGATGTATATTAGTAAAAACGGATGTGCCATCCTTTTGTGTTAGCACAGTTAAAGGAGGGTAAATGAGCTCCAATGAGTTATTAAATCAGTTGAGTTCTAGAGTAATATTAACGAACACAAACAACAAACGAATATATTTAATATTTAAATACTCTGGTTAACATTTTTAATAGCATTATTAGTACTGATCAATAGTATTTATCAATAACGCTTCTGTTATATATTGTACTATATATATTTGAATGTCTTATTTTCTATATATCGTTACATAGCCTACTGTAATATAATGTACATATTTTTGCACACTCTTATTTTTCTATATATATGTTGTTATATATTGACATTTAATATACACATTTTAACGTTTTATTATTATTTCTATTTCTTAATAGAATATCTTGTTTAGTAACTTGAGCAACTGTAACGCAACCAACCCCCACCCCCCCCCCCCAGGGATCAATAAAGTATTTATGGTTCTGATTATGATCTAGGAAACGATGGATTAGTTCATTATAGTTCATATTGTATTATATAAGGTATCTTATCTTGTCCTACGCATTTGTGTTGGAAAGACTCCAACAGCAGCAGTCTAAAAGGCTGAATTCTGGTGAGCTCACTCCGTGCTGAATCATGCTGGTTATTGCTTTGAACTCACATTAGGACTCTTTGATATTTAAATTAATGTGATGGGTGAGATGGATTCAGCATTAATTCATTTTGTTGTGCTGTTGAATCTCATTCAGTTTCAGGATTACGTCATACATTTTGGTAACTTTGAAAATTCTTGTTGTCAAACTTTTCACACCAGTATTTACCAGATAGGAATGCTATGTTGAGTACCTAAAAGTGTGAGCTGATAGTAGCCTGCAGTACCACATCAGTTGAAACTGAATGATGAAGCAGACACCCAGCTCATGTGTTTGATAATAGTATTTGATTCGGTGGCTGAGCAGGCCAATGAAGCTCCAAATTATACTCTAACGATCATTACTGTGCTGCAGGGTCATTAGTTTGTGCTGTCTGTGGTTGCATGGATTCCGGCTCAGTGCTCCTGTCCGAACAGAGAGATGACATCCCCAGGTCTCCTTACTGGAAATCGCACAGCCACTCTAACTCTTTCGCTGTACTGCCCTGTCTCTGGAGACATGATGAGAATAATTTCCTCTGTGATAGCAAGACTCATGGTGCATAGCCATGGACTGCTGACATTACAGAAATCCAATAGATGTCAAATTATGTTTATTTGTGTCAGATCATGTTATGATTGCAGAAAGGGGGAACAATAGTTGTTCATTTGCTTATAGAGATGTTAAAACACAGGTTATCACACTGAATACAAGTTTGGGCATCCGTTTATTTGGTACCTTCCTTTTTTAGCTTGCAATAGATCTAATTTTATCCTGCCTTGATAAGAGGATTAGTCTATCAAGCTATCAATAAAAGATGCACGTGAATTCTAAAGTAAGCAGCAAACAGACTGTCCTTACTTACTGGTCTCTCATCTTACTTCTTTCAGAAAGACTCCACTGGCCAGAGGTAGAAATGTCCAAAAAGTACATCTTAAACTCAACTGACAAGGCACTGAGTCCAAGCCAAGTGTACCTGGAGAAGATATCTTCATCTGTCCTCAAAGACCTCTTTAGCGCTGGCTCCAGCAGCTACAATGTCCTGCTGCAGGCTGAGGAAGAGGAGAAGAAGAGCCCGAAGCAGTCCCCGCACAAAAGACCAAAACCATCATTGAAATCTGGCTCCACGTTGAGTAAAAGAAACCGTCCAGGCATGGCTCCTAAAAAGGTGCGTGCTGCAGAAGGTGGCAGTAAACCTGCACAGGCAAATCGTGTCCTCTCAGGCAGCTATTCCAATGTCCCGAAACCAGCACGGAACATCGCAGTTGTGGGCAGCACCATGGGCCTGACCCCTCGCGCAGTTCCACAGCTCAGAAAGGCGTGCATCCCCAATTCCCCTCGCACTAAACTTCCCTCGTTGCACAAAGCAGCGATCGCACGGGAAGTGGAATATGCCAAGAAGCTCTGCATCCTTTCAGCCATCAAGCCATCTAATGTTGAGAAAGAGAAGGCCAAATTTTTTAAGTCTGACTTCAACTACAATCCACAGTTTGAGTACAGCAACCCTGTCTCTCCACTTGTCCTGGCCCGGCATAACAATGCCTCTGACCATTTTCTCACACAGGTAAGAGTGTGTTTGTGTTTGGAACAATTTAAAGGACAAGTGTGTAGAATGTAATGCATCTTGCCTCGCACTCCCATTCCAAGCATGTAGAAGAAACTATAGTGGCCACAAAACTCTTGACAAACTTTAAAGGTCCTATCTAGAGCCAGCATTTGGTTTGTCCATTCTAGGCTACTGTAGAAACATGGCAGTTCAATATGGCGGCCTCCGCCAGAAGAGGACCCACGCCCTCTGTATGTAAAAAGGGCTCATTCTAAGGTAACAAAAACAACAATTCTTATTTCAGGTGGTTATAAAAACATACCTATGAATATTATATTCCATTTCTGACAATAGATCCTCCTGAATGTTCCATGGCCTTGTTTTTTTTTAAAATAATTAATTTTAAAAACACACTGTTACACACAATCACAACCTAAAGATATTCAGTTTACTGTCATATCATATGTCCATCATATAGTACTTGCATTAACTCGAGACTTGAGAGCATATTTTTCATATATGTAAACAAGAAATATTTCAAATAAATTGTTATAATCTCAGATAAATATATAACTTATTTCTCATTGTATAGTGACATTTGTTTTAGCCAAAAGCCGACCTACTGCTGCTGGCTGCCAGCTGAGCTCGGGGGCTATGTAGTGAACCAAGCATTGTGAATTGTATCGAATTGTGAGATGAGTGTATTGTTACATCTCTAAAGTGTCACACCTGCATAAACTGAGGTTAGTAGCAGGGTTGCAAGCAAAGTCATGTTATTGCCTTTGGACAAGGGCTGCACAATATAGTAAGAAAAAGTCCATAACAGAAAAACATGTTTTTTTACATTTGGAGAACAAGGTCTGTAAGTCAGGGTATTTCAGAACTACAGTTCTTCATTGTAATGCTGTTTTGTCACACATTTTATCTTCATAAAAAAGCTTCAAAAAAGCTTCTTGGAGATTGCACATGGCCATATTGTGATTTAATTCATATATTAGTCTCCAAGGTACTGTATCAAGGTAAAGATGAAATAGATAAAGTCAAAAACCTGAAACTTGCTTGCTTGCATGCTGAAAGTACACTCGGACAGTGTTGTGCAAAAATCCACCAATTTCTGGCCCAGAGGCAGTGACAGGTCATTTATCACATCTACAACAGTGTCCTTAGTGCACGAGGTTGGTGCTGAGCTGGCTGCTTCGAGATCAGCAACCTCCATGTGCCAGCAGTCAAGTTGGAAACTGTGATCACAGAGACATGCTGCCAAGGCTGTTTTTAGCATCAGGGCTGATCAGAGCTGATGCAGGGTGAGCCTATTGTCTAAGTGAAAGTGGAAAGTGGCTAGGATTAATCAGTTCAGGAAACAAATTTAGCTTAGCAAACACTGGATGATTAGTTTAAAACTGCCTCAGTGGGTGTTTTAAATCAACGTTAACAGTATGAGCACATAGAAGAATCACACGCAGTATTTGCAAGTTCAATCACCCCACAAATTAATGAATAAGGGCATAAGATCAGACGTGTGGTGTGTTGCAGGCTCTTATAGTAGCACAAGTATACAGAGAGTAAGACAAGGAGTGAGTGAGCTCAACAGGAAACGCAGTAAAATGATCCTGTGGTGGAGGATGCTTGTGCTTGTTTGTTTATTCCTGGCATCTGCCCTAGTTTTTCACGCTTTCTTCCTCTGTCTTGAACTTTGAAAGTGGACTGTCACTTGAATTACATTTGTCTTACAGTATGAAATTCATGGATTTTGTCAGGGAAAAGAGTGCAGTGTAGAGTATGTATGGGAACAAATCCAATACATTAAACTGATGATTTGCAACAATTCATGAGACTGGGTTCACAATATGATTCTCTCAAAATTCCTTTTTACAAAATGAAATTAAAGACAGAAAAAGATGACTTAATTTCTCAGACAAAAATCTCTTATTTTCTTTATAATTAGGTCAGTAGTTATTTTATATATATATATATATATATATATATATATATATAAATATATAAATATATATATATATATATATATATATATATATATATATATATATATATATATATATATATATATATATATATATATATATATATAAAATAAAAATAAAATATAAAGCTGCAGTCAGTAGTTATTTTTTATATATATATAGATATATATATAGATATATAGATATTATATAAATATATAAAAATCAAATCAGGTTCCTCTGGCTCCTCCTAGTGCTCCTAGTGACCTTTAAATACAGATGCTTTGTGACCATGAGAAGGAGACACAAGAATGGGTCTTCAAGCCAACAGCCCAAAGAGTCTATATCTTTCTCGGCTAGGCCAGTATTAGTCTATTGCTATGAAAAGAGATGTTTTTTGTTGATGAGACCTAACAGGAGCATATAAATAGAGAAAAGGAATTAAGGAAAGACCAAGTATAGAACTTTGAGGAACCCCATCAGAGCGCTTGCCAATTAATGCCAGCTTCTCTATGTCCCATAGTTTTTCTGTAAAAATTATTTTACTGTTACTTTTTTTTTTTTTCTAAAAGAGTAGTTTGACTAACTAGTGTTTGTTAAATATCTGTCTAATTGTCTGTTGGACTTGATTTTAGCAGTGTACAGTAGTAGCAGGTATTGCTACCACTTTGGAGCACCAAAGTGAAATCTTGCCAAGTACTGACTTCGAAAGCATCAACAACAGAACACAGTCATGGGCAGCTTGATGATGAATTCACATATCTTGCAGGCAGTGCACATCATGGAGCTTGCCCTGCAGCGATATGGCAGCTATGAGAAGTTTGAACAGGTCACTGGGGGCAACCTCCTCACCAAGAGTCGCATCTGGCACAACGTCAAGAAATACATGGAGAAGGAAGGCTGCTTGGGGGAGGTAAGAGGAAAGGCGACTCAGGCTTATTTGATGATGGAGATGCATTGTGTTTTATTTGTATTCTGTCGTGGTGTTATATTTTTTCACAGTGTGATTCTAAGACAATGACAAACAACACATTTCTGGCAATTTCCACTGTAGTAAAGAAAAAAAAAAAGGCTGCAGAGCCTGGTACTTCTCTGTGGCTGTAGTCTGCAGTCTGTGTCATGGTGGATTTGTACATCATCATTACACAGCAGCAGACATCATCAGGGCATCTAAGTGAATGAGCTCCAGGGAAAAGTAAGACCTAGCAAAAAGCCGCCACTTCAATGAAGTCAGCCTGCACTTTGCTTGCAGCTGCATTTATGTAACCATCAACAAATACACATTACATCACCAACTTAATAATGTTCCACTGAACACATTACACCACATATACATGCACCTTGTGTATGCTTGGTAAAGTCCTAATGGGATTAGACATACACGTGGAAAGAAAATACAATGGAGGGAATTGCATTAAAGGTGAAATCCACATAAAACCATGTGACACTTGCATTTATGGGCTCATTTTGTTGAGCTGCTGCTACAAATAATAGAAGAACACATTTCAGCAATGTAAAGCATCAGTGGTTTAGGACTAACTCTAATTATACTTTCAGAGTCTTGGCCACAAAGATGTGCAAGGGTTTGCACAATGTCAGTGTTGTCATGCGCCCATGTCTGTGAGGGTTCACACTGACATATTTGTGGACATCAAAATGCAGCCCAAGATTTAGGAAAGCACACGCCAACTGCACATCTGAATATGTCCGCCTACGCAGACACCTAGTCCAGTATAAACAGAACACATGCTCAGCTGTCTGGCCTGCTGTTAACATTCTTGTCCATTTCAGTATAGTGAATTTAGTATGCCTGCCTCTCAGTTTAAAAAAGCTGACAAATACATAAAAAAAAAAGTTCACAATGATGTCAACCCCCTATTCTGTTGTTTTGGGGTCTGGGCTACTGTAGAAGAGGTCAGGCCAAAATGTTCTCTTTTTTTCTCTTCTTTCTAATTGCCAGCAGGCCCAAAGATTTGTCTGATTGTATTTAACCTTGTGAGTAAATTACTTCTGACTTGATTTATGAGCTCAGTAAACAGTTTCCTAATGGGTTTATGGTCTCAGTCTCTAGTTCCAGTCTTCTTCCATACAGCATGATGTTCATTTGGTCCCATTTAGAGTAAAATAGACCATAAGGCAGGGTATGCTTTAGGGCGTGGCTACTTTGTGATTGACTAGTTGCTATCTCTTCGGGTTATCAGTCAGATCCAATCAGGATAGAGTCGCAGCAATGTGTATACTCCCCAGCTCCACACTCTCGTCCAAATGTGATCACATCTGGGTCCAAAATTGCGACAATCAAAATGAAAGTCCACAAACCAGTGGCTGACGTCAGAATGGCTCCGTCCGCTACTTATTATATAGTCTATGGGCAAGACAGGAAACTGTGTGGAAGGAGTCACATAAGCAGCTGAAGGCAACATTACAGAAGTTATAAACTATACCTTTACTAACTATACACACCTAAAACACTTATTGTTATTACTCTGTTAATGTCTTTGGATTCACTTCCAACCTTGCTTTTATTGTTACATAGAATAAAGATGATCAATACTTTCTGAACAACAGGTCAATCACACCCTCTCTGTCTAATTTGCTGGGCACTGGAGAGCCTTACTTTTTGAATCAGACTGGACTCTATGTAAGGCAGCATCATGTTGTTAATAGGGAGGACCTTGCTTTAAGTGCACTCACACTGAAGCCTTAGACATCCTTCTGAGCCACATCCTTCAGCTCCACCTGGGGAGTTCCAAGAAATGAACAGATGTACCATCTAATGCAGACTAATACAACAGCCATGCAATACTGTAATTTTGAGTGTGTTATGGTGATCTTATAGTGTTATTCTTGTTGTCACTACTATCTTGGACTTGACAGGGTAAAGGACAATACGACAAAAAAGTAATCAACAAAAAAGTAGCACTGACTCCTATCTGTGTTGATAGATTGTAGTCCAGGTGACAGACGACCTTCTGTCCAGAGCATCCATGACAGTGGTGAACGGCAGACCCACATTGACCATCAACATCTCCACTGCCCGGGAGCACTGGCTGGAAGGCATGCTGAGGCATGAGATTGGTGGGTACAGTAGCTCTCATACATGTTTATTTTTAATGTGGGCCTCCTGTAGGTCACCAGGGATAGTTCACCAGCAGACATTCTAATGACAAGTCAGATACAGTATCTACTAAGAAACTTGGTTTGAGTACACTGGATCCGTAGACCATTTCCTGAGTTGATGTTGCTTCAAGTAAATGTGAATTTGAACTCAGATATAACTATATAAATAGTCCTTGTCTCTGTCCACCAGGCACACATTATTTCCGTGGCATCAACAACTGTCACCAGCCGTGGAGCAGCAGTTTGGGCAGGAAGAAGCACAACCTGAAGCCTCTGAACCCCACAGAGGAGGGCCTGGCCAGCATCCACAGTGTCCTGTTCAGGAAAGACCCCACTCTGTGGCGCGCCGCCCTGCTCTACTACACTGTCTATCAGGCCAGCCACATGTCTTTCTCTCAGCTCTTCCACAATCTGGGACGCTTCGTCCAGGACCCCAACACCCGCTGGGACTACTGCGTCCGAGCCAAGAGAGGCCAGACCGATACCGCACAGCCAGGTCAGAGTTTGCTGATATGCAGCCAGTTTTAGGCTTGATTACAAAGTTAATGTAGAGTTAGACAGTTCAACACTGGTTGTTTAAACCTGTATTGATTCACATGATATGTTCAAAATATTAATATCAGCCTTTTAATATTGACACTTGACAAACTTCTGACCTCTCGCATTGCAGGATGCTTCAGTAAAGATCAGGTCTACCTGGATGGTATCCTGAAGATCCTGAGATACAGAGACAAGATCAACTTCTCACTGCTAATGGCTCTAGGAAAGGTGAGGCAGCTCAACTTTCTCTGGTCTGGTGCTGGTGGTGTCATTAGTCAGTTTACTGATTCACTAAGCAGCATTATCCACAGCTGAAAGTCTTTTTAATAGATGTTTTGGTGATGTCAGTCACAACCTGAATCAGGCAGGTTGATTAATCCTGATCGGCCATGCCACTGCTTCCTTCTCTTTAGCTACAGTCACTGGTTGAATCCAAATGTCTACCTTCCGGCAGACCCTTGTTTCACTTGTTTCATTTGAAGTTCCTGCAGCTTCAAAAAGACCACAACAAATGCTGAATTGTCAGCTTCCATCCATTTCTCGACTTATCTTTGTCTCAGTGGCAGCATGCTAAGTAAGGTGGCCCAAACATCTTTCTCCCTAGGCATACCCTCCAGCTCTTCCTGGGGGATCCCTAAGGCTGGAATCCAGGGTCTCTTCTCTGTTGGATGTGCCCGAAAACCTCCACAGGGAGATGTCCAGGAGGCATCCTAATCAAATGCCCCAATTACCTCAGCAGAGGCTGACATTTGCACGGCTTCTTCTGCTCCACCATACAGCAATGAGGATGGGTTCTCCATATCAGAGTAGCAGATAAGGTCTCAGTGTTGTGCTGATTGTGTCCTGAAGGAAGGTGAATACATTATTTATCGGACTTCCCTTTAAAGGCTAGTTTTCTTGGGTTTTTCCTCACTACTGCAGATAAACGGACCTGCTCTGTTTTCTGTTTTCCCTTCAGTGGTGTCATGCGTCTAATGGTATCTCCCCTCTGCTTCTATGACGCCACTAACAGCAGAACAATGTCCTTTGTGACATTCATTTGCATGAAATAAAAGTTTAACTACACAGAAGAGGGTTACAGTTCAGATATAGAGGCCTTGCTGTCCCTAAGGAGAGAACAGGCTGTGTTCTGCTTGAGAGGACCAGAAGCCACTGATTAAACAAGGTGCTCATTCCAGTGTAGATGTTGAATGTGATGTAAGAATCAATGTGTTTTTAATAACACCACTGCGGCAGAATACACTAAATAACTTTAAAGCTACAGTAGCTAACTTTCATAAAATAACTATAACTTATATTTGCAGAAATCTTCTCTATATCCTGACAGTAGAAAATGAGACAGATAATCTGGTTCCTCTACTGAAAAGAAATCTACTGGCCCTGAACCAAAATAACCAATCAGGGCTGAGAAAGATGCTTTGAGCTGATGGTTGAGTTTGCTTTGAGAATGATACTCAACATTCAGCTATCTTCAGGCCACCAGCACAGATTGTCTCATGTTCTACCGTTAGGATATAGTGAAAGTTTTCAGCAAATACGACAGTTATTTTTATAAAAGTTATCTACCACAGCTTTAAACAAATTTATTTATTTATTTAAAATATGAAAGAAATCAATCAAAAACCTTCCTCATGAGCAAAGTGTGTCACTCACTTTTTCACTTAACACAGAATAGTTTGATTTTGAACTGGAAGGTACTTTAGCCCTGATTGCTGCGTGGCTTTCAGTCCACCACTTTTGTTTCAGACTGAAATATCTCAACAATTGAATGGATTGCCATTCATTAATAAGTGCTTTTCTTCTAGTTCCGTCATCAGGTCAAAATGTCAATTTGTTCAATACTTTTGTTTATGACCAAATACCTGCTAACTGATGACATTGCCATCGGTCTCAGCTGTACTTTGTTAGTGCTAACTCACTAATGCTAGCATGCTAAGACAGTAAACTAAAATGAGAACAGTAGTAATCATTACCTGCTAAACATGTACACGAGCATTTGCTCAATGCCCTGCTTGCCAACATGCTGGCATTAGCATTGAGCTCAAAGCACCACTGAGCTAACAGAGCTGCTAGCATGGCTGTATACTCGTTTGTATGATTTGACTCTACTCACTCTTTCTTTTTTGTCAAAAGTTGTGGATATTACCTGATTCTTTTTTTAGTATCACCTCTGTCGTAAAAACTCGGCAGACCACTGATTGGTCGTCTTAGTCGGAGAGAAGCGACCCTTGCGCGATACGGACAGACAGCACCGACTGCAAATTGCAGCCCGCAAAACCATGCTGGGGTCAACTGACAAAGTGCAGACGGTCCTTTGTTTGATTGTTGATGAAAGGATCTCAAAAGGAAAATCTATCCTCCATTGTTCCTGTGCGCTTGAGTCGATCAGCTAAGAACCCCCCCTACGTTGACAGGGTACTATTCATAGAGTAAACGTAATTGACACGGTACCTGGTACATAAAAATGAATAGAGTCAAGTAGAGCCAAGCCTTGCCCTGCAGTGGAAACATGGCATTAGTCTTGTTTCAAGTAATTGTTGCATTTCAGCACTGGTTCTGGCAGTGAGTTCCAGTGCAGCAGGTTACTAATTCTGTCCCTTCTAATTTCTGTGGGCTCAGGTGTCGTTTGAAGACGTGGACCGCCTGAAAGCCCTGGCTCAGATGGAGAACGTCCGCATCCCACACTTCATGCAGGACCAGGCAAGGTATGCTGAGCAGCTGACGAAAATCATGGCGGTCAACCAGCTGACTGACGAGGAGCTCAAGACCATCATCTGATCCCCCCCTCGCCCACGCCCCTGCACAAACCTGATCACACCAGAATACCCACTGCCAGCCATGGCCCGCATGCATCACCACCGTCACTGTGCATGGTAACAGAGTGTGCGACTTGTGCAGCGTGCTGTATTGCATGTAGTGTAGAGTTGTGTTAGGTACAGGGATACATTAGTTTAATCTGATATTAGCTTTTATTAAAAATCTGTTGTTGCTCAGTCATTTCTCCACAGATAGAGAAGGAATCACCCAGAGAATCATTTCAATATGTTGTGTTTAGGCCTGGATGTCGTTTGAATTTTTTAATCAGTGCCAATACAATCCAAGGATTGTAGTATCAATACAAAAATGATACTTTTTCAATACCATACTTTTCTTTGCTATAACAATTACAAGCACTTGGTGCCAACATTTTTTTACTTGACTGTTTCTGTTTTGTGTGATACCCAGGTTTAAGAGGACTTTCATTAATTAATATGAATTAATATCCATTGAAACATGTGAGTCTGACTGGAGTTTTCAAGCTTATATTGACATTTGAGACTTAAAAATCTATTAAAGCTAGCCAGTAGGTAACTTTCATAAAACTAACTTTTTGTCATATTTGCTGAAACTTTCTCTATATCCTGACAGTAGTACATGAGACAGATAATCTGTGAAACAATCAGCTCCTCTTAGTGCTCCTAAAGGGCATTTGCAAGAATCTACCGGGCCTGAATGAAAACAACCAATCAGAGCTGAGAAAGATAGAAAGATGCTTTGTGTTGGAAGCTTGAAAATAGCTGATTGTTGAGTCAGGCCCGGTGGATTCTTGCAAATGTCATTAGAAGCACTAGACTACCTACCTACCCACTGCAGCATTAACTGTTTACCGTATGTCAGCTGATATGTGTTGTTGAAAACAGACACATCACACGGACAAACATATTTGATCAGGATCCCTTAAATTTGGCTGTTAAAGAATTGTGACCGAGACATGTACTGAGATTTTACAATTGAAAAATACACTTGTCATTACTTAGTGGGGGGAAAAATTATGTTTTTGATTTCAAACATATATTAAGGATTTCTGTACTCTTGTTATTTAGCGGCCAATATATACCTTTCACTTTAATTCAAAATTCAAACCCTTCAAATAACTTGTACTAGTTCATAAAAGACACTAGTCCTGTTTCAATCAACATATTTTGAAATATCACATTAGGAAACGTTCTGACTTAGCAAACATCTAAGTCACATGACTGATGACAGTCTCCTCATCGCTCCCATGGCTCTATTATACATCCATGATCGCTGCACAGAGATCTGATGGAACCTTTCTCACATTAACCCATGAAACAAACAGATATGTCATATTTCCATCCTGTTTTCTGCATTGTTTTTCACTGTTTGAGGTGTGAATGATGCTCTTTTAAATACACCATCTTGTTGCGCCCTTTTCTTCTTGTTCTCCGGCTGCATATCTCAGTGAAACAACTCCCAATAATTGCAAAACGCTAGCGGATGGAAACAAGCATTCCTTCACATAATCTTTTGCAGAAATTTGGTTAAAATTTGGGATACATGTTGATGGAAACACAACTACTGTCACTTTGATCCTTTGCGTGTCCTGTTTCCTTCAACAAGGTTATTGTTGTTCTCTCTAGTCCAACAGATTGTTTAAAGAAGTGACATCACTAATACCTATATGTGATAAGCTCAATTAGCCGGTGATATCCGTCAGGCTCCAATATGAATGCTGCTGCAGAGGCACTTTCACCCTCACAACAATGAAATTCTTGGAGAATACCTGAATGCTTAATGTTTTTGTGGTGCATGAATATGGTTCAGTTTAGACATTTTAGTTTTAGCCAAAGTCAAAAAGTTGTGGATCTGATTCCAATGTAAGGAATCTTTGTCTTTCTCTCATGCACCTCTGATCTAAGTGTACTTACCTACTGTTTTATATCCGTCTCTTTAGCGAAGACTCTTGCACTTTGTTTCCTCTAGATACCACTTAAGGTTACTATTTTTGTAGTACAGATTTTAGGCATTAAAACAGAGTTGTTGCTGGAGGGAAAGATTGTGAAAGCAGGAAGCAGCTGTGTCTTACTGAAGAGAGAGGGACCGATAACCGTGCAAGTGCTTCATCAGAGTTGTCACACACAGGCCTGCTAATTAAAGCTGATCCTGTCAGCAATGTTCTACACTCGCATAAAAGAAAATGTCCCAAAAGGGTGAAAGTCACCTGTAATTCTGTGTGTGACAGTTTGAAGGTGTGTTCCTCATTATGCTCTATGAAGCCCTAGTGGTCCAAGTGCACTGACTTGAAGCCCTGTTAGACTATTTGCACTTTGTTACCTTTAATCTACCTTTTAGACTGCACTGATATGGGCAGTTACTATGTTGGTGTCATTTATACAGACTGGTATATTTAGGATTTGTGATACTTGATGAGTTTGACCTGAGAATAAGAATAAGAATGACCTGATATCGGGTGCACATGTGCTGCTCTGCTCCCTCAAAGACCCCTTAAATGGTACAGTTTAATAACATGGCATTTCTGTGTGATGTTTTCTATTTGTATGACTTTTTTTGTGATATTCGTAGGTAGAATCTTCGAATAAAGTAATACAGTGGAGTTGTGTGCTTTGTTGTGTTTTTTTTCTTTGTATGTGCTTGAATGATCTGTTTTTATCTACAGACACCACAGGTCTCCTGAGGAGTCCGCCATGTTGAACCACCATGTTTGTACTGTAGCCCAGAACGGACAAACCAAACATTAACTCTGTAAAAAAATTATTAGCCTAGCCGATATCACTGAGCTACAGAATATAGGCTACTCAGCTCAGTGTCACAGACCAGTTTCCTGATCTGGAGGAGCTGACCCACACTCTGAATGAATCAGTAACCAAATCTGTCACAACAGACACTCCTGGTCTGTCGGAACCCTGTTCGGAGGTGTCACACTGCCCCATTGATCAGCATCTGGTTTCACTGGGAAACTGGAAACCACTCAGGGCACCGAGTGGTGACTTACAGCTACAAACAGTAACATGCTGGACAGTGGGCATCAATCTACAGTACACTCACTCACTCACACACACACACACACACACACACACACACACACACACCTCCTTTTATCAGACATGCTTGTCCTTCAGCACAAATGTACCTTTTTCCATTCCATTTTAATTTTTAACTTTAGATCTCAGTATGCTGAATTACACTCTATTGTCGTGTCCTGAGCCCAATCCTGTGTTGAAGGTTCTCTCAGACGATTTGAAACAAGAGGTTTTATATGGATGCAATCAACTTTAAGCTTGTTATTTAGAGCACCTGTCCTGCTGACGTGAGAACATGTTTTCATCAGATGACGAGACAGCTGATGTGAATTATTGTGAAATTGAGCCACCTCCCCACTAGAGGGCAGTAGCACACAATGCATTTTCAAGAGATGACCTACAACTGCAGAGACAATCCAGAGAAATCCTGAAATCCCATGGGTCAGTGAAATCCATATATATATTAGGAACAAAATGCAATATCCTTACTGTATTAAATCAACAGACACTAAGGAAACATGTTAATATATTTATTGTTTATTATATATATATATATATAATTATGTTCTTCAAGGAGCTGTGGCTGCTCACCATGTGACAGATGAACACAGGTGGGTGCAGGTGGAGCTGCATGGAGTACAATGGGACAAAGCAGAGGCTCATAAGAAGCTCATGAGACTTCAGAATATTTTCAGGAAACAAGCAGCGGCTGAAGCAACTTCATAAGTTCCTGAACTTTAGCTGATTTGTGTGTTTCTTGTGAACAATGAGAATACAAAGCTAGATAAATGAAATGACTAAGTCTTGGCCCCTGACTGGATTTCTTTTACAGATGTCCCAATGGCCGTGAGTCTGTCCAGAAACACATACTTATATATGCCAGTAAGCATTCTGCATTCAGCCGTCCAGCTGTTGAGGCCAGAACCCTGAGTTGGATTATTTTAGGCTATTTATTTTCCTCTGTAGATAAAAAGAGCTCATTTTAAAGTAGCGAAAAGACAAAGATTCAGCTGCCATGTTGAGCCGCCATGTTTGTACAGTTCCCGGGCCGTTCCTGTGCTGGTGAAGCTTGGGGCCATTATGTCTTACACACTGGACCTTAAAGTATCTCCTTTGCTTCACGTAGGTAAACAAGTATCCAGTATTCTGTGTTTCATTATTTTAGGGTCACTGCTGTCCCACAAGACAAGCAGAGACTCAGAGGAAGGACTGGGAAGGTTCTTTAATGGCAACACTTACACCTGGGGTCAGTATATTTTAAAAACAAAATTCTGATCCAGAAAATATCGGTAGGTCTGATAGAGGAAGTAAGAAGCATGATGACTCTGCCACACTTTGGCTGTAAAATGTGTTTCAGTCAAAAGAAGAAGTGCAAAGTACCAAACTGCAATGTTCTGCCTGAGCAAAGGAGGTCTATTGCAGAGTGCCGATTTGCATCCATTTAGTTCAATTTCACATTGCACTATGCTGCAAAAATATTTGGTCCTCAAAAATCATCACATTAACACTGAGACTGGAAATTGGATTTTATGCACCACACATATGGAACAACCTACAGAAGCTTATGAAATCAGACAATCATGTTAATCATTTTTAAGTGACATACAGCACTATGAATGTATCTATATCCTCTGCAATAATATTGGCCCTTATGTACAAATAACTCTAATAATATTAAATGGTAATGATTGTGTTTTACATACGGGTCATTTCCCTTCATTTTCTTTAAAATGAATGAATAATAAAATAAATATGTTAGATGTGGTACATTTATGTCAAATATTATTTGTTTGGTAAATATATCACAACATACCAACCCCGTCACCTGAAAGAAAGAAAAGTATTATAATTTTTTAAAAATACCTGTAATGTTGCAGGCTCCAGCATGGCTGGATTAAACCACTAGGGGGCCCTATCAGCTTCATCATGGGTAAAAGCTCATGGGGAGGGATGCTGACAGGATGCTGACAGACAGGAAAGCCTGTGACTTTTGGGGGTTTTCGCATGTGGTATAAATGTGTTATTATGGCCTAGGGTATTTGAATATTTCTGCAGACTGGGGTCCATAAACAGTATTGGAATTGCATAAACTGGGAATGAATGAAAAGCTGAGATACATACTTCATGCCACCTCAGTCTAAAAATTCTGGAAACAATCCAATATGCACCCTGCAAGGCAGATATGAATCTACTTTTCTGTCAAAAGAAAACAGAAATCTATCCATAGTGTATTACCTACCCATAGTGTATTCATAACCACCTATAGTGTAATTATATCTAGCTGTCTGTATATAATGTCAACCTCATAATGTAAATATCTTAACTTAATTGCTGTATATATCTTTGTGTATTCTTTTCACTCCGTTCATTCTCTTAATACTGTTTATACTGTAAATATCCTGCTAATATATTCACATATATAAAATGTTATTATTACTTTTTAACATTTTTGTACATATGCACATTACTCTGCACTTTACTGCTTTGCACTTCTGGTTAGATGCTAACTGCATTTTGTTGCCTAGTACCTGTACTTAAAAAGTAAAGTTGAATCCAATCTAAAAAAATGTGCCCTCTGACTATTTGAGCACATTAAAGGTCCAGTGTGTAACATTTAGGAGGATCTACTGTCAGAAATATATTGAATATTCATAGGTATGTTTTCATCACCTGAATATAGGAATTGTAGCTGATTTTTTTAACCTTAGAATGAGCTGTTTTTTATCAACAGATGCTACAGGTTGCCTTCCATGGAGCCCACCATGTTTCTACGGTAGCCCAGAAGAGACAAACCAAAGGGGCTTACACATTTTTGCACCATAGTGTCTCCTTTACACTGGGAAGGGTAGGGTGAAGCAAAGGACTTGCAATCTACAACTACATCACTAGATGCCACTAAATCCTACACACTGGACCTTTAAGAATGTGTGGATATAAAACATCAAATCTGTAAAAAAAAAGTACTGAAGTAACTGATCAAATCTATCTATCAAAGTATCTGATGACTTGGGTGTCTGTTGATCTGTGTATATCTCTGTGTTTCTGGTTTCTTCAGGTCAGTGGGCTCTACGGTACATTACTCAAAGTGTTAGTTAGAATTCATATTTTATTCAACAAGTAGTTTAATTTAGTTGCCTCTGAGAAGAGCCTTTGGATTTTTTTGTGCTTGAACACTGATCATTAACATGCTGACTATTACTCAACAAACATCAGTTTATTCATCCACCCAGCAGTACCTCCTGACACTGATTCCATCTCTGTGAGCAGTATTGGGGAGTTGTGACCTACATGTAATAAAATTAGTAGTTTAACTACACAATTTGAGCAGTTAAATTACTTTCCCCCCCAATGTTTGTGAATGTTTGTGAAGAAACTTGGACTGCAAAAACTATAGGTGTTATGACTCAGTATTTAGATTTGTCAGCTATGATTTCATTGTTTAAAACCTGATAGCTCACCATGTCCTTGCTGCAGTGACCATGGGTTTGAATCTGACTGGTGGCCCTTTGCTGACAGTGTCAATTTGAAAAAGAAAGAAAAAAGAGCTTTGGAGCGTTAGTTCATCTAGTTTCATATGATATCTGTATCTTAACTCTAGCTTTAAAACAGAGCCCACTACAGCCTCTGAAAGACAGTGTGAATGGATAATGGGATGGCCAGTCACATTTCAGGGGTGGCCAGAACCACACATACCCCTTGGTCCCCCATTTACCCCAGCAGTACATATATCTGCTCTCAAGTCTCAGTACCTCATCCGGTATTTATGCTGGGTCCTTGCCCAAGCATCCTGTCCCTGTTGTGCAAACCTCCCCATGAGCTTTTACCCATGATGCAGCTGATGCAGCCCGTACCTTCTTATAGCCTGCAAACATTACAGGTAGTATTTAAATATTATAAGTGTGTACTTTTAAAATATTCTTTACTCTACATTTGGATAAAAAAGATTTTCTTTTAAAATAAAATGTAATTTCAGATGAGGGTAGGTAGGCTATGTTGTGATATATTTACCAAACAAATAGTATTTGTAATAAATGTATCACATCCAACATAGATAGATAGACAGATGGATAGATATTCCTTTATTTGTCTTACAATGGGGAAATCCCAATGTAACAGCAGCAAAGTGGATAGAGAGAAAAAAACAGTATAAATAAACAGTAAGAGTAGGAAAATAATAAAAAACACTATGTACAAGAGAAAAAACAGTAAGAATTCACAACAACAGATAACACAACACAAAATAGTAGCAGCAGCAGTTGCACATGTGCAATAGATTGCACAGTAATTATAAAAAAAGTACAATATTTTCCTCTGAGATGTAGTGGAGTAGAAATGAAAAATACTCAAGAAAAGTAAAAGTACGTCACATTTGTACCTAAACAGTACTTACTCAGTACTGAATGTACTTAGTTCCTTTCCAGGATATCTGGTGCTAACAAATATCCAAATATTGTGTTTCAGTCTTTAAGAGTCAGAGAGGAGAATGAGTCTGTGGAAAAGCTCACGGTTCTCATGGCCAATCTGTCCATCAGAGGACAAACTGCTCTCCACTGGCTGAGAGAGACAGAGGATG